TTATGAAACCGATGAAAGTGTAAAAGATAGCAATGAAGAGGCAAAAGAAGATTTAGGATCAAGATGACAAAATTAACAACAATGAATCGGGGTTTCATATTTGAATCAGGTTCGCGTAACCGTACATCAACATATATACCACAGGGTTTTTAGGCAGTGTAGATCATGCCCTAACAACAAAAATAAACAAATTACTAAAATTTTGTGTAGTTTTGAATTTCAAACTCGACAGTTTTTCTCTTATTTCATGTTATCCCCGGGCATGAATTTGCAAAGACTACATTCAAAATATACATTACCGAATGTATCACCGAATGCGATGCTTACATAAATCGTTCTTCCTTTCATTGATACACAGTTGTAGAAAATAATGCACCAACCTTACTTTTCTCTTCCATCGCGGCCATTTTATTGGATAAATCAGTGAACGTAGCTGTCCAACATCGTTTTCAGAGGTGGCGTAACCGTCATGCTATAACACCGTGAACCTGTACCTACGCTTTCACATTCATTATTCACTCTGGGGATTACTCTAAGTTTTATTATGTAATGAATTATATAAAGACACGTATTCACTAATGCGTGTTGCAGTTCAAAGCCGGGTCAAAAAGTCAACCTTTGCCTAGCCAATGATAAAAATAAAATAAAACCTCATGGCTATCTTTACGATTCTCGAGGATATTACAGAAGTTTAGTTACACGTTTTGAGAACCTTTACGTGAAACATTTCGGCCTACGTGATTAGTAATTACTGCCTCTCTCTGAATAAACTTTTTAAGGGACCTTATAAAAATCATTTCCCATAAACCGTTATACTCAGTTGGCCAAATAAACAGTACAAATTATCCACAGAGGACCATTATTGTACACGTTCAATTACGAGTTTTAAAAAAGGTGTGTCCATATTGTATATTATGAGGTTATATAATGGGTCTTTCTGTATATCGTGTTTATATTCGAGTGAGTATATGATATATTCAGAAGTGAGCGTAGCGAACGAGTGAATATATTATATTCTCACGAGAGTATAAAATGCACGATATACAGAATACCCTGTACTTTTTGAAACATATTTATGCAATTCTGAATTTGCATTTCACATTGTGCATCCCATGACTCATAAATAACATAGCATCATGTAGTTGGTACCATTAAATGGGAATTCGTATGTTGTAAAATAGTTATGTTCGTCGATGAAACCTGAAATATCATCAATAAATTATTTAATATCAGAAAGCCTACTTTAGAAGTACCTGTAACTGTGTTAACTTTTAGTAATACGTACAAATACTATAAGTTATCATATGATTTGAAGTGCAATACAGGATATATTCTGCTCGAGAAATTCCGTATTGGAACGAGACGAAGTCGAGTGCCAATACAGAATATCGAGACAGAATATATCCTGTATTGCACTTCAAATCATTCTATAACGTTTTTATCGTGTGATCATCTGTATTGCATCTGAGAATGTCCCCTCCGTACCAATGTTTTCTGTATTGCGACGGAGATGATCAATGCTGACAATCTCAGTAACAATACAGATTGGTACAGCACAAAAACTGACCAATCAGAAGGCTTCATTCTACAGATCATACGATAAAGAGTATTACCATAAAGCTGCCTTATTATCAAGTTCACGTATTTAAAAATGCTACCTATCAGATGACGGCGTAACAAACTATTTCGACTCATTTGAATATGTCAAATGAGTCATACAATATGAGGTTGATCCGACAGCCGCTGGTAGTTGAATTCGCGAAAGCTATCTAAAGCCCGGTATACACCAATGGGGCAAGTTGGGACCTCCATAGACTTAACATTGCGTGGGACCTCGTGGGACCTTTTGGGATTTTGCCCCATGAAGTCCGTGGGACTCCATGGGACTTCTTGGGATTTTGCCCCATCTTGCCCCATCGAGTCCCACGAGGTCCCATGAGGTCCCATGAAGTCCCACGTGGGACTCGGTGGGACTCGATGGGGCAAGATGGGGCAAAATCCCAAATGGTCCCATGGAGTCCCATCGAGAATGAACATGTTCATTCTTTCCATGGGCATCGTAGGATTTTCGATCATATGACGTGTTGTGTGAAGCCCGACATACACCAATGGGGCACGGTGGGATTTGATGGGACTCCATGGGACTTGATGGGACTCCATGGGGCACGATGGGGCAAAGTCATCAAGGTCCCATGGGACTTCGTGGGATTTGATGGGGCAAATTGGGATTCGATGGGGCAAGATGGGACTCGATGAGGCAAGTGGGATTTTGCCCCATTGGTGTATACCGGGCTTAAGATTCAAAAATGTTAATACAATATGAGCGTCTGCTCCTAGTGTTCTAAACAAAGCTCATAGTTTTTTCTTATATATACATGTATGCTAACATGCATTCAACAGTGGAGCACTTGAGATATTTTAGATTTAAATGTTCCACAACCAAAATGTTCGTCTTGGAGTCAAGCTTTTCGCTATTACTCCAAGTATGGTCGATTGGTTGGGAGTCCGTTGCTTCATCAACCCTTTTCTATCAAGGAGGCTACTTGGCTCATTCGTCTGTCTTATCAGAACCACGTGTACATATGTGAGATACCCCCCCCCCCCAGGGATGGCTTCGAATACCACTTTCTACAATATGTATGATAAGCATCATACGCGCCTCAAGCCAAAGTATAGGTTATTTTATCTATTCTTTTGTTTTATGGAAATCGTTGTATGACTTTATACATCATGTACGTTATATTCTACATTTGTTTGCAATGTTATTTATAAATCGTCAATTATTATTGAAGTATATATGTTTGATTTCTCAACGATGCGTTTAATGTTCTCAACGTTATATTTCTATTAATCTAACTGATGACTTGACATTAATGCTCGCGATGAGATTTTTTCATATTACTGGTGATCCGCTCGATTACGCTTGCAACAAAATATCGCAGGCTCGAAGGTCGAGTTTTCTTTTTTCCTATTCAAGGCGTTGTAGGCAAAATTCCCATGATATTTTTATAAAAAATGTGTGTCTTTAAGAAAATGTACACCTTTGCGAACAATTAGTTCAGAAGACTACAGAATCGTCGATTTAAAACACCACTTAAGTTACGTAAACGGATCTGCATATCTAACCCATCCCGTTTAAGTAACTTAAATGAGGTATTGAATCATGGTTCTGTTGTCCTCTGAACTAACTATCTGTTCGCAAACATGTACATTTTTTAAACATATGATACTGACGCACGTTTTTTATAAAAATATCATGGGAATTTTGCCAACAACGCGTGGAATAAGGAAAAAAGAAAAATCGTTCCTTCGAGGTTCCGACATTATGTTACCGAAACGGTCATCAGCGTAATCGAGCTGATCCCGAGTGATAATGGGGCAAGACTATTTTATATTATTTGAAACGCTTTTTAACCAAATTGTACCAGCCCCGAAAATCATGATTATGATTATTTGTATGTAACGTTGTTTTCAAGAAATTATTTATGATTTTTTTTATTTCATTCATATTTTATACAATGCATGTCGACGCATTGGATAATAAAACATGTGCCAACGTTAATTTTTGGCAAATAAATATATCAAAATAAATAATTAATTTATCTTGAAATATACTTTTTCAAAGAAGAAAGATACAACTTCCAATCGATGTTTGTATGTATTGAATAACTATATGTTTCTACTAGATTTGAGAACGCTCTAGTTTTGCTTTACACCCTGGACTATCTACTCTAACAACTGGTTGAATTGCTAAGATAAGAAGCCTGATGCCAACAGTCTTGAGGTTAAAGTAGGAACGCTCGAATTCTTTGATTTGAAAAATGTAGACTTCATACGCTTTTCAATCGTGTACCTAATTCAAACGTGAATAGTTAAAGACATAAATCATAATACAATGATCGTTTGGCGCATATGATAGCGCGTTGGAATTTGTCTTCCCTTTAATTTTCTGAAAGGTTCGTGTTCAAATCCCGACGCTGACTATCATTATTTATTTTTTAACCACAATGCATAAGGGTTATGTCATGGGAGGTTTTGTATATGGGGTATATCCCTCGGGAAATATGATAAAGGATATCATATTTCCCTAGGGGTATACCCCATATTCAAAAACGAGCATTCGGTTTCATAAGTGAAGATTTCAGTGTTCTCATTTTCATTATTTTCGAAAAATTCATAAACATTTGGCAATGAAATATTCTACGTCTGCTGCATTCATTCTATAGCAAGATATTCGGACAGTCTTTACTATTTCAACACTGAACAAAAAACATTTCCGGGGAATATACAGCGGGAGATATATGTGTCCCACTCCTCTAAGACATCAGTTCTATATCCAGCTGTTATGTACCTGAAACCAAAATAGCACAGGATAATCTTTTACTGTGACATTACTGATTGTCCAGGAGAGACATCTAATTTTGGGCATTTGAATGATTTTCAAAAATGACCAAGTTTTATCCAAAGATGAACTTATTTGATCTGTGAAACGCCCTCTATCTATGACTTGTATAAAATTCCGAGACTCTTCTAATGAGAATGACGACCATAGTGGAACAACTTCTTAGAAAATTCTTTAAGCATACTTCTGGTAACACGCCCCTCAATTCCTTTACGAAACTAAGACTTTGCATCACAATCCTTCTTAGACATATTTTATTTCGCATGTACAGTTGAAGGAAATGTATTGCACTTTATCGAAAGTAACGGTCAAAATAGAACATTGAATTTCATCGTTTTACAAAAAACGTTCTAGAAACGGAAGTTTTAATCATCCAAATATAATATTTCAGGATGTCAAAATTCACCTCATTTCTAAAAAGGTGTCAAATTTCCATGATGATCACTTCCAGAATAAAAAAGCAATGTCCTTCTAAAAAGCTCTCCTTATCGGGGGTTCTCTTTTAATTGGCTTTAATATGATTAGCATGGGACAAGAAAATTGTCCACTCATTTAAAAATGGCTTCCAATTTTTGTAAAAATGTAACTTGTTTTTCAGATGTGGTGCTACAAGAAAGCAGATAACAGACACTGTTGGAATACACCCTACGACTGCTGAAGAAATAGTCAAATTAAACATTACTAAACGATCTGGCCTTGATCCTACCGTGACTGGTTGCTGAGGTTAATTTACCCTTGTTGCCATAGTAACTGAGCTTATCACCAAAGCAACAAGGCATATTACCATAGCAACCAAGTGAAAGCATGGACAGAATAGTGTGCTTTGTTAGTTGTTATGGCAGCAAGGATTTTGTTGAATAGACGGGAAATGTAAGAGCAAATCAGATTGCATCTGCACTGTACGTGATTCATTTTTAAAGTTGTGCTTGGAAAATACTGCATGTTTTGTAAAATTTCCACTACAATAATGGATCTTACCCATGTTATACCCATGTAGTTGATAATATTTCAATGTAATGGGTCATTTTGTTAGATGGTTTGTTCTTAGATTTCCTGTTTTCATCAATGCTTGCAGCGTATGACAACACCACCTTAAACCATTTTGGCGAGGTGCTGTTTGATGGTTCTGCAAGTAAAATATATTGTACATTTTTAATGTCACCACCAAAAGTGGTGACATGTTGTCATTAGTTTCCAACTTTTTTGTGGATGGTGTTTGGCAAAAAGTGTTCGGCTGTTGGTATTTGACTGTTGGTGTTCGGCAGTCGTCGTCTGTAACAAATGGCTGGTGGTGAGATGTTGCGTGTGAATGCCCTGTTATTATATTGATATGACACTTATAACATGTATAATAAACCAATTTGTTATAGTTCTTTTATATGGAAATCTTTTTAAAAGACAGTGGTTTGATTGCCAATAGAGAAAGGAAATAGATTTCTTTAAAATCAGTTTGTAATCGCCAGAGTTTTTGTGAACATGTACATGGTTTTTCGAAAATGCTGCCCAGGAATAAAATCCATTTAATCAAAACAGAGCGGTTGACGCTGTATGAGACTTTAAACGTCTCTCGTTTGAACATTATTTTTATTTAGGAAAATCATTTACGTCATTATTGATGAATTTGTTCAACCCTTTAATTTTCTGAGGTCACTCTGGTACGAGCTCCTAGTTTGATTAGATAGAATCAGGATTACGAATTTATAATAACTGGTTAAATAAAACATGTTCAATACATTATTCAAAAGTATATAATTACCTATAGATGTATGATATTACCATCTTTATTTATTTAAGTTATTTGTGTTTCAAAGGTTTTGGACCCGACGTCAGAAAATCCTTTCATTGAGAAATCTATGATATGTTATTCCCTCATCTCATTGAGTGTTCAGGAAAGGATCTACACATTAAATCAATCGATTCATTTGAAGATATGAATTAATAATGTATAAATGTGTGAAGTGCCTACTTGTCGGTTGTTTTGGAAATCAACTTACGGGTACTTATAGTACAAAGTGAACAAATAAGACTGAGAACTATGTTAAGTTGACTTTGCCATTATCAATATACAGTAAAATCTGTGTATAGTGAACATTTTTGGCCGAGAAAAAACGCAGGTGTCAACCACGGTAAGGATTTGATTTTGCGTTTTTTCTAGGCCAAAAAATGTTCACTATACACAGGTTTTCTGATTATCTCTAAAGCAACCAATTCTAGACGCATATCCTGTCTTAACATGAACAGAGCTTATTAAGAATTATAATTAGTCACGCCTGTTTCAAAAGAAGAACAAATCACATCTCAAATTTACCTTTTAATTATTTTTTCGGCAGGTAATTTAAATATAACCTGCTTAACTCTGATAACGTGATAAGGCAGTTGCAGAAAATCTGCGAGAAATCTTATACTCGTACATGTATATGATTCAATATTCACTAGAGACAGGATATTTCAATTGATTTTGCCAAGATTTAGTGTTCACTGTTCACAGTAGGTAGGTGTTCACTGAAACATTGTACTTTAACATGGGAGTCAATGGGAGAAAGGGGTTTTGCCGAAAAAAACGTTCACTGTTGCTAGGTGTTCACTAGAGAGATGTGTTCACTAACTCAGGTTTTACTGTAATTGATTGATTTATAAGTTAGTGATAGGTTGTTGCATTGGTAGATTGACAGAGCACGTGAAATATAAGAAACTCGAATTCTAAGTATATCTACTATTAAAACAGCGTTAAAAGGCAATCAAACAACAGTAACCGGTTGACAGTATCTTTTGAAAAACTATTACCAATTGCGAGATCTTATGTATTCCAGTCTTTTTTATAATAATTTATTTCATAGATTTTTTGTCTTCGAAGGGACATTAAACAGGATTGACATGTATATTATGAATATCCAAAGTATTACATGGATTTATAAGACGTTCTGTTTAGATTAGATAGACCTGGAATTTTTCAATAGGACAATGGCAGTTATATTTTCCATCATTCTTATTGGAACCTTACAAGTATTATCACATTGCTCTAACATCGACAGACACACGTTTCAACTGTTCAAAAAGAAAAGATGTGGCGCAGATACCATTCTTGGGAGTTTTAGCAACATTCGCTCGCAGACGATCTGTCTTGGGAAGTGTGCAGTTTTGGCTGAATGCGCAGGAGTAAATTATGAGAAAAGTTCAACTACTTGTGAGTTGATTCCTTCGAGTGAGATAACTTGTTCATATACGGCAGACACGGGTTGGAATCATGGATATAAACGTCAGCATAATCAAGACTGCCGAGCATTGTGGGAAAATAACTTTACGCAAGATGGCGTTTATGTCATAAGACCAGATCCAAACCAATCAGCGTTCAATGCTTATTGTGACATGCAAGATGGCGGATGGACTGTTATTCAAAGACGTTATGATGGGAGTGTCGAATTTCACAACCAAAATTGGACTGAATATAAAAATGGTTTTGGGAATGTTTCCACTGAGCATTGGTTGGGAAATGACCTCATTCATCTCATTACAGAATCGGCAAATTATGACATCAAATTTGATCTGATGACTCCAGACAATGTTTGGCACCATGCGACATACTCTAATTTCTCAATACTAGACGAAGCCGCGGATTATGAACTATCTATTGGGCCGTCAATAGGTGGCACCACAGACGGCATTGGGGCTTCTGGCTCTAACCAGGAACTTAACGGAATGAAGTTTTCTACAGTTGATGTGGACAATGACTTGTTAATGGGAATGTGTGCAAAAAATTATGGTGGCGCAGGCTGGTGGTATCACTCGTGCACAGCTGTAAATCTAAATGGTAGATACAGCACGGATGGTGTCTACTATGGGGATGAGCATGCCATTAAATGGAGAACTCTTGCTTCGTCATACACTGGTGAATCGTTAATGGCTACCACCATGAAAGTGAAAAGAAAGGCATAGAAAATGCAAGTATTCCCCGGGGGGGGGGGGGTACTACTGTATGAAAACCACGTACAGATGAAGGCTAGGAAAGTGCAAAGGAAAGAATGATCTCTATCAACTCATGTTACTAGTCTAATATAAAGAAATTAAGAATAAAAAGAAAAATTTGAAATTACATGTATGTCGCTTCATATATACACTCCCCTCCATAAGTTTGGCAACCTTTTTTCTCCATTGAACTATGTGTTAAAGCCTCTTTATGTTTGAATTTTTGTTTACTTAACCGGCGATGAAATAACTTGTAATATTGATGGAAACGTAACTTGACTTTATTTCCAATACCTCCAAATTTTCTTAATTTTTTTCCTCAATTACAATAGGTCGAAAATTGATGATAAATTTGATGAATTTTTGAAAATCGTCATTCCCATGTAATCCAATGGAAAATGGAGGGTTCGGGGCAAATCAGAAATCATTATATCTTTTCAGTAAAAGATCCAGCAAAAAATATTTTTATATAGAAAATTGAATTGTCTAACTTTTTTGAACACTAAGTGTTTAGTTTATTTGATGAATATTAAAGTTACAGCGCTTCAAAGTCATTTTTGAAAATAATTTTTCGCCTCCTGTGTTATTTCAATGGGAGAGGTTTTTTGAAAAACAATTTTGACTTTAAAGCCCTATAACTTTGTTAAACCTGAAGAAACATATCAATTTTTTGTCAAATAAAGTTAGCAAATTCAATTGCCTGCCTAACTTGTATTTTTTGCAAGGACTCGGATGGATGGATATTCTGTCATATGACTTGCGGCAAACCTACCATTTCCCATTGGTTAACATGGGAATGACGATTTTCAAAAATTCATCAAATTTATCATCAATTTTCGACCTATTGTAATTGAGGAAAAAAATTGAGAAAATTTGGAGGTATCGGAATTAAAGTCAAATTACGTTTCCATCAATAGTATAAGTATTTTCTTCGCAGGTAAGGTAAATAAAAATTCAAAGGTAAAGAGGCTTTTACACGTAGTTCAATGGGGGAAAAAAGGTTGCCAAACATATGGAGGGGAGTGTAATTCAATGAAAGTGAGAAATTGAGGGGGGGGGTAAATAAATACTTACAATGCATCCTAATCATGGTTATCTTTATGCTATTGTTATTTGCTAACAACCCTGTCAGTGGTGGCGTTTTATACGCTACTGCAACCGTAGGGCGACTAGAAAATGCACAAGGTGGCTAAGAAAGTTTTACATAACACTTGAAAAATGTCAAAAATTTTACAAACTTGAAATCTAAATGAGTCCAACTACAATTGGCTTCAAGATGGTGTACAAGCTTCATGGTTTTCGATAAACCTCCCGATTTCAACTAAACTAAATTGAATCTGAATTCCAAGTGTTTCGCCATACAAATTAATAAAGTTATTGTAAATAGCCACATAAAATGCTCATACACCCGCGATATTGCAATTGGCCAATTTTAAAGAAAATGGCCTCACTTATGCCTGGGCCATATTTGATTCACCGGCCGGCGCCGTGTATAGGATATTTCGTAATTAATATTCACAAAAGCAATTCAATGGTAAAGAATACTTCAAAACCTATAAATTGTTGCAATAGTTCTTGCGAGGGTCTGCACAGACCGGAAGTGCATTTTTTCTTGGAGCGTTCTTCACTTGCTTTATATAAAAAACCTCCTACCTCACACCCACCTACCCACCTACGTGGGACATGATACAGTCATTGAAGGGTTCAATTTTAAATCTCAAAATAGCTCTAATTGTTAACATTCTACAATTCCGGCTTTATTTTATGACTAGACGGATGACAGATCCATAAATAAAGGTATGGGTGCATTGTACTATGTGTACTGACCCGTGGACGCCCCAGGGGAATAATTAACTAACGACCGCATGGGTCCAACAAGCCAGATAAAGAAATTTAAAGAAAGTGAGCTAAATTCGATGCCCCGAGTGGGAATCGAAACCAGCTGGCCTGTAGTAACAACTTGCTATCAAGAGTCGTTACAAATGCATCTATAATTCATCATAAACTAAGATTTAATAAACTAAGATCTTTTAAATTGAACCCTTCAAAGACTGTATCATGTCCAACGTACGTGGGTAGGTGGGTATGAGGTAGGAGTTTTTTTTATACAAAGCCTTCTTCGCTTTACGAGGTCATCAAAACTCTCTCCTTTGAACACTATCATTACTCAAGAAAATCATTTACGTTGTCGTTAACAAATTTATTCACCCCTTTATTATATGGGGTCATCCCGACACAAACTCCGAGTTTGATTAAATTGAACCAGGATTCGCATTAATAATTACTGGTTATATGAAACATGTTCAATATATTATTCAAATCTTTTTTATATAATTAACTATGGATCGATGCATAGTATTACCATCTTTATTTATTTAGGGTTTTTGGATTTCAAAGGTTTTTTTAACCGACGTCAGAAAATCCTTTCATTGGTAAATTACTGACATCTTATTCCACCAGACATATTGGGTGTTAAGAAAAAGGACCTATAGATAAAATCAATCTCGCAGATCAATTCACAATTGTATAGTTTCTAAATAGCTGAAAAATGCTTACATAATAGATGTCACCCTTGATTGTCTTTGATTTTCTAGGGCCAGACCTCCACTCACTTCAATGTTAGAAACTTGCAATAGTCACTTAATTTCATGATTTATCAAAAAGTGTTGGTTGAATCTGTCTGAAACTCGAATGGAATACTATTGGATGGCCCTGTCAATGCTACATATTGTGATTAAGCATGAAAATATTGGTTGTCATACGAATAAATCAAGGTTTTAATGAATTTCAGCATTGCACCAATGGAGATTTGGCCCAAGTTTTTTTAAAATGTCATGGAAAATGATTTAAATGACATAACTGTGTAAATCAAAGCTATAATTGGAGAAAATTTATCACTGAATCCAAATATGCTATCAAAAATAAAGAAAAGTAATTCATTAGAGGAAAAAAGTGCAAATCTCTTAAAATCTCATGTAAAAACGAGAATTAGCGAGATTTCAAAGCTATTTAGAAACTCTTCTATTGAAGATATAAATGAATAATGTATAAATATGCGAAGTGGCCATACTTGAAAGTTGTTGGGAAATCAATTACTATTACAAAATGAGCAACCAAAACTGAGACTCAATCAAGTCATCGCTATACACCTCACTTCACAGAGAGGCACGGTTAGTAAAAGTAACCTAGGGAATAATGAGAAAGATTGACTAAGGACTTGAAATCCCGGAGGAAACTCGAATTTGAAGTATATCTGTAGTGAAAATATCGCTGAAGAGGAAATGAATAATTGCGACGTGTTTAAATGAAAAAAAGTCTCCTTTATAATGATATATTTCAGAAAGTTTATAAACACTACGTTACGTTTGGTAAAAATGAATATAGTTTAAATCTAACCTTTGTAATCACCTGGATACTACATTAGAAACTATTTTGCTGTTCAGTTAAATATTGTCAATAAAAATATGAAATTAATATTTTTCGTAATACTTATTGGAGGCTTACAAGTAAAACCACGCTGTTCTAACATCAATGGTCAAACATTTCAAATATTGAAAAACAAAAGATGTGACACAGATACCATTCTAGGGACACTGGAAAACATTCGCTCGCAGACGATCTGCCTTGGAAAGTGTGCAATTTTGGCTGAATGCTCGGGGGTTAATTATGAGAAAAGATCCACTACTTGTGAATTGATTGCTTCGAGTAAGATAATAACTTGTCTATTTACGACAGACGCGGATTGGAATCATGGGTATGAAAACGAACACAGTCAAGATTGTCAAGCCTTATGGGAAAAGAACTTCACGCAAGATGGCGTTTATGTCATAAGACCAAATTCAAACCAATCAGCGTTCAATGCTTATTGTGATATGCAAGATGGCGGATGGACTGTCATTCAAAGACGTTATGACGGGAGTGTCGAATTTCACAACCAAAATTGGACTGAATATAAAAATGGTTTTGGGGACGTTTCTACTGAGCATTGGTTGGGAAATGACCTCATTCATCTCATTACAAATTCGGCAAATTATGAGATCAAATTTGATCTGATGACTCCAGACAATGTTTGGCACCATGCGACATATTCTAATTTCTCAATACAAGATGAAAACGCGGATTATGAATTATCAATTGGGTCGTTTATAATTGGCGATGCAGATGGCATCGGTGCTTCAGACCCTAACCAAGAACCTTATGGAATGAAATTTTCTACACTTGATGTGGACAATGATATGTCGGGTGGAATGTGTGCAAGATCTTATAACGGCGCTGGTTGGTGGTATAACTCGTGCACAGCTGTAAATCTAAATGGCAATTACAGCACTGATGGTGTCTTCTATGGCCATAAGCAAGGTATCAAGTGGAAAACCCTTGCTTCGGTACACACCGATGTATCATTAATGGCTACTACCATGAAAGTAAAAAGAAAATCATAGATATTTTAGTATTGAAGAGGGCCAAATAAATCTCACAGCGGCATCTTACACATGGATAATATTATGACATTGTCATTCGCTGAATTTCTTTTGAACATTCATTACTATATATGACAGTAATGCATATGCGGTGAGTGGAGTTATAGTGAGACAGTTAAGTTGTAGGGCAACGATTGTTTTCAGACCCCCGCCCCCACATAGACTGCCTTTCTGTCTAGTGTAAAGCTGCACACCCATTGCTCTTACCAGCTTATGATGCCAGCGGCGATTGCAATAGTCTATGCACATAAATATAATGTATATATTCATTAGTTTATTTGAAACAATTATCTTTTCTAGATCAATTGTTAGAATAATATTTATTTTTAATCGGGGAATAACTTACATTTATCAGAAAAGTGACTTTTACCTAAAGGATGGGTATCGATATGGCGAACCTTTTGATCACACGTTTCTCTCAAACCAGTCATCAAAAAATTCTGAAAATTTTACACATTGTCAATTTAATGGTCACCTTTTGAATGGTAACAATATTATTTGAAAGAGATATATATATACTTTTCTGTATATTGTTTAAGAAAACACATCGGACACTTCTTTTGTTCTTGATATCATACATGTATGTTCGGAATGAAATGAAACATCTATCTGAAACTCATTGGAACAAAACACAACGTGTTTATGTCTCTCAATATTGTAATTATACAAAGAAAAGTTTGGTTGATTTAAAAAAGTATCTTGTTAATGAAATTAAAGGTTTAGGCTATCTCTGTTCAACCAAAATTTCCTTTGTACAACGATAATATTGGGAAGTCTTAGAAAATGTTGTATATGCTATTTTGTTCAAACATGCAAGCTTCGGAAAGATATTTTATTCCATTCTCAAGAAATGGTAAAAAAGGAACAAAAAAACAATTGCACTAAAAACAATTTTTTTAACAAAAACAGATATATAAAATATATATAAATTACTTTCGCATTAAATTGTAGTCAATCAGTCAACATTACATACAGGACCGTGTTTTGTTTACAGAATGTTTTCAATAATTGGTTTAAGAGAAAACATTGTTGAATTCAGTTCTCCATATCGATACCGATTCTTTTAGAGGAAAAACCTTTTTGAAAACGAAAGATTTCACGAACTTTTTGGGCTATGATTGCACCGACTAAGAAATCATGAAAAAGATTTCAGTAAAGACCAAAATTGTTAATAACAAATACAACCTTGAATATCATTTTTTTGTTTTTAGCAATGGTAAGATAAGTCCTTCACACGTGGTTGGGTTGTTTTGATCCTCATTCTGTTTGCAGCGTAGGCACTGGTCAGTATCAAGATGCGGTAACGGCCGTTACTTTCTCATCTAAGATGGTGGACGGAAAGTGTCGATTTCGATATTTTTGGTTTTCGTCTAACTACTTAACTACTTTATAATTGACGTAATACTTAGATATTTGAACTTGATAAGCCTTACATATTATGGAAACTTTGGAGTATGACCATTTGTACGTAAATCATACGTGGACGCCTTGATTCAACTATATGTTACACCGCTCAAGGGAAAGTAACTGGAAGTGCATGATACGATAACTGACACGTCTGTTTCGAAGATGATGTGGTTACTGTATGAAGTTAATGATATAGATCTTTTTGTTTCAGTCCAAAATGATGCACTTCGCTATAATGTTCAGTTTTTGTACATTACGGTTGGAAAGTGTAGCATTAATCCTGGACCATACGATACGATTCCATGCACTGAAAGACGTGCCAGATAGCAACTTTTCTTATCAAAAACGGGAGCTGAAAGTGTCGATGTCGATTAATTAATCGAAATTGGGAATCGAGATAATGTGAGGCCTAACTTGTTATATATCAGGTTTTGTTATGTCAGCCGGCCCTCCATTATAAACTCTTATAACGTTACCGCATCACCACTGATCAGTTATCGTATCATTTGCAAAATCAAAATCTCAATTACCTTCCCTTAAGCGGTGTAACACATACTTGAATCATGGCGCCCACGTATGATTTAGGAACAAATTTTCATACTCCAAAGACTCCATGATATATAAGGCTTATTATCAAGTTCAATTTATATCAAAGCATGACGTCAATTTATAAGGTAGTTTAATTCGACGAAAACCAAAAATATCAGAATCGACACTTTTCATCCACTTTCTCAGATGAGAAGGCAACGGCCGTCGTCGCATCTTGATACTGACCAGTGATAGGGTAAAGGGTAATATAAATACTTTTTAAATAACTATGGCAGACCGATTAATCTATGTTAGTCCATTGAATACTGAAATATTGCCTTACATGTAGAATAAAATGCAAGATCCTCCAATATTATAGTTTTGTCTCCTGATGACTATTAATTATTGTGTTTTTGGACTAGAGGGGTCAATTCGCTCAGCTAAGGACATCTGAGCTGGTTTTAAGATCTCATTCGCTCAGCTAATGGACATCTGTGAGCTGGTTTGAAGATTACCAAATAAATAAATGTAAAAGGGTAATACTAAGTATTACTTATGTAGAACTTTTCCACTATAACTTTATTTGTTTACCTAAAAGTTGACTGAATTGGAAAATGCATTAACACTAAGCACTTAGTTCGCTTAAAACAAGTGGCACTTAGATGTATTAAAGTTACGTATACACTACTCCGTTCATCAAGCAACGAAAGGGGTAGAAACAAAGAAAATCGAACCGATCGGTTATTTCCAGGGGGATTGATGTTTCAGGAGTTTTGATTTGGACTGGACATCAGCAATCAAGTCTTCGCATTGCAATGGTCAAAGTCACGTATAGTAATCGCCTTCTCAGATAGATATATTGGGTGATCAGAAAAAGTACTTACGCATCCAGCAAAGCATATAATGCACAGCAGTTTATTTGGCGTTTAAATTATCTGGCTTGCTTAGATTGTATAACCTGTAGGGAAAAGGCTTACACAACGCTAAGACGTAACAAATCCCATCGAACAGTCATGACTGCCATTTTTGGAAATGCCCCCAATCAGCAAAGTCATGAGACAGTGAATATGCCCGGCAAAATGCTTCTATTACGCTTCAATTTGCATTACATGTCATAAGACACAGCAAAAATCAAATTATCAGATGAGGTGTGGTTGATGCAGAGTGCAACTACCCTGCGTGCAGAGTCTAGTTAAACTACACCATATTACAGTTTAGTAGCCCCGCCCCCTCGACGGGTACCGGTGACAGTTTGGGTAATAAATCACTTCTGACCTACGCGCTGACCTTTCTTCCACTAATCAGCGAGCTTGAAGAAACATACGCCAAATGCGTTCTAATTAAATATGCGCATGTCATTGGTCAATTCCGGGCTCAACGATGACGTCAGAAGGAATGACCATATATAGAACTTCGGTCAAATGTTGCCGACGAACACTGATTTGCGAGGTGAGTTCACAGGTTTATTTTAGTTTGAAAGAGTGAAGACGAAACTCTCTCTTAAGAAGTGAAGTCAAACGAATGCATTATACATTAGGCGTACCATTAGGTTTTACATGCATGTACGTTCAAGAAAAAGTAAAAGGACACCATCAGAGACATATTTGGACTCATAGAGTGTATGGGCAATGAGTAATCCGCTCCAGGAACCTAGGTAGTATTGTAAATTTGAGGAATGGATGGTCACTGTTGAAGATCATCCACAATCTGATTGCAAGAGAAGCTTGTCACTCATTTCATCACCCTCGTGTTTACCGCATCGCGCGTCCAACTATCACTCTTAACTTGGTACATGAATGTTCTCTGTGAGGCTATTGGGAAATCAATTCACTGAATTACAATGTGAACAACCAAAACGGACATACATTGACTTTATCAAGTCAGCGTTTTCTGGACACATCACTTCACAGGGAAACAAAGTTAGCATGAGTGATTCGAGTCAACGATAAACTCTTCAGACCAAATACATCCAGGATTTTTCAATATGATGATGGAATTTATATTTAGCATCCTTCTTATCGGAACCTTACAAGTGACATCATGTTGTTCTAACATCAATGGACACACATTTCAAATACTGAAAAATAAAAGATGTGAAGCCTATACCGTTATAGACACACTGTACAACATTCGCTCGCAGACGATCTGCCTTGCAAAGTGTGCAGTTTTGGCTGAATGCGCAGGAGTAAATTTTGAGAAAAGATCCACTACTTGTGAATTGATTGCTTCGAGTAAGATAATAACTTGTCTATTTACGACAGACGCGGATTGGAATCATGGGTATGAAAACGAACACAGTCAAGACTGTCAAGCCTTATGGGAAAAGAACTTCACGCAAGATGGCGTTTATATCATAAGACCAAATCCAAACCAATCGGCGTTTAATGCTTATTGTGACATGCAAGGTGGCGGATGGACTGTCATTCAAAGACGTTATGACGGGAGTGTCGAATTTCACAACCAAAATTGGACGGAATATAAAAATGGTTTTGGGGACGTTTCCACTGAGCATTGGTTGGGAAATGACCTCATTCATCTCATTACAAATTCAGGAAATTATGAGATTAAATTTGATCTGATGACTCCAGACAATGTTTGGCACAATGCGACATATTCTAATTTCTCAATACAAGATGAAATCGCGGATTATGAACTATCGATTGGGCCATTCATAGGTGGCAATACAGATGCCATCGGGGCTTCCAATCCTAAACAGGAACCCCATGGCATGAAATTTTCCACACTTGATGTCGTCAATGACTTACGGAATGGTTCAACGTGTGTAGAAATGTACAATGGGGCAGGCTGGTGGTATAACTCGTGCACAACTGTAAATCTAAATGGGAATTACAGCACGGATGGTGTCTACCATGACCATAAACAGGGTATCAAATGGAAACCCCTTGCGCCGTCAGACACTAGTGTATCTTTAATGGCTACCACCATGAAAGTAAAACGATCTCCCTAATCCACAGAATTGTAATTCTGTAATCCACAGGACAGTGTTGTACGCTTTTGAGTTTTTACATTGTTTTGCAGATCGAGCCAGTAGACGTTTTTTGGGGGAGCCCGCCCTTGAAGTTAACTGTTTTACTTTTAAAATGCCCCTCCTCCTTAGCAAAAGCTGACTACGGACCTGCAGGTCTGGGCCCCTGGCTAGACCCAAACCTTATGGAACATTTCCCTCCATGTACAAAGCATGCAATCGAGCAGATTCTTAAAGTTCATCAAATTATAAACATATTATTAAAGTCTGATGACCATCAAAGTGCTTTGAATGATTCTCTGGTTCGGTTCTGGTTCGCTCAGTTATCGACCGTCATTGTCTAGACATTTCCAAATAAATGGATGCAGAAAGCTGGTACAAAGTAAAAGTTCTCATCTATATCTAATACCTTATTTAATTGTTATATTAAAGTAGATACAAATAAAAGTAGATGGAAAACGCACTTTAAAATGCACTTAGTTCGCTCAATATCACTTGTAATAATACTACTCTTAATGATAGTACTCTGTTCTCCAAGCAACGGAACAGGCATATAATCGAACAAATCGCTTTTAAATTGGACACGTCACAATTTGGCTCCTGATTGGAGATTAAAGGTAATGTACATTGATCACTGGTAAGTTGCCTCACTGGAGCTTCATGCCCCCGTGACCCTCAGGCCTGATTTCTTTAAATGTGTAGTGTACATGCAAAATGATCTTCTATGACCAATGGCCACAAAAACATTTCGGCCCGATTGGTCGACGTTTAGACCCCCCCCCCTCTACCGCGATGTTTGTTTTGTATGGGGTCACTTGGACCTTGAATCTGCTCATATGTATTTTTGGTTGTAATATCGCATACCCCAGGTATTATTGAACATGAAACATTGTGACTTATACTTCATGTGCTAATGAGCACTGACTTTTTGCATTGTGGCGAATCCCATACAAAACAAACATCGTGGTGGGGGGGGGTCTAAACGTCGAGCAGTTGGGCTGACACTTTTTTAGTAGATAATCAAAAAGTAAGGATGACTTGAGAAAAAGTTGGCAAAATGAAACGCCCTAGGATGGATTGATGGATGATGGATATAACAAAATAAACGCATCAAAACACGCTAGTCGTCAGAGACAATATTTAGTTCTGAGAGATATAATAAATTAACCCTCTAAACGCCACCTATTAAATAATGTATGGTATCGTATGATGTATTTTTTCTTATCTCTGAAAATCCCGATCTCGGATACATTCATATATATAGAAAAAATAAATAAATAATAAATAAAATAGAATAGAACTAAGCATTGTAGTTCGATTGAACCTCACTGACTATGACCCAGTCTAGTACACAATCTAGTTAAAATGTTATTTCAGCATAACAGGGATTATGGTAATCTCTTTTTTTGTTGGCTGCGAGAACGGCTTCTGTATTGTGTTTGTATGAAAGAAAGAAAGCATTGTTCTCTAGTACAGCGACTGGCTATTTGTGCTCTACAACGGATTATGGCATATACCATTCACCTACCAACAGCCATCTTTGGAAATGGGAATTATTAAATATCATACACATCAGAAACAGGCAAAAAGTAAAAGAGGACTTATGACAAGAATGTCAACGCTTTACTAGGAAGTTATTAGGTAATGTGGCATGCTTGTGGTATCGTAATTTTTTAAATTATGTTTTATCTTGAAAATTATGATTACCAAACAAACACCTACTAAGATGTAATACGAAGTAAATTGAAACAATCAATTAATAGTAACTTATAACACTGTCGTCATGTAGTCATGTAGCTCGACATGACATATGCGATGGTAACGATAGCTAGTTAGTTAACGACAAACAGTTAGCATCTTGAAAATACAATCTACACAGGTTGTTCAATACGTATTGATCAACTATCTCAAAATGATGAATATACATGTATAGTGTATTGTATAGTTGTAAATGGATGGCACGATCACCAGAAAATATGTCACCGCGGTCAAAAATAATATTGATGAAAACGTCCGAGGTCGGTCAAAAAATGGTGGCTATAACAGTACGTCTAATAACGCAACAAAGCTTCACATTTTTGATAATGGTTTATTTTGGAATAAAGCACACAGTACACATTGTCGATTTTAGAAAGTGTGTAGTACAATTAACTAAAAACAATACATTGAGACAATAGAGTCGTTAAATAGCCCCTAAAAAACCGAACGCCAATTTGCGAACGTTCCGGGTATCGTTCGCCCTTGCTTCAAATAACAAGATCATGAGTTGTCAGAGTATGCTACTTTACCAATGATCGAATGACTCATGATACTGATACATATGATTGTGTCTTAATCACAGGCTGGTATCGAAATATTTGTCCGCTGTGACGGAGCATGCTATTTTTCATAAAAACACTAAGAATACTTCACGATTTATTTTTTAACTCATATGTTTCGTTATACCATACAATATTACTTACTCCATGCAATGGATATATCATTTGCGGGTAACTTTCACTTCTGTTTGAAGTCCAATTACGCTGGGAAGAAAAGCTATTGAAAATGGCGCCGGAGTATCATACTTCAAAATGTACCATTTCTCGTTTAACTTTCTAATGGCACGATATAGTGACACGATAATATTTACACATGGTTTCAGCATAACTATGAAGGTATAAATGAGATGTTGATGTATTTGGTCTTTTTAATTCTTTTATAAAAAATAATATTTAATTTTTTTGTCCGCTGTGACGGAGCAGTTGCAAATGTAAACTGTGAAAATGCTCCGTCACAGCGGACAAAAAATATTAATATTATATTTTACAAAAAATATTAAAAAGACCCAATGCATTAATATCTCATTATTACATTCAGAGTTATGTTGAAAACATATGTTAATATTATCGTGTCACTATATCATGCCATTAAAAAGTTAAAAAAGAAATGGTACATTTTAGAGTTTGATACTCTGGCGCCGTTTTCAATAGATTTTACTCCTAGCGTTATTGGACTTCAAACAGAAGTGAAGGTTACACGCAAATGATATATCCATTGCATGGAGTAAGTAATTATCTTTGATATAACGAAACATATGAGTTAAAAAATAAATCGTGAAGCATTCTTAGTGTTTTTATGAAATATAGCATGCTCCGTCACAGCGGACAAATCTTTCGATACCAGCCTGTGTTAATGTTGAAAGATCGGACTAACCTCAAAAACACACATATAGGCGCCAAAAATTAAATTTGAAATGATGAAGTAATTTACATTTTTATGTACAATACATTATAAATAATTATACTAGTATCTTCATAAAAAGAAAATTGATGTGCAATTCTATTTTCAGATGCTCTTATAGTTTAAGAACTATATCTTGTTAATATGGAATCTAAAGAGAAAACAGAGGCGGAGGTATCCCAACGTGAAATATACCGAGGACGTCTGGAAAATTTACCTGATAATACTTCTAATATTGTCAGGATTTTCCTCAGCTCAACATTTACAGGTACAATAGACCTAACTAACTACATTATACTATATGAATCAGAAAATAGAATCAGAGATGGGTCTAAAGGGCAACTTTTCCACAAGTGTGCCATTTCAAAGCCATAAATTGGATTTAACATTCAAATAACTGTATTTCTGCCTCTTCTGTGTCTCGTGTCTTGCTTCCATGCATTTTAGTTCTCGTCATGTCTATTTTGAAGTATTTTCGTACTATTTCTTGTCATGTCTATTTTCGTACTTTATTATTTCTTGTCATGTCTATTTTCGTACTCTGTTATTTCTTGTCATGTCTATTTTCGTACTCTATTATTTCTTGTCATGTCTATTTTCGTACTCTATTATTTCTTATCATGTCTATTTTCGTACTTTATTATTTCTTGTCATGTCTATTTTCGTACTCTATTCTTTCTTATCATGTCTATTTTCGTACTCTATTATTTCTTTTCATTCTATTTTCGTACTCTATTATTTCTGCTCATGTCTATTTTCGTACTCTATTATTTCTTGCCATATCTGAACATGCGATGAAATACTGTGATGAAATACAATATGGAGAGCTAATCTATTGCAATTTAACTATTTCCAGATACAGTAGCGGAGAGAAATATCCTACTGGAAAAGGCATATCCTGAACTGAGACAGTTTTGTGCAGAACATGGACTCGACTTCCAGGTAAGTAGAAAACGTTGATATTACTCACAGCCATAGTTATGTTGATGAGTTATGAGTGTTGTAAAAGTACTATTAAAGAGCAGTGGCAAAAACATGAATTATGGAATAAAAATTGAATAATGTTTTCATTTACTCAATGCGTAAATGTTTCAGCATTTTGCATTGTCTTGTGTGTGAATAACTGTTTAATCGAGCTGGGACAGCGATTGTGTAAAGGGGAATTATTTGACAATGATATTTTACGAATACAAGACAATAGAGAAAACTATTATACTTCTCTGGGTTCACACTTTCTACATCGTACAATCAACTTTTATTTCACAACCCGATGGCTCCATATGATGATTTCTCAATAAATCTAATTTTCCAGGTGGTTGACATGCGATGGGGCGTTCGAGATGCGATGACGTCAGATCATCACACAACAGAACTGTGCCTCAATGAGATATACAACTGCCAGAGACTTTCGATGGGACCAAACTTCTGCGTTAGTTGAGTATTAATAATTATTTTTTTCTTTTGCTACTTGACCATAGTGATCTGGTTCAGTTATCTATAGATTTATGTAAATTGCTATAACAAAAATATGAGAATTTTTATACAGAGACCTTATCTAACCAAGTTATTAAACACGATGCCCTTAAGGTCTCTTGACAATTACAATACAAAGTGTAAAGATACTTTATTGACACCCTGTACTTTTAGTTACTACTTGGTGGACGATATGGCACTCGACCTCTCCCAGCAAAAATTGAAGGCCTTCTTCTGAAAACCATCGAAAAGTTTGCTAAAGAAGATGACATCAAAGTGTCTCTAATTGACGAATGGTATCACCTTGACAGTAATGCTGTCCCCCCTGAATATATACTTCAGCCAATCACAGACAAATTCCCATATTTTATTGATGACAATCCAAAAAATCGAGAGCTGCAAAAGAAAGCTAAAAGTGATTGGTGGGAGGTTAATTGTGAAATCAGCGCCATCTTTCGTGCAGCGTCTGCAAAAGCTCTAAAGCAAAAATGCATGACCTTTAAAGACTGGCAACTTTTTAATATATCGGTGACGGAGGATGAAATCAAACGGGGATTACTTGATACAACTGGACCAACGATGGATAAATGTATCATCATAAACAGAGACATTGATGATGTCGACTTCAACGATGCAAAGGCATACAGATATGTTGATATGAATGATACAAAAGATGCAATGAATGAAGAAAATGCTGCGCTTCTGGAAAACCTCAAAGAGATGGTTATTCCAACAAAAATTCCCGAAAATGAGATAAAGAAATACCAGTTACAATGGGAAACAAATGGTACGTAAATTGGATCTGTCAGCATATTGATCAAAATTCATGTTTGGCCGTATGGTTTTTGAAAATATCACTTAAATTGTTGAACTCACTCCAAAAAACTCCATTTGAAAGATAAAATAAATACTGTTTATATTTGAAAATATATACCTATATCTAATTCCAAAAACAACAGAAAAGCCAGTAAACTAGATCTCTATATATACTTAGTAATTTAAAAAGAAGCTACATAACGTAGGAGATCTATGTTTCATGGGAAATAATCCAATTTCCTTTTCTGATTTCAGGCATAAACCCATCCATTGAAGCCCACGAAAAGTACCTCGAGGACATTAATCAATTTTTCGTATCAAAGGTAAAAGCAATGACGCTGACAGGCCTTAAGGAGAGGAGCAACGCTGCATCCAACTGGTTATTTGATGAAACCTTACAACATCTCAATATGTGCGCTGCAAGGAGTAAATCATACAACTGTAGAAAGGAAAGCCAGAGACACGTGGATGAATACATAAATGATGACACTAATAATGCTCCTTTTGTGATACATGGAGTGTCTGGCATAGGAAAAACGTCATTTATGTCCAAAATCACTAGTAATGCGATAGAACAACAGTGTGAAGATTCCGCTGTCATTGTGCGCTTTTTAGGTACGTCGCCAAAAAGTTCCCTCATCACTGATACACTGCAGTCAGTTTGTTTGCATATTTGTGAAGCATTTGGATACGACGCACCTAAACAACCCCTCAATGATATCAATGCAGTTATGTCACTCTTCCAGGAACTCATTAAAATAGTCTCTAAAGATGGTCACAAATTGATTGTATGTCTAGATTCGTTAGATCAACTATCTCCGATAGATGGGGCATATGACTTAAGTTGGCTGCCGTTTGAGTTACCTCAAGGTATCAAAATAATCATCAGTTTGTTAACTGAATATGCAGGAATACTAAAACGCTGTGAACGATGCATTGAAAACACTGACAATATCCTCCAACTAGGTCCACTCAACGATGATGAAAGCAAAGAGATCATGAATACCTCCCTTGCAAATGTCAAACGAACCATAACTAAAGACCAAATGTCAATTTTAGAGAGTGCGTTCATGCATTGCAATAGCCCTCTTTTTCTGAAGCTAGCCTTTGAAGAAGCAAAGACATGGCGTTCTTACTCCAACCTTGATGAAACAACACTAGGGAACACAATACAAGGAGGGATAACACTACTGTTTGAACGATTAGAAGAGAAACATGGTCAGTTGTTCTGCAATGCAATGGCATACATTACTGCATCCAAGTAAGTCAGCAAGCCGTTTAAATCTAACCTATCCAAGTTCGGGCTCATCTAACTGAATGTTATTTAGCTTTTATAAAAAGGCGCTTTGAGCATTTACTTTGATGTCAATTTTGATATCTAACTGATTACTTTTGAATGTGAATCATACTTTGTTATACTATTTACATGAGGCAACTCAAACTAATAACACAATAACACAAGACTAACAGATATGTTTCTTAAATAGCTTGAGTTGGAATAAACTCCCCATTTTGAACACAATCACTGAACAACGATCCATTAACCATCATGCTAAGGTGAGATTAAAACATTTCAGGAATGGTGTCACAGATCTCGAAATGGAGAACTTGCTCTCCAGTAGTAATGAAGTGCTAGATGATGTCTACCAGTATTTCTCCCCACCTGTTAAGCACTTGGTCAGAGTTCCACCATTACTGTGGGCCAGACTCAGACAGGATATCCATGAGTATCTATCTGAAAGACAGGCTGATGGAAAAACTGTGTTAGCACTGTACCATAGGTGGGTTCACAATCCGATGTCTATCAACAATACTTTCATGGTTTGCAATTTAAATACAAAAGTGTCAACAAAATAGTAAATGTTATATGTAACTGTATTGTAATTGCTTTCACATATTTTTTCTTTGGAATAAAATTTAATTTTAAAAAAAGGTTTGCAACGGGGTATTCAAATGTAATAGTTGATCTTATAAGCGATGTATAATTTATATTTGATTTAGATTAGATTATCTTTATTTAATTGTCCTATATATATATATATATCAATTGTTGTAATTCAGTGGATAGTTTTGTATTTCAGACAGTTTATCGAGGTTGCAAAAAAGCTTTATCTCAGTAATAGTGTGAAGACGAGTGTCCATTCAGAGCTAGCAGACATGTTCCTCGGAGTTTGGAGCAATGGTAAGAAGAAGGAACTCTATCTTACGAAAAGAAAGGAAACCCTCCTCGCTGATAGGAAAGTTGAACCCCAACCATTGTGCTATGAGGGTGGCTATTACAATATGAGAAAACTCAATGAGCTGCCATTCCATTTGCTGAGATCTGGTCGTCACGAGGAGCTGATCGATGTCTGTTTTGGTAACTTCAAGTGGATAAATACCAAAATAAAGGCAACAAACATTTTGGCTGTTATCCGGGACATTGAAATGGCTATAGCAGAGACATCAGAAGTAGAGTTGGTCATTCTGAGAGACGCACTCAGGTATTTTTGACATTCTGATCCACTATGAGCACCAAAAAAACTTTAACATTGAAACCTTACACATTTTCTCCCAAATCAACTGCTAATTGTAATCCAAAAATTAAAACTGTCTCAACATGTCAAACTTATTGCTTAGTAAATACTTGATATTAGTATGGATGTATGTTTGTATGTTGGGTAATTAATTTAAAGTAACATGGATCTACATATTTTAATATAGGCTCATCAAACCCACAGTGGAATTCACCCCTGGAGTCCCCCTTGCTCCCGAGATCATCGGGCGTCTTCTTATTAAGGCGGACAAACATCTTCACTTAATTGGAAAGGTGAATAACCAGAACTATATTACATAGAAATATAACTATCAAAAGAACTATAAGGAGACATTGACAATTAAGTCATTAGTGAAAGTAATTTTAGCTATCAGCATTTACATTGTCTAACATGGTATTTCAATAATATTTGCTTATCATATATTTATTTAATCCAAAAATGCACCAATGTCATTGTTAGAATGAGAAATAACTGTTAGCAAAGATTTTATATCTTATTCATATATTATTCAGCTGGTATCTCAGGCTATACAATATTGTGAGGAAGCAGAAGAGGACATCCTCATCCCAACAGTTCCATGTTTTATATCACCTGGTGGCGTTCTACGGACAACATTGGTGGGCCACAAACAAGGTGTCAATGATGCATCCATGAATGAAGATTGTTCGCTCATGGTGACTGCAAGTTCTGACCATACAGCAAAGCTCTGGGACCTTAAAGATGATATCGTCATCCACAGCTTATTCCACTTAGGTAATGCAACGATTTTCGTCCATGATATGAGGCGGTCAAGTTGCAAGTTTTGAAGAGAGGGCGAACGTATAATATTATGACCACTCATAAGAGTCCTCCTTTCTGTTTTCCCAGGAACCTAATAAAAACTTTTTTATCAATGCCTCCATACTCAATCGGGCGAGTAAATGATACGACAGGGAGAACTAATCCATAAAGGCCAGAATTTTCCACGTTTACATGAAACAAAACTTAAAAACATGTAACACAGCCTTCATATTGAATGCAAAAACTACACCGATTTTGAACATGTAGGAAGACCAATATTGTAATACACACGTACATGTATATTAGTTAAATATTCATCTAAATTTAATTTCAGATCCTGTCGAGAGTTGTCTCCTGCTGAGCAAGAAGAACATCATAGTGACATTTAGTAATCTTCAAATTTTTGTCTGGGATACTTCCACACGGAAACTCAGACATACATTAGAGCTTGGTAGAACATATAATGGAGGACAGATGGCGTCCACAACGAAGACGCTGCATAAAACGTTAACGACAAAGCCTAAAATGTGTGCCCTGTTAAATGGAAATGTTGTCTGCGCTGTAAGGGGAGCGGTATTTGTGGTAGATATAGCAGAAGGGAAGGTTGTCATTGAGGTAAAAGGTGGCGATCGACTTGTTTCCTGCCTCTCTATATGCCAAGGCACTCTTATAATAGTAGGTTATCACGATGGATGCGTGAGCTCCATAAGCACTGCTGATGATGGAGAAGATGAATTGTATCTACAGCACAAAGATGAAGTGACAGGTCTGGCCACGACTGCAAATTCGGGTACTATAGCAAGTGTCTCACTTGATGGATCCATTGTCGTATATGACACCACAATGAGAAAGGTCATTCAGCATATAAACCCAAATGAGTCTGAGCCTCTGTATTCCGTGGCTTTACCACCGGATGAGGAATTTGTTGCCGTGGGTTCAATCAACGCTATCAGAGTATGGACAACAAAAGATGGTCGGATACTTCACAAGTTTCTAGGGCATTCAGGAGTAGTCAATTCTTTATGTTTCACTGGCTATAGTGGTGAATCTCGAGCAAATGGTCCAACTTTGGTATCGGCCGCAAGTGACTGTTCTGTCAAAGTTTGGGATCTAGGAAACAATGAGCTTAAATCTACATATACTGGGATGGCTGGAAATGTTACCAAGCTTATAATAAATGATGACTATGACACAGCTGTGTCTATCTCTGATGAATCGCCTTTTGTGAAAATATGGCACTTGAACCCGAATTTAAACGATGTTGTACCCGAGTTCCAAAATGACACTGAAATTACACCTGTCATTTTCCCAGATGGTAAACACGTGGTTGCCTTAGACGCGGATTATGTATCGATCATGATGTTTGATATGGTTTCTGGGAAAAAGGTTTTCTCTACTCTAGCTCACGATGCTCCAATCACAAGCATGGTGTGTACTTCCTGTGGAAATCACGTGATTACCGGTGGGATCGATCATACTGCACGTGTTTGGCAAAAGGAACGACTTCTCAAAATGTCATTACGATATGAATTCGAATCTGAAGTGAGACTCGTAGCCACACACCCAAATAAGAATTTGTTTGTTGTGGCCCTTAGTGATAATCGAATCAAACGGTGTCACGTTGAGAGACATGAGTGCGATGATGTTGAAGTCGATCTCACAGATGCTGATATTACGACACTGGCAATGAGCGATGAGCTCATTATATATGGCACTGATAATGGCAAAATATACGCTTGGAGCTTTGACAGTACCGCTCATCCGGTGCACGTGTTTCAAAAGCATAGCACTCCAGTGAACTACATCACCGTGCAAAATAACCTAATGGCATCGGTAGCTAAGACTGACAAACATATACAAATCTGGGACGTTACTATGGGACGAAATGTGCATCAATTAGAAATCCGGAATAAGTTTAACAGTCAACTTCCACGTACAGTAACAGCGATTTCATTCCTACATGATGGTAAAATACTAGGAGTTGGTTGCTATGAGAGATCTGTGGAGTTGTACGATGTAGTTCATGAGAGAAGACTCCTCCCCGATGGACAATATGTCTACTTCCCAGTTACACACATTTGTTCAAGTAAAAATCAAAATATCTTGGTGGCGACACAAAATGGCTTCCTTAGTTCATACAAACCGCACATACATGTAACCACAAACATTACCATGGAGGACATGAAGGGACAATCTCTGACAAAAAGCAATCGTATTTTACTCCCAAGTAAGGAAAACGTTACGACATATAATGTTAACGATATAAGAAAGATCGGGCATACTGAGAATGTACGTGACAATAAAAGACATGAGGCTCGAAAGGAACACGCCAGAGTTGTTCCGAATAAGGAACTGTACAGAAGAGCGGTGTTTATACAGGGTAGACACAGAAATGCTTCTCAAACATGCACAGTAATGTAACACAATAACGCAAATGCGAGTAGGTAGTTACCGATTTCACCACCAGGTGGCTCGCTCGGGTCAGATAGCATGGCGGGTATAGTAGAAAGTTCCCTTTAACTTAAATTACATCTGTTTAGTGGTTCAATTTTCATAAAGCCCTTATGTATCGAATAGTTATGGAAATTTAAGTACGTCCAGTAAAGGAAAATGTTATATGTCCAATACAAGAAAAGATATTTCACTTTTTGTGATTTTTTAGTATGGGGTCTATGGGGAATCAACCCGAACTAGAAGTCACATTTTCAAAAAAGATTAAATTTTCAAAGTTGATAAACAATTTTCGAAAGCATACATTTAGATGTAATTTTACATGTAGATTTCAAATATGACATCACTTTGACTGAATTCTGAATATTTAATGACGTAAATCAAGATCATTTCTACTCGCATCTAGTTTATTCACGTATGACATGTACAACCTCTCTACATTTGCCAGAAACTTTGCCAGAAACTTATTCAAAGCATAAGGGTGCATCATACGAGATTTTATCCCATACCTAAGTGTTATAGGTGAATAACATGCGGGGATATAATTGATATCTGACGTGAGCGGGAGATATATATATATCACCCGCTCAACAATTTTCGGGAATTTCGTTTTATGTTAAAAGCTGTGGAGTTTTTAAATAACAATAAATGTTAAGACCTTTGCATTTAGATAAGATATTTATGTTTTGATTGTAGTTATCATTTGTAATTACTACATGAGGGTTCTAAAACATTCAATGCATACTTAAATATAATCTACTAATCTTCAAAATCTACTAAGCATGGAATAAATCAGTTATTAATGCTCGGTTTTTGATACAGGGTATATCCCTCGGTAAATACAATATATCAACCCTTGGTCCTTACGGTCCCTCGGGTAGATAAATTGTATTTCCCTTAGAAATACTCTGTATCAAAAACCTCCTATAAAATTACCTCTATATACGTCATGACTGCAAAGCAGCTGAGCTTTTAGAAACTTTCCACGAGATTTTCACCCAGCGACTCTCCACATAAAGTTGCACTGAAATCTTTGCTGAAAACTATTGTGGTTCTACGGACTAAGTGTGGGGGGGGGGTATCTAAGCCATGATCATATCAGGCTGGCCATGTTGCTAGAATGACGATATATAATCACTCCAAATGCCAAAAATATTTGAACCCTGGGAGCTTGCTTTTTGTTATGAAATAACCCCAAAGATTATAAAAGTTGTTCAACCTGTTGATTTGTCAAGTGATCAGTTTCAGGAAAGGTTTCAGGAGGGGAAAACCCAGAGCTTAGAGAGAAATTGATGTAGGTGTATTCCGTGCACCTTTCTTTCATATTGATATGAAATTTCATCTTGATATGAAATAAGAAGCTGTTGTATTAGTTAACTCGCCAGAAATGAACATAATATTATTCGAAGCGTATTTCGAAGATTTTAAGGCGCCAAAATTTTATATATATTTTTTTCTGAAGAAAATGGTGTGCGTCATACATGTTTTAGCTCCAAATATCTTGTTTAAAATATGTATAATAGAAAACTAAAACGTGCTGAATTTTAATAACTTATCGGCTAAACGTCAAGTGATAACGGATAAGTACACTGACAGCGCTAAGTTTTATATTTTAGAAATCTGATGCTGTTAAATACAGGTATCTATGGTACACGGTAAAATGAAAATGAGACGTTGGTGACATATTCATTTTATTTAAAAAGAAATAATTGATAACATGTGGCTTTATTGCCACTTCAACTTTCATTAAATTAGCCAGGGCACGAAAAAAGGGGTCTTATCACCGATTTTTCAATATTTTGATTTTTGTTTATCTCAAAAAGGCACATAGAGACCTTTCAAATGAGCATTGGCTTATGCCTTAACAATTTTCCTTGCAGATATAGACGAAAATACAGATTTGAATTTAGCCCACGTTTCTCTTAAATCTTTGGCACATTTTTGCCTCTGTAGCAGAATTTAATTTTTTGTGATAAATTGACCGGTTTTCCTATGTATATTTGTATTTGTACCCAGTTAATCATCAGACGCTTACCAGGATCTCATGAAGTAAAGCTGCAAGAACCAATGCATACCAACATGATCAATGCACCCCATGCAGACAGATCGCCTAAAATTACATTTGTATGATGAAAGACTTGACATTCAACAGGAAGTTCTACAAGTATGAGAATAGCATGAAGTACTGATATTTCAAGGTAACATCACATGATTGTTTGAAAATGATAGCAGGGATTGAAATTACGATGAAAAGATAAAACCGCAACGAAATATTTAAGGATTTCTTTGAAAAACGGAGAAATATACATCTCAAATAGAATTTTTCGAAACAGAAAAGTATGTAAAAAAAGTAAGGCCTGCAGGTCCAATTCCCCCTGGTAGCATTAACATTGGTCTCGTATACGTCATACAATTAATATTTGAAACATAACTATTATTCTAACTATATGATGTTACCTTGACCTTGAGATGACCTTTACCCAGTAACACTGACCTTGACCTCGGGTCACCTTATCATGGGTCGCCAAGGGTCAAGGCAGCCCCCAGATTGTAAAACTCAATGACCCTGACCGATAAACATAGACTTTGACCTCACAGCTTCAGGTCACCTGAGGATTGTTCGCCAATGGTCATAGCAGCTCGAATGACCTTATATCTCTACACCTAGCTATTGACCTTTGAATTTGGAATGACATTGGTCACCAAGGGACACAGCAGCCCAAAGGTCCATAAAACGCCAAAAATTTACATATTCACCCATGAACTTAAGATAACCTTGACCCATAAACATTGACCTTGACTTCAGGTCACCTAAACATGGTCGTCACTGGTCACAGCAACCCAAAGGACCTTAAACCACAAAATACTTAGATATTGAATTTAGACCTGGGAATGACCTTGACCTCAGGTCACCTAATCGTGGGTCGCCAAAGGTCACAATAGCCCCTAAATACATTAAATAGCCAATTACCAAGATATTGACCTTTAACCTTGGAATGACCTTGGCCCATAAAGTTGATCTTGGCCTCAGGTCACCTAATAATGGGTCGTCAAAGGTCACACCTTACTGTAAACTAATGGTTTTAAAAAGCTAAATACCTAGATATTAACCTTTTACCTTGGTATGACCTCTGACTTTCATAGAATGCTTAACGACCCAATCAGTATGTTGACCAAGTATGAGGACTCAAGGTCAAACGGTCCAGGAGGAAATGTGTGGACGAATCGAATGACAGACCAAACGATCGTGCTTTGTAGTAAGAGTTATAATTAAACTGTACTTTTGATAATATTGATGGATTTGCGGCGGGGTAAAAATCGTAAGTATACAAAAGTTGTTCACTTGCATTCAGTAAATATAATCTTTCGTGAGAACTGCGTTGAATCAACGTGGTAATATGTCTTTTGGAAATAAATGTGTTGTGTGGCGTTACACATGTGATTCTGCGTTGCGACCAACTGATAATGAGGCCTCGGGTGGATATTTACGCAGTATTGTCTCTCCCCGGTAATATCACCTCGAAAATTGTTTAGAAACGCACTGGACGAAACAAACCCATATTCCGAGAAGTCAACTCGTCGATCATAATAGGCTACATTACTGTGTTATATAGGATTTTCACATAAACATATCCAAAATGGAAGGTAAGACTGAATACGTAAAGAATTCGATTAATTTCGGCGAGCCTTGGGATGAAGGAGATATGGTGCTGATAAGTGAAAGTGATGAGAAGGTGTACGCTTCAAATGCTGTGCTCAAAATGATGTCTCCGGTATTTAAAGCAATGTTCAATTCTGATATGAAAGAAAAGAATATGACCGAGGTTAAACTCCCGGGAAAAAGCACAACGGATCTTGTTGTCTTTATGGAGGCAATACATCCCAACACTTGGGCAACTGTTTCAGGTACATATGATATTTTAAGAATAAAGGCATGCAGAATCGAATATTTACGGGATGATAAAATAGCAAGCAACGTGGCAATTGATTTAACGATGAATTCCTTTTGATCTCAAATACAATATCTTTCTAGCTTAGCTCGCATCTAATTTTCCCTTTAACTAGAAAATAACAAAATAAAACCTTTTGAATTTGACGATTTATGTCAAAGATGTTTAATTCTTATATGTAGAACAGTACGGTATGACATCTTCGCACGCTTGGTTTTCATGGCGTTCTAACCAAGGAGAGCCAAATGAACGAAGATGTGAAATAAGGGAAAACGACAGTTATTTTTATAGTATAACAGATGTCCATCTAAAAAATTATTTCAGTTTGGAATATCGATGTCCTGTTACAATTATCGAGAGAGTACCTAGTAGATAAGCTAATAAAAAGATGTGAGAATTATATGGCGGAGGCAGAACCGTGTCTCGCGAACTTTATTCGTGCGGCTGAATATGGATTCCAGGAAGTCAAAAAGAAGAATATGCAATTTGTCCTTGCTCAGCCACTAACTGTTCTCCAGCAACATTATTGGTTTTCAAAGCTAAAAGATGATGATCTTGTCAACATATTGCAAACGAAGGTTTTAATGCAGGAATATGCATTTTGTACAACAACTAATCTACTTAATAATTACTTTGATGAAGATTATACATGCAATGCTCGACTAAGATCTGGAAAAGCATCAGTATCATCATGGGCTCTACCACCGATAGAGCCCATGGTATCATGTACCAAAGAGCAAAGAAAAGGGAACTTGAAACTATGTCCACACAAGACAGCAACCCTTAGAAAACAGACCCAGGATGCTTATGATAAGTTTTGTAGTTATAAAAAAACGACAGATTTTGTGATACATCCTCCAGGCCCGTAGCCAGGATTTGCCAAGGGGGGGGGGGTTCAATTTTCAAAAATGTCCAGGGGGGGTTCACATTTGACAATTTTGGCACAAATATGGCTAAAATCACTTGAGAAGTGCTCAAAATGATGAAAAACTGCATGATTTTGAAAGAATTTTTTTTTGGGGGGGGGGGGTCGCCCGAACCCTGCGAACCCCCCCCCCCCCGGCTACAGGCCTGTCCTCGAACGACAACACAGATTAATAAAAGCACGATCATGAATAATAATTTTAAGGAGCAATTTCTCATGAATGTTTCAAGAGTAAAACAAAAAGGTATGACATCAATGAATCATATCTCAATAAGGCGTGATTTTTTGTTTCTACTTACGGCACACCATATAACTTTGTACTAATGTCAATATGACAAAAATGAAAATGTAAATAAATAAAATGTAGTTTTTTTTTATATACCAGCCTTACTATTGAGAGTCTTACACAAAACGCTTTATACAGTTATATTTTTGTTTTTGAGGCGAATAATGGTTGTAGTGGCAATATTTCACTTAAACCTGAACTTAACTTCGAGTTGAAAGTATGATACCACTCTCTCTTGACTTGAGCTCTTCGTATAAGACTCTATGATGTAAATCGTCATCTTTCTTTCACACGTAGCAGGAGTTGGTATTCTGTACAGTTATACCACGGTTACAGTACCCCTAATTACTAACAGATGGCCAAGAACGACTCGCTGATATCGTTTGCGAACTTTTTGAATGAGGTCATGTTGGTTTTATGCTTCGATTTGAATTAGCCTATATACACATGTGAATAAACTGTTATGAACATGTTGCAAACATATTTCGGCACCGAATGCGCCACCCTATATTCATTGTTACCTTATACCTTCTGCATATAGTAATGTTTTTTCCACACCTGGCTCTTCTACTGTCAAACTAGCCGCCATATTTATCGGGATCCATCAAAAACACATTTCGGGACACTTACTTGCTCGAACGAAATTCTAAACCCAGGATATTGATCACCCGGGGTGTTATTGGCACTTCAACTTAAATGAGCTAGGGCACGGGAAAATGGGTCTAATCACAGACTTTTTAAACATTTTGATTTTTTGTTGATCTTAAAAAAGCACATAGAGCCTTTCAAATGAGCCATGGCTTATGGCTTAATAAGTTTTCCTTGCAAATATAAACAAAACATATTACTGTGCTTGGTACCTACCCTTATATTAAAGGTGGCGTTTTTTAACTACCCTCTCATTTAAGGCCAAAGTTAATTCATGCATCATTCTTTTGACCTGCGTTTACTCATTTATTAGCAAAATATATCAGGGTGCCCAATATTGTAGCCAAATTATCTAAAATTATTTTCATAAAAATGGGCCTTTTGAATAGAAAAGAATCATAACACTTCAGTCTTTTTGAAAAATGTAATCCTATTTTCTTTACTTTATTGCTATATTTACTGTTATTGAAAATTGTATATCGGATGTACGTTTGGCCCTAAAAGGGCATCAGTACTAATACAATCCTATTATTAATATTAACACATTTACAATTAACTCAGGACCCAGGTGATAAAATCATGTTTATGCTTTCGTCGTTTCTTTGTAACGGAGAAAGAGTAAAGGACAATGCCAAGATTGATGAAAATCAAAGTCATGATTGGCAATCTATTTCCATTTGTTTATGGGTTTAATGTATTCAGTATGAATAATTTACAATAATTGATCAATGCATGCAACGTGACAAATAGATCCGTTTCACAAACCCTGCCTATCGAACATCAATAAGATCATATTTCAATTTAATTGAAAGCAGACATACATTATCGCGTTATATAAGACTTCATAATAAAAATATATTTCGAAGGTTTTAAAAATATTTTTGCCACTTAACATTCGTAATATGCATTCATAACATCTTTTCAAAAATAAAACGATTAAACTACAACCAAATCTACATTACTGAGCAGGTTTTGGAAGAGTCCTTAAACTTTGCCTGTTGTATAACCTGTGCTCTTTTATAAAGTTCCTTATTTGGCACTCTTTGAGTACTTGCTCTTGGATTGTTGTTTCCATGTCCGACCCAACGTGCACTCTCAACAAATCTTATTTTGCTAACATTTTTGGCATCATACTGTACGAGTTTCTTTCGACTGATTCCTTGTGGTGGAGCTTGGTCAAGCAGACTGGTTTGCTTCTTCTTTGAAGTGATATCAGTGACAAGGTGGATTTTGTATGAGCTGAGAAACCCGTTTTTCGTTGTCAACAGAATGTTCATTTGATCTTGACTGGAGCAAATGGTTGTAACTGGAGAGTAAACGTACTGGCCATCAGGCAAAAGGCTTCTACCTTGGGCTACATCGTATAAATAAACAGATCTCTCGTGACAACCTATTCCAAGTATTTTACCATTGTGTAGAAATGACATTACTGTTATCGTACAGTGTAGTTTGTCATTGGCCTTGTTTGTCACTTCTAACTGATGTACCTTTCTCCCGGTAGCGACATCCCAAACTTGAATACATTTGTCATTTTTCGCTACTGACGCCATTAAGTTATTATGTACCCTGAGCAATGTCACCGGTGTGCTATGTTTCTGAAATACATACGTCAAACAGGACATAAAGTCAAAATTCCAGGCGTATATTTTGCCCGTGTCTGTGCCATAGAGTATGAGCTCATCACTCATGACTATTGAAGTTATATCACCATCTCTTAAATCAACTTCAACATCATCGCACTCGTATATCTCCAGTCGACAAAGCTTAATCTGATTTTCATTCAGAGCCACGACGAATAGTTTCCTATCGGGGTGTGTAGCTATAAGCTTCACTGCTGACTCGAACTCAAATAGTGATGAAAGCTGAAAACGGCCCTGATCCATTTGCCACACACGAGCAGTATGATCGATCCCTCCGGTGATCATGTGATTTCCACTCGGTGTGTTCACCATGCTTGTGATTGGAGCATCGTGTGCAAGTGTGGAGTAAACCTTTTCTCCAGATGTCATGTCAAACACCATAAACGATACATAGTCTGCGTCTAAGGTAACCACATGTTTACCATCGGGGAATATAACAGGCGTAATTTCAGTGTCATTTTGGAACTCGGGAACAACATCCTTCAAATCTGGGTTCAGGTGCCATATCTTTACATACGGAGACTCATTGGATACAGACACGGCTGTTTCATTTGCATCATTTACCATAAGCTTTGTGATGTTTCCAGCCATACCTGTATACGTGGACTTTAGCTCACTGTTCTCAAGATCCCAGACTTTAACTGTACAGTCACTTGCGGCAGATAGCAAAGTGGGTCCAGTGGCTCGAGATTCGCCATTATATCCAGCAAAATAAACCGAATTGACAACTCCTGAATGTCCTAGAAACATGTGCAGCATCTGTCCAGATGTTGTTGTCCAGACTCTGATATCATTGATTGAACCCACAGCAACTAGTTCTTCATCTGGTGATAAAGCCACCGAAAACAGAGGCTTTGATTTATTAGGATTTATATGTTGAATGACCTTTCTTACTGTGATGTCATATACAACGATAGAGCCATCAAATGATACACTTGCTACAGTGCCAGAGTTTGCAGTTGTAGCCAAACCAGTTATTTCATCTTTGTGAAGTGAATACGTTTCATCTTCTCCATTATTAGAAGTGTCAATATACCTTACACACCCATTGTCGTACCCTGCTATTAAAACTGTACCATGGCTGATACATATGCATGAAATAAGAAGATCGCCACCTTGGATTTCATCAATAACTTCCCCTTCTGATATATCCACCACATTTAATGTTCCACCAACAGGGCAGATAATATTTCCGTTGGTGAGAGCAAGCATTTTTGGTTTTGTGGTCAAAACCTTATCTGGCGTTTCAGTTGTGAACGTCATTTCTCTTCCGTTGTCTGGTTTTCCAAGTAGCAGTTTGTCTTTTAGTTTCCATGTGGTAGTGTCCCAGATGAACATTTGGAGATTACTAAATGTCACGATGATTTTCTTGTCGCTTAGTAGTACACAACTCTCAACAGAATCTGAAATCGAAATGCGTTCATAATTTAAGATATTTAAATTAACCCTTCTATCATTTCTGGAATTCATATATAATGCCAAATCTCAATCATTGTTGTGTTTCAAAACATGAATTATTCCATCTGGCTAATCTTAGGATTGCCAAAATATTTAACAGGACATTTGATATTACTGTATTACCTGGATGAAATAGACTCTGTATGACGATATCATCTTTGAGGTCCCAGAGCTTCGCTGTGCGGTCAGAACTTGCAGTCACGAGGAGCGAGCAATCCTCATTTATAACAGCATCGTTTACACCTTGTTGGTGGCCCACCAATGTAGTTCGTAGAAATCCACCAGGTGATATAAAACATGGAACTGTTGGAATGAGTAAATCCTGCTTTGCCTTTTCACACCATTGTATAGCCTGAGATACCAGCTGAATTAGATAAAATTTGATAATTTATAAACAAAGTATGAGAGGGATCATATCAGTATTCATATTCTATCAAAAGATCATTTTGAAGGTAAATCTTGGAGTAGAATAAAATAGTTTGATACCGAATAATACATGATTTTCACAAAGTATTGACCATTGAGAATACCTGTATATAGTAATCTACAAAATTAATCATGGTACAGTTTATATAACTCACCTGTCCAATTAAGTGTGGATATTCGTCAACCTTAATCAGAAGGCGCCCTATGATTTCAGGTGCAAGGGGATTATCAGGGTGGAATTCCACTGTTGGTTTTATAAGCCTAACAATATAAAATAAACATATTACTGTTAATTCACGAATTCATATACTGTAGTTGACTACATTTGACTTTATTGCAAGATAATATATGTATTTGTTTTGTAATTTCAATTTTGCAGATCATTCAGGTCGACAAGTATCTACTTTTCTAGTGTAAGGTTTTCAATGCCCGTTGTGTTTCATGGTAAGAAATGTAGATATGTATTACACAACACATGCAGAAACCAAGCAATACCTTAGGGTGTCTCTCAGAATTATCAGCTCCTCCTCTGGCGTCTCTGCAATAGCCATGTCGATGTCCCGGATAACAGCTAGAATATTGGTCGCCTTTACTTTTGTATTAATCCAATCAAAGTTGCCAAAACAAACATCGATCAGCTCCTCGTGACGACCGGATTGCAGGAGATGAAACGGAAGCTCATTGAGTTTTCTCATATTGTAATAGCCACCTTCATAACACAATGGTTGATGTTCCACTTTCCTATCTGCGAGGAGAGTTTCTTTTCTCTTAGTTAGATAGAGTTCTTTCTTCTTCCCATTGCTCCAAACTCCCAGGAACATGTCTGCAAGTTCTGAATGAACGTTTTTCTTCACACTATCACTGAGATATAGCTTTTTTGCAACCTCGATAAACTGCCTAAAATGGAAAAAATATACGAAACGAATAAAAATGATAACACACATGTATGATTTGAACAGGAAATCCTAAAAACCATACCAGTCACATGATACACTAATACAAAAAGTGAAGCTACCTATGGTATAGGGCTAACACTGTCTTTCCATCGGCCTGCCTCTCTGTAAGATACTCATCGATGTCCTGTCTGAGTCTGGTCCACAGTAATGGAGGTATCCTCACTAGGTGTTTAACAGGTGGAGAGAAATACTGGTAGACATCATCTAGTACTTCATTACTACTTGACAGCAAGTTCTCCATTTCAAGATCTGTGACACCATTCCTGAAATGTCCAAATTAAGAAATACAAACAGTACTTTACATATATATTCAATCAACTGTATCCTTTATGAAAAATATATTATTTGTATTATGATCTCGCATTAAATTACTATTAAATGTGAACGTTCAATCGTAGAATAACCGTAAAGATTTTGACCATCCATTTGCAGTCACAAGATTTTGGACTTTCTATATGGAACACGTCATGTCACCTACGGATGACACTAGAGGAATGGCTAGTAGTAGTATCAGATCTCGCTTTGAAGAACATACTAAATGGAAGATAATAGTGAAGCTTCAATAAAATTTGATTAAGCTTACTTGGATGCGGTGATGTATGACATTGCATTGCAGAACAACTGTCCGTGTTTCTTATGTAGACGCTCGAAAAGCACTGTTATCCCTTCTTGTATGGTGTTTCCCAATCTGATATCATCTAAGGCAGAATAGGATCTCCATGTTTTTGCTTCTTCAAAAACTAGCTTCAGAAATAAAGGACTATTGCAATATTTGAACACGTTTTCTAAAATTGTCATTTGGTCTTCGGTTATTGTTCGATTGACATTTTCTAATGAAGTTTTAATGATCTCTTTACTTTCATCATCTGAGAGTGGACCTAGTTGTAGAATATTGTCAGTGTTTTCTATGCATCGCTCACAGCGCTTAAGTATACCTGCATAGTCTGTAAGCAAACTGGTGATTATTTTGATACCTTTTGGTAACTCAAATGGAAGCCAGCTTAAGTCATATGCTCCATCTATTGGAGACAGTTGGTCTAACGAATCTAGACAAATAACCAATTGGTGGCCATCTTTAGATACTTGTGTAATGAGCTCCTGGAAGAATGATACGACTGTATTGATGTCACTTAATGAACTTGGAGGTGGATCGCAATCAAATGCTTTACAAATCTGTAGGCACAATGTCTGGAGTGTATCAGTGATAAGGGAACTCTTTGGTGATGTACCTAGAAAACGTACAATAACAACAGCATTTGTACCGAGTTTCTCTATTGCATTACGAGTAATCTTGGCCATGAATGACGTCTTTCCGATACCAGAGACTCCATGTATTACCAGTGGAGCCATGTTGCTGTCATCACCCAGGTATTCATCCACGCGTTCTTGATATCCTTTCCTACAATTGTATGATTTACTTCTTCTAGCACACATATTGAGGTGTTGTAGAACTTCTGCAAATAACCAATTTGAAGTTCTAGCGTTCCTTTTCTCGAGAGCAGTCAATGTCATAGTTTTTATCTTTGAAACGAAATATTGATTGAAATCCTCCAGATAAGTTTCGTGAGCTTCAATGGCTGGGTTTATACCTGAAAATAAAAAAATCAATTAAACTTTATAATTCTTAATGAAGTGATGTTTTGTCTTTTAATGTTGCTAATTGTGCTTAACACATTATTTATTGTATGTACATGTATATTGGAATACTGAGTGATGGTGAATAACGAAGTCAGCTTTGTTAGGTGGGGGGGATTATGGTTTCATTAGCGAATACCTAGTGTTGCTTTTTAATATTTAAGTGAAAGTCAAATTTACATTATAAAGAAGACAGGGGTCAAGCCACAACGGCATGAACTTATTTTCTCCACAACTGTTGATTATAGGTAACCATCCCTTTCTATGCTCACATGTGTTTTGTGTCGGTATCCATGCGTATCACATTTTGCAATCATTATCAATTACCAAAAGGTTCAGCTGAAATAGTAACATACTATAAACCTACCATTTGCTTCCCATTGTAGTTGGTATTTTTGTATCTCTGTTTCAGGAATTCCTTTTGGAATAACGTTCTCTTTTAGGTTTGCCAAAAGTTCGGCCGTCTTCTCATTAATTGCATCTTTTTTGTCATTCATATCAACATATCTGTATGCTTTTGGATCTTTAAAGTCAACATTATCAATGGTTCTGTTTATGACAATACATTTGTCCTTTGCTGGTGCAGTAGAATTGACCAGTCCTCTTTTGATTTCTTCTTCTGTTACTGATATATTGAAAATCTGCCAGTTTTCAAACGTCATGAATTTTCTTTTGAGAGCAATTGCAGATGCTGTACGAAAGATGGCGTTGATATCACACTCAACTTTCCACCAATCACTTTTGGCCTTTCTCCGATGTTCCTCATTCTCTGGATCATCATCGATGTAAAATGGGAACTTCTCTGTGATTGGCTGAAGAATATATTCTGATGGAACAGCGTTGGTGTCAAGTTTATACCATTCTTTAACGACAGACAGGTTGAAGTTCTCTTCTTTAGCAAATTTTTCAACGGTTTGCATGAGAAGAGCATCGATTTTTGCTGGGAGAGGTCGAGTCCCATATCGTCCACCAAGAAGTACCTAAAAACAAAAATATTTCAATTATGTTCGGGGTAATTTTGTAATAATGCATTGTCTGACCTAGTCCATAGTTATTCAAAAAGTGTACGGTAGGGGCATAGCAAAACAAACATTGTATCACTTACACAGAAGTTTGGTCCAACTGAAAGTCTTTGGCAGTTGTGTATCTCCTTGAGGCACAGTTCTGTTGTGTGATGATCTGACGTCATCACATCTCGAACGCCCCATCGCATGTCAACCACCTAGAATGAGACCCAGGATGTCAATGCGTTTATATGCAACACATACATGTATTTGGAGGTGCAGTCATAGAAATAGTCATATTCATGAATTTTAACATGGCTACACTGAGAGGGAATGAAAACGCCAAGTACGAATTGTGAACAGATAATTGAGAGATTATGTATTGCCCTTTCGGTGCAAAACTATAGCAACCTCGAAAAACAAGCTACGTAAAGGATATTTAGGATGTTTAATTTCTGGTTTCGTTCAGTGCTGTTGATGATGGTTAATATAGTGTTCGTTAGATACGGATCAAATGGTAGTTATATCCTTTATTTGTCACTGACTTTACACAGTGAATATGAAACATGCACAAGCATGTATAGCAATTAAATAAAAATGGAAGCGAAACATTTACAAAACATGACTGAAACACATAATGTGTCGAACTTATTCGTATTGTTAATCTTAACGTACAACTTTTTCTTACTTGGAAATCGAGTCCATTTTCTGCGCAAAACTGTCTAAGTTCTGGATAGGCTTTTTCTAACAATATATTTCTTTCAGCTACTGTATCTGAAAACATGGGATACTTTTGAAAAAAAGTAAAATATTTGGATATCAAATACAGTAAGTACATTCAGGTATAAATATTTAGCTGATGCAATTGACAAAAGGATCTCTTTGACTTACAAAATTGCTGTGAACTAGATTCATGATAGCAATCTACAGTTCAGTTTCCCCCCTCATTTGTTCTTTCATTTGTTGATAACTTTTGAATTATTTGTGCCTATAGTGTTTTCCACTGAACTTGTTTTGCGTTGCGACATCATCATTCATCACGATTCATTTATAATTCATGAATGCATTTTCAATAACAGGCTAGAGATTTTCAACAATGATGGAGTGATGCGTTATATTGGCACATAATTCTGTTTAACACGTTCAATTCTTTTTTCATAGCTTTGATGTTAGTTTGGCAACGAAAATAATCCTTTCAGTTAACTTGTTAAAGCCTTTTTCATTTGCCAATTTAAGACATTCAGCTCATCAATAGCCATGCAACCTACCTTTTTATTTGGGAAACAAAATGAAGATTCTAACATAATCAGGCAACACTGAACACGCTGTTCAATCGGTATTACAAGCTGCCAAACTAATAATGGAGAGGGTTTATATCCAAATTGCTTTGATTGGAGAAATGAAATCATCATCATACAGTCTTAATGTTATAGACGTACCTGTAAATGTTGAGCTAAGGAAAATCCTGAGAACATTAGAAGTATTATCAGGTAGGTTATCCAGACGTCCTCTGTATATTTCATGTTGAGATGTTTCCATCTCTGTTTCCTTTAGAGACTCTGGATCAGCCATGGTTCCTCTTATGATCAGATCATCTGCAATGGCATTATTATACTCATGTATACGAACAGTTTGAATCGCAGTTTGATACTTCAACATTGAGACATAAGCTATTTTTCTTTGTTCATTGCAAACGGCATTTTATTTCTGTGTCACATCTTATTATATACAAATTACAACTCTTCTCTTTGTCTTCGCTAAATATTCCCTAATATGTGTCGTCTATCCTAGTTTTATTTTTGGACCAATCTAAGCACTAGAATAGCAATGGGTTGTATCTATAATGGTAATAATTTAGCTTTATTATTGATAAGCGAAAATGTCTATCCTTACCAGATTACGTCATCGTGGCAAAGCTGCTTGTTGTTGTCCGGTGATATCCTTTTGTTAACCCTTACCGATTGTTTTAGGCTTTTGAATCCACTAAATGTATGTTTCTGGTGTATGACATTGCCGAATATATACAAGTTTACCAGTAACAAGGGATGTGTTTATTGTCGGTAGGTCATAATCCAAGTGGTCACTATAGGCTTTCCCTCCTTTGGCACAATACACAAGAAGTATATTCAATACCAGAAAAATAAGATTACCATAATCTCTGATACGATGAAAGAACATTTTAATTCGATTTGAACCTGAACCGATCATCGTTTGTGCATAACTATTTTGGTCCGTCAATCAGTGTACATGTATATAGTCCAAATGTACTTTACAAAAAATGCCAGACTATCACTTTGGGCAGAGACCTTGATTGAAATATCCGTTCTCTGAAAAACATGTAATCCCTTCTTCAAACTAAGAATAATCGGTTTATACATGTATCTTGAGCACGATCGCTGTATATCATGCATACACGTATACACATTTACTCTATCTGTTTGCAGTTTCTCATTTAATCAAATAACAATGAACGATCCGTATCATGAATAAAATATATGATGATTTCACTTAGAATAAATCAAAAACATTTTCCAATTAGTCTAGAAAAAGTATCGGTTCATATATCTGCTCGTTATCAGCTGTGGTTTTTTCTCAATAGATACACTCGTATTTTACTCTATCTGTTTGCAGTTTCTTATTGAACAAAATGACAATGAACGATCCGTATCATGAGTAAAATATATGATAATTTCACCTAGAATAAATCAAAAACATTTCCAACTAGATAATGGCAACTCCGCGGAGTAGCAAATCCCAACGAACAAAATATCAATTACCGAATTCCAATCAATTATACTCATTACTTTGGTTGAAAATGAAAAAATTAGATTTTAGAATTGCGAATTCCTGCAAAGCAGCCATTTTGAATTTTCTGAGGTACAAATCTGAAAAATAATACCATAATTGTGATCTACTCCAAAATTCCTTCAATTTGAGTATAATATAGCCATACTTTGAAGGGATCGAAAAATTATTGCGAAATCGTACATTAGACGGCCATTTTGAATTTTACGAGGCTCAAATCAGAAAAAAGATACAATATTTGCAATATACTCTTAATTGCCTTTCATTTGAGTATAATAAAGCTATACTTCAGAGAGATCTAAAAATTAGCGAAAATTTCTGTTTTCCTGTCCCCCCATACATGGCCCCTGGGGGTCAGGATGAAAAACACGGAATATATGTGAAATAGATAAATGTTGTGAATACACTACCGAAATTTCAAACAATAATATTAATTACTTTGGTTTAGAATGAAAAATTTATGATTTTTGCGAAAAAGTCCCGTCAGTTTTAAAGCGGCGGCCATCTTGAAAAAATTTTTTTTTGCGTAAAACTATTCACCAATATTCATCTTTCCACTAAATATGAAGAAAATCTGTCATCTAGTATTTGAGTTATCTTCCGGACAGACGGACGGACTGACTGACTGACTGACTGACTGACTGACTGACGGACAGACGGACGGAGGGCTTCACTATATCCCTAACGAACTTCGTTCGTTGGGATAATTAGTCTAGAAAGAGTGTTGGTTCATATATCTGCTCGTTATCAGCTGAAGTTTTTTCTCAATAGATATACTCATATTTTACTCTATCTGTTTGCAGTTTCTTATTGAACAAAATAACAACATGAACAATGAACTATCCGCATCGTGAATTAAATATAATGATGATTTTACGTAAAATAAATCAAAAACAATTCCAATTCGTCTAGGAAGAGTTTCGGTTCATATATCTGCCCCTTACCAACTCCAGTTCATTCCCAATAAATATTTGGATTCTTTTAAAAGTAAAGCAAAATAACCGGATAACACAAATTGTAAATGTTTAAATCAGCATTAAGAATACTGAAGACCTAACAGCCTACGGCTGAATGTGGTAACAAGTCGAAATAGACAAAACGATGTCGTCCAGGCCGTTTTCGGTTATTTTGTATTAAAACTATTAGATCAGTATCTTGCACTTGGTTCCCCGGGACTTGGTTATTTTGTGGGAGATTAAGCAGCTTATAAATAAAATTGAATCGCGGGAAATTCTTGAAGTTTCTGAGTAAAATGTCACTCTCCGGTACCTTCCTAAAATAAGACCCCCCCCCCTGTGATGTTCAGAGGTCTATAATTGTCGTTTACCAAATGATTACTTTAAAATTCAATCACAAACACGCCATCTATTACTTGAAGTGCATTATCATACTACTATTGAAACTATTTCTTCATTCATAAACCGTTAAGTCAAGTTCCCGCATGTTTCGCATGATATATGTATGTTCAAAACTATGTCAGATAAGATTAAAAGATTGGTGATCGTAAAACAACAAGGTGAAATTTCGGAAAATCAAACTAAAGTACTGTAAAAATCGAAGAAGTGGAGCAAAAAAATATCCAAAATTTCAATAGTTAAGTCATTGCAATTATAAATCATATAGGTGAGTAAATACTATAGCCCAAAATATAAATGATAAATGCGCGATGAAACGAAACCTAATACCAAATTGCCCATAGGGTTGTGCGTAAAAACCTGTAGCAAATGGGCCAAAATTGCCCATAGGGTTACACTGAATTCGGAAAAAACGAAATTGACAATTTATTCACGTTTTAATGCATTAGTCCTACAAAATGAGTTTTTTCTCGAGGATTAATAAACCGAGCTTTACAATAAAATATAATGGAATAAAATATTCGATCGCCTGCTAAGCGGCTTTTACATTTAATATTTACATACTGAATTGTATTGATGGGACTATTAACTGTTAAAGCAAGGCATGGCTGAGAACTATAGACTTTTACACATCTACACTAAGCGTGTACTTAGGCTGGTATGATTATAGGTAAACATTTTGATCTGAACTTCAAACAAACCTCACCAATCATATGTGAAAACATTAGCATCTTAGCACAACGACAATCAAAGCAAATAACTGATTTGTTTGGTTCTATAAATACCAATGAAAATGGTTGACGTGGAGGAAGGTGAATTTGGATAACATGTTTTGACCAGGTAAGTTCTCAACGATTGTATAATGAATGATATGATCTATCAATTGGTATAGAATATAGTTGATAAATTCAGGGACTTGACGAAATATGCTATACACATGCATATCCGTGTGTTTGTCAAGTGTTATTGTGACGATCGAGTCAATCATTGGAACACATGTTAAATGTAACATTGCATTATTCCAATGACTATATTATTTAGCAATTTGAGTAACCTACATGATTATATGGAATCTATGATGATTAGGGAAAACAATACCGTATTTCACACAGCAAAACTAAATTATGGAATCAGCCATGGTGGAATATTTTTACTTTGGCTGTTCCATACCTGGTATTCATATAATTGTCTAGGATTTGTAATGAAATGCAATCATCATGGTTGTTCAATAGCCAATGAACAAATAAATATCAAGCTTTGGTGATTTCATTCGTATGTATGCTCGTATGTCTCTAACATCTATGGATGGTATCTCAAACCCATGTAGATTAATTTACTAATTTGGGTTTAATATATTAACTTTATTAACTCGGATTGATCATTAAATATGTATATGTTATGGCATCCATCATTTAGACTTTCTTCATAACATTCTGTAGGTAACAACAGTACAACGAATGGCGTGACAACGGTAGACTGTAAATCTAGTAAATCTAGTAAATCTAGTAAATCTAGTAAATCTAGTAAATCTAGTAAAATCTTGTAAAAACTTGAATATTCAATGTCTAGGATATAAGTGCAAATGTCGAAAAAGCACCGAAAATGCCTTTGTATGAATGAAATGAACATGTAGAAAAAATTATACCTTTTATTTCATTATATTTAGTTACAAAACAACTATATGTTAGTACTGGATAACAAAATGGTTATCAAATGGTACACCCATTTTATCATCATACACAACCCACCCAAGAAGCATGCTCTATTAACAAATTAAGCCACACATTTAAGGACTCGGGGGACAATGCGTACCATCTAAATGACACAGGCTTGTTTTTCCCTCACAAAATGTTATAATGCTTAGTCTATCAGATAATTTAGTTATTGCTTATTTTTTGGCGATGCTGTTCAATTGACAATATTTGTAGAAGTTCCAATGTTAGAGGAATGGATAAATGGCAATTTCAAAATTGATTTTTGCCAACCCCCCAAAATAATAAAAACAATCAAATGCTGTAGTAAGGGGAAGAGTGAGACAACTTACTGATTGATCTATTTGCTTTACCTATACATAAAGTATAGTATGACATTTCTATAATGCTTTCCATTTACGTTTTGATGATGATATGTTCCTTGTATTCCTTGTAATTAATAGTTAAAAGCCATATCATATCAGCCCCTTAAACATTCTTTTTTATTATAATATTTCACAATTTTGTTAAAAAAATTGTTTACTGATTATTTGGTGAAAGGAATGACTCTGAATTTTAATGCAGAGAAGGTATTTTTCTAATGCTGTAAAAGGAATCATAATCACCAGTACTCTTCATAGAGACTGACATCGACATCAAATGAATGGTCCCTAAAAAGTTTACAAGATTTTACTAGATTTTACTAGATTTACTAGATTTAGATTTACTAGATTTACTAGATTTACAGTCTACCCGTGACAACACTAGATCGGAGATTTTCCAATATTTACCATAATACTGTATACTACACCCCAATATGAACATCCACAAAGGCCTGAATACATAAAATGCCGGCTCCGGAAGAGGAGGTGGTAGCATCTCAACGTGAAATATACAGAGGACGCCTGGACAACCTACCTGATAATACGTCTAATATTGTCAGGATTTTCCTCAGCTCGACATTTACAGGTAACTTCAGGATTCATTATAAAGTACACAATCATGTATGATAAGACTTGACTCATTCAAACAAATATGCAAGATACATGTCATACCGTACTTTACTATAAGAATATTATCGTTATCCCCCGGGCGTTATACTCAAAATGGTAATATGGTAATACTTCACCATAATGTGCCCATAATATGACATATGTAACAAGTGCTGAAGAGCCATATAATTTGAAGGATCTAAATGGATATTGGTTAATGGATCTTATAACATACGAGGGTTGTCAAAAAGTTAATACTTTTTGGACAACTCTCGTATATGTAATGCGTATTTAAACTTTCAGACACGATCAACGAGAGAAATATTTTATTGGACAAAGCGTATCCTGAACTGAGACAATTTTGTGCTCAGAATGGACTCGACTTCCAAGTAAGTAAATTAATTTGCTCTTAGTAGTGAGTAAAGTGGGGGTTCCGAGGCACTATAAATGGTTTCATATATGATAACTTACTTTTAGTCACCATTTGTGAATAACAAGTGTTAGAGTGAGAGTTAATGGAAACCATTGTTTCTGTTACCTGCTGAATACACTTAATAATGATTCGATTAACGATAATGTTGCGTAAATCAATATCAAAGTGGAACTCGGGTACTTCATTGACTGATATAGGCACTGTGTAAAATGGGTTATATTATTGTAAGTTCAATTGATAATTCTAGTGCATGTGATAAACAGTATTCACATATTTGAATGAAACATAGTATTAAATAAGCTATATTTAAATAATATTATCACTATTAACAATGTTTACTCTCGTAGCTCTTATGTTATTTAGGTCAAGCCCAAATATGGTCCCCCTCTCTATGTGCAGTTTTATTAATTCATACTCATTCTTGGACACTGTAAGGGCTATACATGTATGTGTCCATGCCCAACTGAATGCTGCATTATAGTGTGCTGAATGCTTGACTCTCAAATGTTACCCTTTTCTAGGTGGTTGACATGCGATGGGGAGTAAGAGATGTGATGACGTCAGATCATCAGACAACAGAAATCTGTCTCCAAGAGATATACAACTGCCAGAGACTTTCAGTGGGACCAAACTTTTGCGTAAGATATATTTCCTACGTTAAGCTAAAGAGATGGAATGTACAATTATCACAATCTAATTACAAAACTTTTGTTGTCATTTTGGCTGAAATCATTAAAAATACTAGTAAGTAGAATCGTCTTACAAAGGGTGTGGATTGAATTGAATATTTAAGGTATTGCATTTAGTCTACTATTATTTGGAATATATAACATTCAGTAAACTGAATTTTCAGTTGTGTTCTTCATAATTAATGAATAAAATTATCCAATATCAACAAAGTTATTTTAGTATATCTTGCGTGAAAGAAATTGGTGTCTGTCATTGGATTGTATCGTATACCTCTTTTATGATCTACAGGTTATACTAGGGGGGCGATATGGCTCACGACCTTTACCAGCAAGAATCAAAGCCTCGGTTTTACAGACCATTAAACAGTTCGCAAAAGCAGCTGAATTACCTTTGGCTACCATCGAGGAATGGTACATGCTTGATACAAATGCAGTCCCGCCAGAGTATACTCTTAAGCCAATCACAGACATCTTTCCATCTTATATTGACGATAATCCAGCCAATGAGGAGCTTCGTAAGAAAGCTAAAAATGATTGGTGGAAAGTCCAATGTGAAATTCAAGCGATATTCCGAACCACATCTCAAAGAGCGTTAAAACAGAAACACATGACGTTTGAAGAATGGCAACAGTTTAACATATCAGTTACAGAGGAAGAAGTTAAAAGGGGATTGCTCAATGTTTGCGCAACCTCAGAAAATAAATGCATTGTGATAACCAGAGAGATTGACAATGTTGACTTCACTGATGAAAAGGCATACAGATACGTTGATATGAATGACAACAAAGATGCATTGGATGAAGAGACTGTTGAACTCTTAGGGGAACTTAGAGATGAGACTATTCCGAAACATATCGCAGATTCGGAAATACAAAAGTACAAACTACAATGGGAGAAAAATGGTAGGTAATCGCTAATCAGTAAATGTTATGTGTAGCTATATGTTCTACTGTATGTCCTCATATTCTGTCACACTAACATAAATGAATAAACACAAGGAGCACACGTACTCGCAACCTCGTGGTTACGGCGCTAAATCGCCTAGCTCGAACGTGCCGGCGCTCAAGCCCTCTCGGCCAAATCGGCAACCCCCAAAAAGGTTGTTTTGTCAGTAAGATAGCCAACATGAAAGTCGCATTTCCAATAACATCTGATCATGTTTCCTTTACTGTATTAAATGTGGCATCATTTTGGTTTCAGGTATAAACCCAATGGTACCTGCTCATGCAAAATACCTAGAGGACTTTTGTAAGTTCTTTACATCAAGGGTTAGGGACATGATAGTTAAAGCCTTGGAGAAAAGGGACAAAGCTGCTTCAAACTGGTTATTCAGTGAAGTATTACATCATCTTAACATGTGTGCCCGAAGGAGTAGATCATTCAATTGTAGACACCAAGGCCAGAAACGTGTGGATGAATACCTGAATGATGACACTAATAGAGCTCCTTTTGTGATACATGGAGTATCTGGAATTGGGAAAACTTCATTTATAGCCAAGCTCACTCGCAATGCAATAGAAAAACATGGTAAAGATGAGGTAGTTGTTGTACGGTTTCTGGGGACATCACCTAAAAGTACACTTATCACAGATACGCTGCAGGCAGTGTGTCTACAGATATGTGAAGCAGTTGGATATCCAGTACCATCAAGGCCAACGCTCAATGATATCAACTCAATGGTGCCATACCTTCAGGAAATGTTTCGGAAGCTGTCGGGTGAAGGGCACAGGGTGATTCTATTTTTGGATTCACTAGACCAGCTCTCACCGAAAGAGGGTGCTTATAGTCTGAACTGGTTTCCATTCAATCTTCCAAAGGGTATCAAAATCGTCATCTCAGTACTGACCGGTTATGAAGGCATTCTAGACCGGTGTGTACTATGTATCGATAACCCAAACAACATTTTGGAACTAGGTTTCTTAGATGACGCTGAATGCACAGACATCTTAGAAACAAGCCTCCGACAAATCAACCGCTCAATTACAAAAACCCAAATGGAAATCCTCGAAAATCTATTTGAAAACTGCAAAAGTCCGATTTTCCTTAAGTTGGCTATTGAGGAGGCCAAAAACTGGAGGTCTTACTCTAATGTTGATGACATCACACTTGGCAACACAATACAAGATGGTATAATGTTGCTATTTGATAGACTAGAGAAGAAACATGGCCAGCTGTTTATCAATGCTATGGCTTATATAGCAGCAGCAAGGTAAGACGAAAAGTAGGGTATGACATTCTTAAAAGGATACATCGGCCTCACCACCAATTACTTTCCGCAAGAAGCATTTCTCTTTCCATAAGGGGGAAACATTGGTCTATAGCATGGGAAATGGAACTTATATTTGAAATATTAGTATAATAGTGGGAGGGACAGAGGTTAACATGTAGATCAAAGGGAAATTAAAAGGATACTGTACCCATCCATTACGTTGCTTTTCTAAAAAGGATATTAAGTTTGTTATTTAGAGTGTATCTAATACTCAAACGTGTATGTTCGATCATTTATTTCATATCTTCACAAAGAACAGAAGGTAGGTATCCTTTTGCATAGGGTTGCCAAGATAAATGATTATAATTTATGTTGTTCAATTGTTGTAACGTGAAATTTACCATTAACCTTATTTTATTGTTCTTGTATAGTTTTGAGATTATCATTCAGAATATACAGTGTTCATGTGTTGTTGCTTTAATGTTGTTACATATTATGTTTCGTACCTACCAACTATTTTCTTTTTCTTAACAGGGAGTAAGTATCTGCGACAGTTTTATGCTTTGTGTGTTTAGATTTCTGAATAGAATGTTTTTCACTCTTACCTATTTCTACGACAATTAAATGTTTAAAAAATGTTTAATATAATCAGAGTAAATGCACATGACAGATATCTTTTATAAATTCTGATTATCTTTTCTGTTCACGTATATTCTCTAGCTCAATTCCCAATTCTGTTATCCAATAATGTTTTACAATCTTATTAATTTAAAAATGTATACAATTCTTACAACAATGACTGATACACAAATCTGTAGTTACTTTAATTTAATCATTATTGCTTTTTATTATATGCCTAGCTAGTGAATTTATTTACTTGAAGTGGACGGCAACTAACATATTAACATTTTTTATACATATTCGTAATTTTATCACATGTACTGTACATATAGTTGTGTCACTTTTATATACTCCTCTAATAAGTTGCTTATGGTGTTTTCGTTTTTAAATGTTATTGATAAAGGACCACGTATCTCTCAAATCAATTTGTATCATATTAATTTATTTACATGATGTGGATGGCAACTAACATATTAACATTTTTATACATGTAGATATTCCTAATTTTATTACATGTACTGTACATATACATGTAGTTGTGTCACTTTTATATACTCCTCTTATAAGTTGCATGTTGTTTTTGTTTTAAAATGTCATTTATCAAGGACCGAGTATCTTTCAAATCACTTTGTATCATATTAATTTATTTACACGATGTGGATGGCAACTAACATATTAACATTCTTATGCATGTAGATATTCGTAGTTTTACTTACCTGTACATGTAGCTGTCTCACACTTTTTATACACATCAAATAAGATGCTATAAAACACGTTGAGTGTGTTCTATATAGAAACAATAACAAATAAATAAATTGTAACACATGCCACTATCTTTAGCTCAAATAATAATGATGATAGACATTATGAGAAACAATGGCCTTGAGAGACAAGTGTAACAATTGAAATGTTGTAATTATCAAAATGCAATTAAATATACAACTCATCTATGTCATAGGGGTGGAGCCATTATCCTAAAAGACGAGGCAAAGTAAAAAAAATGAGGCAAATTCTGTAGCTGGCTACGCCTCTAATAACATATAGGACCATTTCTGTTGCAAAGAAAAAATAACATTGATATTAATCAGTAAGTAATCGATTTCAGACAGGGAGTGACAGATCTAGAAATGGATAACCTGCTGTCTAGTAGTAATGAAGTGCTAGATGATGTCTACCAGTATTTCTCACCACCTGTCAAAGATCTTGTAAGGATACCACCATTACTATGGACCAGACTCAGACAGGACATAAATGAGTACCTCATGGAAAGACAGGCTGATGGAAAAACCGTTCTGGCACTTTATCACAGGTATAGCTTTTTCCAAATCTGACGTTCTATGGAGGCATGACTCACTTGATATTTTATTACCCTCTTTATCATCCTCTTTACTACCCTCGAGATATATAACATTGAGGTCACTTGACACATATATAAGGTTTATGTACTTGGAGGTTATCTGATATTATATCTGCCCGCTTTTGGCCTGGAGCGGGACATGTACAATATATCCTGCCCGCTCCTCAGATATGACATTTATTCCCGAGTGATATCTACCCCAAACCCACGCAAGTACGAGATATTTTTAGATATGCTATGACATGATTCTTTGTACACTCCAGGCAATTCATAGAGGTCGCTAGACAGCGTTACCTATGTGATGAAATGAAACAAAAGATACATTCAGAACTAGCAGACATGTTCCTTGGAGTTTGGAGCAATGGGAGGAAGAAGGAACTCTATCTTACTAAAAGAAAGGAAACCTTCTTCGCAGACAGGAAGGTTGAACCACAACCGCTGTTCTACGAAGGTGGTTATTACAATATGAGGAAACTCAACGAGCTGCCACTCCATCTGCTTAAATCCGGTCGTCATGAGGAGTTGGTTGATGTTTGTTTTGGTAACTTTGAGTGGATTGTTACCAAGGTGACAGCCATGAATATTTTAGAAGTCATCCGGGACATTGATATGGTTATTTCAGACACAGGGGAAGAGGAGTTCAAGGTCCTCAGAGATGCCCTAAGGTGAATAATCATGCAGTTTACAGAAACCTCACAAAGTCCTGACGTCATTTTAGCCATATTATGGTTCCACTCTTATCTCATAGTTGAACTCTCAAAGTTAAGAATACACAAATCTCACAAAGTTAAGAATCGTTCCCCAAATCAATTGTTGAAACCATGGATATATCGACTTCTTGACTTCTGAGATTCTGTAAACTCTCACAAAGTAAAGGATTCTTGAATCAATTGTTTTTACCATGGATATACAGACGTCAGAACTTAAGAATTCTTAACTTTACCAAATTTACTGTTACTAACCCCCCCCCCCTCCCCGATGAGTTTTGTTGAACTTGAAGTTGTTTATCTGATTTTTTAAGTACTATTTAAAATGGGAATATTTGAAATATAATATTTCCAATGAGGCAATAAAGCTTAAACGATAAATAATATCACACGAAATGTTTTTGTTCTAGACTAATAAAGCCAACGCTTGAGTATCATCCAACAGAAACACTTGCTCCTGAGATCATTGGTAGACTCCTTATAAAGGTGGACGAATACCCAAAGATTATTGGAAAGGTACACGAATGAATTATTACACTTCGTTATTCTTTAAATGTAGCTCACCAATAGACTACTATTGATGCTAAAACTAAGATAACGCTATGAAATACCAGCAACTGCCCCATAAATACCATGTACACAGTATGGTTTAATAATAGATAGATTTAAAAACGCCAGTGGTATTTCTATATATCTTCTTTTCTGATTCAGCTGGTATCTCAGGCTATACAATGGTGTGAAAACGCAAAGCAGGATTTACTCATTCCAACAGTTCCATGTTTTATATCACCTGGTGGAGTTCTACGGACTACATTGGTGGGCCACCAACAAGCTATAAACGATGCTGCCATAAATGAGGATTGCTCGCTTCTTGTGACTGCAAGTTCTGACCGCATAGCGAAGCTCTGGGACCTTAGAGATGATATTGTCATTCAGAATCTCTTTCATCCAGGTTAGTCTAAGTCCCGTACATGTTTAAGTCATTCTATTATCTGATGAAAATTATTTTTTGTACAAGTCAGGGCCGTATGTATAGTCCAAAATAGGCGAGGTTGATTTAAAAAGGCACCCGTACCTGTATGTGACAATTTTCAGAATCCTCTGTATAAAACCTAAAAATTTATTTGATGATTTTGACAAACATTTGCTGCAGTTGAACCATTTACTAACATGACTAAAGAGGCCTTTACTTTAACAAATCTTTTAATATCATTTTAGGTTCCGTTGAGAGTTGTGTGATGTCATCCAATGCTATTGTGACATCTTGTGACGACACTGTATACGTTTGGGATATGGGCACATCCAAACTTAGACATACCATACCCTTAAAACGCCCACATAGCCCATCTAGCGAAACCGCCAATGCTTTAACAAACAAACCCAAAATGGCTGCACTTTCTAATGGAAACATCGTATATCCGATTGAAGACACTATCTTTATGGTGAACATTGATGAAGGGAAAGTTATCAAGGAGAAAACCCATGGTAATAAAGCAATTGTGTCATACCTTAGCGTTCATCAGAAGGAACACATTCTAATTGGATATAACAATGGAAGTGTGGAATATTCTAACATTGCAGGAAGTGGAGAGGATGTAACGTATGATATACAACGATATGAAATAACAGGCCTGGATATGGCAGTAAAGTCCGGTATAATAGCGAGTGTGTCCTTCGAAGATTCCATCGTTATATACAACATAAAACGGGGAAAGGTCATCCAACACATAGAGCCTACAAAATCCAAGACTATGTTTTCGGTTGCCCTTTCCCCCGATGGACAACTTGTTGCTGTGGGTTCAATCAAAGATGTCAGAGTTTGGGCAACAGAATCTGGTCAAATGCTGCACGTGTTTCTAGGGCATACAGGAATAGTCAATTCGGTATGTTTCACTGGATACAGTGGTGAATCTCAGACAAATGGGCCCACTTTGATATCAGCCGCAAGTGACTGTACTATCAAAGTATGGGACCTCGGAAAAAGTGAGCTGAAATCCACATACTCTGGTATGACAGGAAGCGTGACGAAGCTCATGGTAAATGATGAGTATGACGTGGCCGTGTCTGCATCCAATGAATCTCCATATGTTAAGATATGGCATTTAAACCCAAACTTGAAAGATGTTGTACCCGAGTTCCAAAATGACACCGATATGAAACCAGTAGTATTCCCTGATGGGAAACACGTTGTTACGTTAGATACTGATAATGTAACATTTATGGTGTATGATATGAAAAAATCTAGGAAAATATCGACCACTCTTGCACACGATGCCCAAATTACGTGTATGGTATGCACACCAAATGGGAGCCACTTGATCACGGGCGGGGCTGACAATGCTGTAAATGTGTGGCAAATGGTGGGAACGAGCTTCAAACGAACATTGGCATTTGAGTTTGAATCAGAGGTTACGCATATTGCAACACATCCAGATCGGAAACTATTTGTGGTTGCTCTAAATGGAAACAAAGTGAGGCTCTGTCATTTGCAAAAATTCGAATGCGATGATGTTGAAATTAACCTGAAAGATGAGGATATCACTGCACTAGAAATGAGCGATGACCTTATACTATATGGCACAGACACTGGCAAAATATATGCTTGGAACTTTGAATCCATGTCCTGCCTTGCGTATACATACCAAGAACACACCACAGAGATAACCATCCTGAAGGTACATAACAACTTCGTTGCTTCCACTACAAGAAACGATCTTAATATTAAGATTTGGGATCTGAAAAGAAGGCAGGTTGTCCAAACCCTATTGGTTTGTAAAGAAACAGTCTCATCTAGGATGACGATAACCGCAATGTCCTTCCTGCATAATGGTCAATTATTAGGAGTCGGTTGCTACGAGAGATTGGTGTATCTATACGACATGGCCAAATGTAGAAGTCTTGTACCCGATGGGCAGTACGTTTACTCTCCAGTTACAAACATTTGCTCAAGTCAAGAACAAAACATCTTGGTGGCGACACAAAATGGCATTCTCAGTTCATACAAACCACATATAACCACGGATATTACAATGCAGAACACACGGCTGACTCAAAGCGTCAGTACACACAATAAGAAACAAATTACCACAAAGGACGCTAAGAATGTCAGGAAAGTCAGATATTCCGAGAATGTATCTGTGCATGAACATGACCATAACAGCAATGACACACAGAAAGAGCAAACTACTGGAAGAGTAGTTCCGAATAAGGAGTTATATAGGAGAGCTCAATTTATACAACAAGCAAGATACAGAAATTCCTCTCAAATGTGCTTGGTCATGTGACATGTGGACAGACATGTACAAAATACATGTAAAACCATCATTTCAATTTCCCATCATGCATTGCAGCAGTTGACACTCAGACGTGTCTTATAATGATAAAATCCCGGAGATTTATTCGATTGTTAGAGAAGTTTAACTAGTTTATGAACATCTTAAAATAAGTTTATGCTACACGATTTTATAAGAACTTGTGAATAAACGTGTACAGATACGGTCCTCTGCTGGAGATTTATTGTCATGAACTGTTGATGCATGTTAGCCAATGCTGACTTTTTACTTATCTTCTTATCTTCATTCATCCCTCCTCAAATCGATTGGAGAAAGTCTAACATATTAACAAAATATTGATGCCAAAACTTCAGTATTTTATATAAAAAAGAATACAAGAATTTATCAATATTGACATCGTGGTAAGCCACGCCCTCTTCATATCTATCTTGCAACAGAGAGATGCTATGAGTATCAGAATGCAATATTGATGATATTGAAAAGTTCATTGATCATTTTGCATAATGGCTCTTTCTGAAATATGTAAATGGCGAGGATTAGGTAAGACTATAATTAATTGTGCCAAAATACTAAATAAATAAATAGATATATGATATATAAAAATGCTCAATTAAAATTATATTGTTCATCTAATTTATTGTAAAAAATGTTAGCTAGTTCAACCAATCACTTATTTCTGAAAATACAAATACACTGTATGTGTATTTTCAAATGTTTGAATAGTGTAGGTGTACTGAGTGAAAATTACAGCCAGACTGAGTAGGAAACCAAAATTTTAGAGTACTTTTGCACAAAGTTAATGAACGCCCTGTATTAAGTGAAAGTTAAATTAGCCGTTGAGGACTTTTTCGAGATACTACTTTGTTTTGTCTAAATTGTCATAGATGCATATCGATACATGGATCTTTAGGTAACATTTACCATTCACATCAACCAAATAATTTAGTATATAAGATATAATCCAATATTCTACATATATATTCTACTAATATTTTACATCAGTCAATCAGAAAATGTATTTTTCTTTGACATGAATTGTATTTTTATTCATTTCAGAAGTTCAGGTTATACAATTTCCATCTCACGATGACCGTGACTTTGCAGTGTTCCACTTCACAAGTTTTACTGTACTGTCTTTCTTGTAATGCAAAATATACTCCTCAAAAAAAGTTAAGGACCAGTGGTTTTCCTCATAGGTTTACATGTTAACCCCCATATTTGTTTGAACGACTATTTTCTTAGCGTGGAACAAAAGAAATCCCAATAAAGTAAATAAATCTGTATCTTGATTCTACATGTAATACATTAAAACTTGTCTACATTGAACGTTTTTTGCTGAGAAAAGATGTTCAGTGTTAGTAGGTGTTCATTACAGAGAGGATAATTTATAATGAAGTCAGTAGAGAGAGGTGTTCACTAAGACAGGTTTATGTATGTGAATATTCTGTCTGTAGCTTCTAAGCACGTGTACAGTACATCACTGGATGACCAATTTAGCATCTATAATAATAACAGAGTGTTCAGCATATCATTTGTCATAACTTATATCCTGAGTGAATTGTTGCTACCCCAAATGTCAAGTTTTCATATGTTACTGCACTGAATCCTGCTTCCTCTATCATAGACTTGAAGGTCTCCTGGAACAAAATATGAACACATATAAGTTCCTGAGTAAAGTTTACATACCAGTCCCTGCTGACTAAACATTACATAATACTGTGAAACACTTTAAATCTGTGTCACATACTTTTCGTGAAAATTCCAATTGTGACATATCTGCGAAACCTTGAACTCCCCTCAGTAACCCCTTTACAAATTAGCTCTTAAATAAAATTTACATATCAACTCCTGGATATAGTTTACATAACATATCAGTTCTTACTTAAGCCATTGATTAAAATTCAAATATCAACTCCTGAATAAAATTTACAAATCAGTCTCTGAAAAAAGTTTATATCTGAGCCCCTGAATATAATTTATAAAGTAGCATGTATAATTTATAGAATTTTTACATTGATACCTGATTTGGAAACTGCCTAATGCTCTCTACTAAATATTGATAAGATCTCCAGTCTTTGGCAAGCAACTGACCCAGCACTGGAATCACTTGGAAAGAATATTGGTCATATATGCTGAAAATAGATTCGGAATAACATGTTAAGAACAATATAAACTACATATTTCAGTATATTTTTGTACTGAAAGGACGATTCTCGGTTTGGAGAATAGTCTCCTGGGCTAATAATTTTTTTCATGAAAAATATAGAAATATTACCCAAATTAAACTTTGAATATTCAAAAGAGAACATTTAAATCTACAAGATGTAAAAATAACAAATTGGTCTGAAGCAGGGATAATGCTCAATTAGACCGATTCAATAAAATACAAGTCTCGATTTGGGGAAAGAAGTTCAATAGTGTACTGCGCTAATATTTTTTTGCGAAAAATCTATAAATATTACCCAAATTAAATTATGACTATTCAAAAGAAGACATTCAAATCTATATTATGTAAAAAAAATCAAATTTGTCCGAAGCAGGGATAATGCTCATTTAGATTGATGAACTTCGTTCTCCAAACCGAGAATCGTCCTTTGCACTTAAAAAAGTAAGTATATTTTTCAAAACATAAATATACTGAATTTTGTACTTAAAAAATCTGTATATTTTTCAGTACAAATATGTACTGAAAACGCTCCTTTCAGTACAAATGCCCTCCCTTATAGAGATATACAAAAGAGCATAATACTGGCACAAACACAATTTAAGATAAAGCATATTGAAACAATTGAAACTCAGTTTTTTTATATGAAATATATTTTTATATGCATTTTATGGTATACATATAGGTTATTTTATGCTTGATTTTTAATATGAATTTTATTCCAGGGTAATATGATATTGACCGAGGGAAATATGATATTGACCGAACGAGCGTAGCGAGTGAGTGTCAATATAATATTTACCGAGGTCAATGTCATATTTCCTGTGGAATAAAATTAATATTGAAAATCAAACATGAAATAACATTTTTATTCCATAATTTAATTTTTGAGAATTGTAGGAAAAAGGAATATTCAAGAAAATTGAAAAATCAAAAATTTTGGAAAAAATGAAAATTTTTGAAAAAAAATGAAAAACTGATTCAAAGTTGAAAATATTTTGAAATGAATGAAAATGTTTGAAAAATTGCAATTTTTTTGATAAAATGAAAATTTTTTTTTTCGAAAATTGGAAAAATCAAAATTTTTTGAAAAAATGAAAAAAGGAACAAGGGACAATATGATTTTTCGAGTATATATGATTTTTTTACAGGGACAATATGATTTTTCGAGTATACTGTACGCCCGGTATTATTCGCGTGCGATTTAGTTTCGCGCTTTTCACGAGGGTGTTAAAATCGCGAAAAATTATCATCGCGAAATTGCGATTTGATTGGACATCATATACTGGGGAATCCCCGAATACGATAAAATACAGTATGAAGTACGGTAAAGTTATTATATTATGGGAGCCACGCACTTTTGCTTTAATATTAAAAATGACGATGCAATAAAGGTTGATATGCAGCTTGCCGATGATAAAGATCCCAGTTATTGTAAATCTCATCCAAATATGACATCAGGTAAGTGCAATTACTGTACATCTAACTTAATTTAAACACGAGTAGCTCGAGAATTCCTGGAATAGTAATGAATTTCAAACTTGTGAAATTCGCGAAATTTAATAGCTGCAAAATCGTGTTTTCGCAAAATTCGCGAAATTAAATCTCGCGAATAATACCGGGCGTACAGTATATGATTTTAAGAGGGATAATATGATTTTATTTCCCAGGGAAAACAGTAGTATTATGGAATAAATTATGATATGAAAAAAAGTTTAAATGTATACTCTGATCTGATCTCTGGGGAACTTGTTCAATGCTAGTATTATGCATGAGTTTCTCTGTTGCAGATTTTTAATGACATGGTATTTTGAGTTGGTTCATTAACATTGCTATGACATGTATGAAACATTAAAAATGCTGCCATATAAAAGTAAGATATCTTATTAACAAATTGGGATTGTAAAGACATAATTTGAACTCCCATTTCTAAACAGACAATGCCATATCCTAGTGAGAGTTGTTAATCCAAAGGAATAAAATTAGGATCTGCAGAGGGGTACATGTAGACAGGAACACAGTTCAATACACCATACGAATGTATTGTATGAAATGCAACAGAGATGTGCCTCTGATTGTGTAGATACATGTATGTGCCTGAATGTGGGAAGTGTTATCATAATGCAAGTTGAATAAAAAAGTAACATACTTTCTTAATATGGTGTTGTTGACTTTACTGAACTCTAGACATGTGAACCTTCCACCTGGTTTTAACACACGATATGCCTCATCCAGCACCTAAAATCATTGTTATAATAAATGTAAATGCTTCTTAATTAATGATATAGAAGAATTATATATGCAAGCAGTTGCAATTAAGAAAACGATTACAATGCACTGGTACTTGGCTGGAGTGTACCTGGAACCATGAAAACCATATGTCAAAAACTGCTCTAATATATGAACTTTGACAATAGTTTTAAAAAAGTCATTTCTTTCTAATATTCCCGAAGAATTCTTGTAGAATTGACCTTTTTCTCTTGCAGAATTCACTAGACTCATTTTCAGAAATCACCATTTTGACTAGCATAAAATTAGGAGGAGCAAAATGTTTATACAAAAGTGTTTTTTGTTGAACTTAGTGAAGCACCTCGTCTCATCAAGACAGACTTTTTTTCTCACCTTATCTACATGTGTGCAATTTCTAATGCCAAATGCTATGGTATAAGCATCATAAGTGTTATCTGGTATAGGGAGATTCTCAGCATTACCTCGCACCCAAGATATCCCTAAAATACAAAATCACAATTTTGAGATTCTCACAAACTTCAACCTGTTTTAAGCTAATATTGTAATAACTATTAAGTTCACTATGAATACCACCATTCGGGGGTTACACTAGAATTTCTCACAACAGGCTAAATAAATGAAAACAACAGGTAAAATTAATGGAAGTCAGAAATTTAACATGGAAAAGTTGAAAAGTCCCTAAAACAACAGGCGATTTTGTGAAAACAACTGGTAAAGATTGACTGTTGCCTTCTGCTAATGAAACCCCTGTTCATTGCTGCAAAATTGTAAATGCTTATATGTAATACAGGACTTACTTTCTTCAGGGTGATTAAGTGCTCTTGATTTATCCTTGCCCACTTGTAGCATGGCTTGGTTTATATCACATACAGTAACATGGGACCCTGGCAGTTGGGCTCTACCTGTGAAGATAATTTAGAATAAATTAATAAAATAAAACAATATGGGGAATAAAAAAAACATGCAAACAAGGGATTTATATTTGATATGCAACTTACTGTAAAAGTTGTGGACTTTTTTATTAAGACTAAATTATGATGAACAGGACATTAACCTCACTAATGAATTACAATCCCAGCAGAAATTATTAACATTTCATTTTTTTAGTATAACTATGGAGCTTCAGTGTGAATGTCTGAAAAACAGCAGGCATTTTCCTCATGTTGCCTCCTTTAAATAAAGCTCCTGAGATAAGGAACTACAGTATTGCAAATTCTTAGAAAACTACTTTTTTCATGACATGCCCCTTCAAATAAAGCTCCTAAGAAGGCTTTTCGGTCTCTTATGACTGATTCTACACTTAGATGTTTCACTCTCTTTGGCATTTTGTACAACACATATCTTTATTGTATGATCTGTAAAATGAAGCCCTCTGATTTGTCAGTTCTTGTGCTGTACCAACCTGTATTGCTACTGAGATTGTCCCCGTTGATCATCTCCGTCGCAATACAGAAAATATTGGTACGAATGGGACAATCTCAGTAGCAATACAGAGGATCACACGAAAAACGTTATTGAATGAATTGAAGTGCAATACAGGATATATTCTGTCTCAATATTCTGTATTGGCACTCAACTTCGTCTCGTTCCAATATGGAATTTCTCGAGCAGAATATATCTTGTATTGCACTTCAAATCATTCAATAACTTATAATACTCCTCACCTGGTGGTACATCTTTATCAGACTCTATATCGTTCATGTAATCAGATGCCATAACATCAATTGGTATATCAAACATGAAGTCCTGGTCAGTATGCACTGGTGCCTCACCTTCGTTTTCTACATACTTAAGAAATCGAAATGCTATGTCGCCTGCAACAGATTGGAGTATTTACTATACAATATTATCAATAATGTATTCAATGTCATTCCTCATCACTCAGATTTGCAATACTGTGTATAAGATAATACTGTTTTGATTTGAATACTGTCAGTACAGTGCGAGGTTGCCAATACTAGCTTATAAAGGTTGCCAATACTATATGGGATATTAATACTGTACAAGGTTTCCAAAACTGTATATGATTGTTAAAACTGCCAATGTATTGTACAACATTCAGGGTTCTCACCAGGAAATTCTTAGACCCCGGATTTTTAGAGGTATTGTGACTACTTTTTTCGCGGTATTGCGACTACTTCTCCCCCATGTGAAATCAGAGATATCCTAGTATACTTTTCAACATACTTTTTAAGATTATCTTGCTATTTTAATCCCAATATTTATTTCTAAAAGCTTTCTGACTTCCTATTCCTTGTTAGTATCCACTTTTATGTATTTTCTCAAGAGTTTTATTGCAAATAATATGACAAATATGTAAAATTAGACTCCGGAAAAAACACTTTAGACTCTGGAAAAGCTATTAGACTCTGGAGCAAGAGGATTTTAAGACATTAGACTCCGGAGAATCTCCGGACTCTAAAAGCCTAGTGAGAGCCCTGACATTACTTAAGAAGATTCCCAATATTGTACAAGATTATCAATAATGTATAGTATGCCCAGAGAAATCTTGAATATGTGTTATGTTTAGAAAATGTTTTAATTTGTTCAATCGTAGTGACATAGATTACAGCAAACAAATCTAATCCAAACATAGGGGAGCTATCAGGGGCGGATCTGGGAATCAACAAGGGGGGGGGCCCAAATTTCAAGTCAGAGAAAAAAATGTTCGCGCTTGCGCGGAAAAAAAATGTGGGCCCCTAAAACCCAAAAGTGGGCCCAAATTTTGAAATTTTGAGGCCCATTTTCTTCAAAATTTGGCCTGAAATTAAAAAATAAGGCCTTAAAAGGCCCAATAATAACCAAAAAGGCCCACTTTTTGGAGCCTGAAGGCCTTTTTTGGCCCAAAATTTTTTGTGGGCCCAATTTTCTTTTTCTGGGCCCACCCAAGGGGGGGGGGGCCCGGGCCCCCAGGCCCCCCCCCCCCTAATCCGCCAGTGGCTATCCTAAAATGTTCAGATTGGCAGGCGTTCACATATCAAGGGTTTCTAGCATGGAAGTCTATGGAAGATTAAAAATGGAACCTAAAAGAGTTCACAATAACAAAAGTTGTTCAGACAGGTTTTACTGTACATATACCTGTTCCCCCAGCTACATCCAGCAGTTTAGTTCCAGGTGTTGGGGCAAGTTTTTCCATATAGTGGTCCTTCCAGAGTCTGTGAACGCCTCCACTCATGGCATCATTCATTAAATCATATGTGTCAGCCACTCTGTGAAACACTTCATACACTGAAAGTACATGGATATTGGAACACTTCATACACTGAAAGTACATGGATATTGGAACACTTCATACACTGAAAGTACATGTACATGGATATTAGAACACTTCATACACTGAAAGTACATGTACATGGATATTGGAACACTTCATACACTGAAAGTACATGTACATGGATATTGGAACACTTCATACACTGAAAGTACATGTACATGGATATTGGAACACTTCATACACTGAAAGTACATGTAAATGGATATTGGAACACTTCATACACTGAAAGTACATGTATATGGATATTGGAACACCTCATACACTGAAACATACCTGGATATTGGAACACTTCATACACTGAAAGTACATGTACATGGATATTGGAACACTTCATACACTGAAAGTACATTTATATGGATATTGGAACACTTCATACACTGAAAGTACATGTACATGGATATTGGAACACTTCATACACTGAAAGTACATGTACATGGATATTGGAACACTTCATACACTGAACGTACATGTACATGGATATTGGAACACTTCATACACTGAAAGTACATGTACATGGATATTGGAACACTTCATACACTGAACGTACATGTACATGGATATTGGAACACTTCATACACTGAAAGTACATGTACATGGATATTGGAACACTTCATACACTGAAAGTACATGTACATGGATATTGGAACACCTCATACACTGAAACATACATGGATATTGGAACACTTCATACACTGAAACTACATGTACATGGATATTGGAACACTTCATACACTGAAAGTACATGTACATGGATATTGGAACACTTTATACACTGAAAGTACATGTACATGGATATTGGAACACTTCATACACTGAAGGTACATGTACATGGATATTGGAACACTTCATACACTGAAAGTACATGTACATGCAGTGTTTGCGTTGACGCCGTTTTTTGCCATTTTTACGGAAATTTCAGAAGGTTGGACGTAAAAATTATAAACTGCTTCAAGATAACTTTTACTGCAGCACAGTAGCGGTGAAACATGATTTTCTTCAAGATTTTCAAACTCACTACCTTGATATACGAGCAATGATCCAGGTATATTTATATCGACAAATCTGATTGGCTATCATGACTACCAAAGATTAACAGGGTTTCCAGTATGAGACATGGATTTTGATTGGTTCCGATATATTCCGGAAAATGCCGCAATCGAAATGGAAGATCAAAACATACAATATTGCAGAAATCCCCTGTGGTTCCCCACAAATTGAAACAATTGTTTTTCACGATTATCTTTATTATTTCCACTAAACACCATTATATATTGATCTAATGTTATACATCAAGATAATTGTTTAATGATAGATCGAGGTTTTTCATCTAAAAGTCTTCAGAATAAGGAGAAATGTTAATAAAAAGAAGCAAAAGTTCACGACCTTGACATGACCTTCAAGATCGCAAGTTTTAAAATGTGAAAACAAAACTCTTAATTTGAGCATTTCCTTTATTCATTTCGGACTATTTTGGTATAACATTACTTAAGAATTGTGTGAAAAGGACCCAGTGATAGATATTTATCGGGAGGATGCATCAAATTACAATATATGTCATTTTTATCCCATTTTAGTGTAAGCACTCTATTATCGCCCACTTTATTTTCACTTTCACAATATTTTCTTGAACTTTGTGAAGAAATAAGAGGGACGCAAAAAAATTAGATGGGGACTCAAATTTTTCAAATGGGTTGCATCCCTGGGACTCAGAAATTTTAATGGCTAGCGCGAACACTGTTACATTGATATTGGAACACTTCAGACACTGAAAGTACATGGATATTGGAACACTTCATACAACATGAAATTCTTAAAATGCAGATATAATTCAAAGGTAAATAAAGGGAAATTAATACATGTAAATAGATCTAAAGTCTGATTCAAAATTCTATTGAAAATTCTATCGAGTACTTTGAATCTAAAAAATAAGCAACCAATGGACCATATTGCAACTTACTTAGTTTACACAAAGCTCTAAAGATGGCTATGTGCAAATATAGTAAATTGCAACAATGTGTGAAAAAATAGAGACATAAGTAGGCCTAACTTTTGTATATTTCAGATAAATTAGGTATAATGTGCAGAGGCCACACTTAATGATAGCCACACTTTATGATAGCCAAACTACAAAACAACCCAAAATACACAAAGTTAGGCCTTGTACAAATGTTTGTACATGTATTTTTATTGATTGCTAAATTTTTAGATTCAAAGTAGATCTACTCAATGGAAGAATGAATCAGACTTTAATTTTGACCCACCTTCACGAATTTCAATGTGTTTAAAACCTGGAAGCTACACATAGTGAACACTATTCATTCAGTGAGACTGAAACTATTGATAGAGATCAATGGATGGTGTTCACTATGGAGCTTCAGTACTGTCGGGCTACTACTCCAATGTCGCCATTGCCATTGTTCTACAGAATTGGACTTGAAGGATGTAGGTAAAATATGAAAAGAAGGAAGAATATATTTGTGACGTACAAATTAATCTCCTGAGTTAGACGACATGTACATGTACATCATCATGTACATGTAGTAAGACTAACCCGGAAGTACACAGGATTATTACGAAATACCTTTTTCTCCTTTTTCACTTTCCTTCACTCGTTCAAAACCAAAATGTGTCTCATCATCCACATCATTATTGCTCTTGACTGATACCCTACATCGCTGACTGGTAGATAGTAGCCGGTACGCCTTGTATCGAGAGAAATTCAGCAGAGAATGTCGAAATTGTGAAAATTTATGAATTTTAGCCGCCATGTTTGATCTCGCCGGAAGAAGATCACGAGAGCGAGAACTGACATGGCGGGCATGAGTTTCTATTTTGAAAATGAAGTGGAGAAATATCGAAAATATAGATCCAAATTGATCACAATCGTATACAGAGGTGATGAAGGATTTAAGAAGGATATCAATCTTTATATTGACGAGCTTAACTCTATCGAATACACACAGAAAATTGCTGGAAATGAGGTAAAACACAAATATAATTTTGAGTTTTCTTGATTTTTTTGGAATGTCAATTTATCTGGTTGAAGCAGTCGTCTCAAAATTTCTAGATGATAATTTTTATGTGGCAAAAAATAATTCTACCAATTTGCTTGTGCAGTCTCAGTGGTTATCTGGGGCCGTGAATGTTTATGATCCGGAATCCAATCCGGATGATCCTTGGATTTGTAACAATCGTGGGCCATGCATCTGCCATATGAGTTTAGCGTAGCCTTGGCATTACACAGTCCCAGACCGTTATCATGTTCCAAAGCAGTATCACTTAAACAGTAACAAGTGAATGATAAGACAATTACATATGGGTGTATAAGTCGTTACTCAGTCTGTCATAAGTCTTATAGTCAATCAGTCATAGATGTGTTAACTGTCTGGCTACACGTTACAAATGGGACTTATGCTGTTTATATTAATAAACTGGGGGTTCTAGCCACTTCTAGCAATGGTATCCAGGGTCAATAATGGTTCTAGCCACTTCTAGCAATGGTTACCCAGGGTGTATATGGATTCTAGCCACTTCTAGCAATGGTATCCAGGGTCAATAGTGGTTCTAGCCACTTCTAGCAATAGTTACCCAAGGTGTTTATGGATTCTAGCCACTTCTAGCAATGGTATCCAGGGTCAATAGTGGTTCTAGCCACTTCTAGCAACACTTACCCAGGATGTATAAGGGTTCTAGCCACTTCTAGCAGCCGTTACCCAGGATATATAATGGTTCTAGCTACTTCTAGCAATGGTAACCTGGGATGTATAAGGGTTCTAGCCACTTCTAGCAATGGTTACCCAGGATGTATAAGGGTTCTAGCCAGTGTTTTTCCTAAGCGTCGGACCATGGGACATCTTCGATGATGTTGACCCAGGACTGACGATTTATTCCAACCAACCAGTCCACAAGACCGTCCAAGTCCGATGGCTAAGATATGCACCAAAGTCTTACCTCAAACATCAGTCCAATCGTTGAACTTCATTTACTCAAGATTTTACTCATTATCACATCGAAAATCTTTAAAACAGACAGGATTTTTTGAAATATTTTTTGATTTTCAGGTCTGCAAACGAGGATAAATTGCGTAGCATAATCTATCAATAACTTGGAAAAACTGTTTTCTGATTGGTCGAAATGAATTGTGGGTAGTGACCATATGGTATTTCATTCGATGTAAAATTTCTGATTATGGAAGCAAATTAACCGGGAATTCCAACACAGGGACTTCATTACTGTCCACTAACTATTAAATAAATATAATTATAACGAGAAATTATATGGATATTCATAAATTGATCGAGTAGGATAAATGGAGGTTAAACAATCCCGGGTGAAGATACAAACTACATTTGTTTTCGTCCAGTGTAGCAAAAGTAATTTCCGGTTCCTGTATTAATTTTTTAAATTTCTTTTTGAACTTTTGACAAATGTCACAAAATGTGGTCTATTTTCAATAAAAAACGTACTCAAGAACTGCAAGGATGTGAAGATGAGAATAATAACAAACAGAAAAAGACGAAACATGACAACAAGGAGGGTAAATAACGCACGTACCAGAAATCATGGGAAAAAACCCATCCATGGCTACTTTATGATTCTAAAAGTTGTTCAATATTGTTAATTACTAGCAATAAAGAGGAGAATGAATCTTTTATAATATCTTTATTATGAACTATACTGTCTAACACACACACATAGTGATAATGGTATACATGTAAATCATACGTACATGTAGTTATATATCTTTTAGGTAAGTGCCAATACATATAGTTCTGAATTCGAAGTAACTTTAATATTTTAAGGACTGGTTGGTTTTCACTTGGACCTGTGATGTAGCAGAAGTTACAGGTCCAGATGACTGATGATGCTTAGCCTGGGCTGGTTGAAATTTTGATATTGCCAGTCCATTGGTCCTGTGATTTATATTTGCTTAGGAAAAACACTGGTTCTAGCCACTTCTAGCTAAAGGTACCAATGATGTATAAGGGTTCAAGCCACTTCTATCCAATTTGCATTGGAATTCAGATAAAATTTATCCGATAAATTTTATCTGAATTCCAATGCAAATTGGATAAATCTTTGGGATTCCCCCTCATAATCCTTGGATCGTACAAATTCACCAATTATCTGATTAAAGTTTGGAACATAAATAGTGCTAATGACTAACACTATGAAAAAGAAATTCTGTCGCTTATATAATAAATTCTTACCTCAGTGAATTGAGGCTGACTATTTTCTCCCTACTGGAAAGTACAAATGTAGTGGAATTTGTGTCCATAATGACAATTAGGAACTTAAAAATTTGAAGTGATTTTCACGTTTTAATCCAGACTCTACAAATGTTGAGGTGACTTTGGAGCCCGATTACGCTGCAAGGAGGATTGGCTCCCAGCCACATGAAAGCTTTCAAAATGCAGTTCCGCCATTTTGAAATCTGTCACGGGTGAATAAGGTTAACTGATGTTGCATTCTGGGAGCCAATCCTCCTTGGATCACAACAATGGCGATCCATGAAAACATTCAATTCGATTTGGTAGGAATTTACACTTTGCAGGTATGAAGCCTTGGATTCATTTTTATTGTGCGATGTTTGAAAACATTCATTCGATTTGAATGTATCCATCATTTGTAGGTATGAAGCCTTGGATTCATTTATTGTGCTACTTAGAGTGAACGGGGATTATTTTTCTACCATTTGGAATAGTTGGAAACATAAAACGTACATGTATTTTTAAAACTCATTGTGACAACCTTTGATGGTTGAGATTTATTAAAGTTCTCCAGTGTAGTTATCTTAGATTTATCCCAAAAGATGAAAAAGCTCTGAAATGTATGCATAATACTTATGTTATTTTACTACAGGAAGCATGTCAGCTATTGTGTCATTGCTGTACACTGGTGCCCACCCAACTTGACCAGCTCCTCACAAAGTTTGCTCAATTAACAGTGAATCTCATCACTAAATTACAGGTAGGCACTTTTCACATTTAGGTTTTCTTTCCAGATTTTTTCTAGATTTTTAATCAAGTCATATTTTACCTCAAAAAATGTTGAAACTGAATATACCGAGTGTCAGTTCTCCCAATATCTCCTCTCTGTAGTTAAAACCATTATAGTTGGTACCAAGTGTGATATACCATTGCAAAGACCATTAAAAGTTATGTTAAATGATACACATCTACTACATTGTAAAAAGGTGATCATTGATCTTAAAAGTGCATGCAACTTTTATATCCAAATATAAACTGATTTTTAGAATTCACTAAAATTCAATTTATTTAAGTTTTTGGTCTCACTTAATATGCTTTATCTTAAACTTAGCTTCTTGAACTGCATTTTCAGAGGTGAAAATAAAGAATACTGTACGTGTGTGGATATTTTTACATAATGTTATCTGAATCACATATGTTTTACAGATGGAGCTCAGTGATAAATGCCTGAACATCTTGGTCGAGTATTATGTATTGGCGTTACAACAATGTCCCCAGTGGACATGGCCTGATATTCTACATGCCCTAGCGACAGTGTTGTATGAGAATGGGCACAGAATTGAACAGGTACGTGTTTTAGCATTACATATGAACAACAGTGTTCCCTGGGTGGACTTACCCCTCAGGTGCTTGAGTGTCATTAGCAACACTCACCAAGTGTTTTCCTCCAGACACTATTACTGAGGAATGTAAGCAACTACTTTTCCATGTTAAAGTCATAAATTCCCATAATTTCCTTTTTTATCTTTCAATTTTGCGTGTCAAAATTCTTTTCCATATTAAAGTTATAATTTTATTGTTTTACCTTTCAATTTTGCTTGTCAAAATTCTTAAGAATTCCATTGTAAAATGTTTTGCAGTATGAGGAGATGTTACTGAGTGAAGGAGGTCTACTAGTATCCATGATACAAGAGAGCCACGAAGAGGAGGTCATAAAGGGTGCATTGATATGCCTGGAGAATGCCTGCATCAGGTAAGAGTCCTTTACATGGAATATATTCATTTATGCGTTGTAAATTGAGTAGTGGAATAAAAGAAAAGGATTATGAGAGAATGAATTATTGGATGCTTGTACATTTGTTTCACTAGAATTTTTCACAAGAGGCTATAGGCAAAATTAATGGAAATCATAAATTTAAATAAATTTTCTCTCCTAGATCATATAAATATCAAAATTGAAGTTTGATGATTAAGAATAAAGGAAACTTTCATGTATTCATCTTTAATTCCAGGGTTTCACTAGAGAAATACATACCTGAGAAATTTGCTCTGGTTTGTTTCAAAACATTTGCGAAAATTCTAGAACAGGCTAAAGGTGCCAAGATGGAAGAGGTGTCGCATTGTAAGCTGATTGTACATGCTCTAAGGGGTCTTCAGAATGTGATAGTAGGCCTTAATGCTTTACAGACTGACCAACTTGGACTCGTGTTAGCTATTATCAAAGTAAGACCCCTTATCAACTAGAATTATTAGGAAGCATGTAAAAGATGAGCGGAATTGATTCCTCTATAGTGATCTCCACAGGATTTTTTTTCAAGTGGGTGCAAAATTGTCATTTTCACAATTGAGACCAAAAGTGGTCAAAATATGCCCATGATTTTTCTCATTTTCAAGTGGGTGCAAATGGATTTCCAGGTGGGTGCAGGTCTTTTTTCAAAATCTCAGTAGGGTGCTGCGCTCACTTGCTTGAATGCTGGGGAGATCACTGCTCTATGTGTCTTTATTATGTTTCTCGTTAGTCGTGTATAAATTGCTCCCCTGTCCAATAATTACCTTGGGACTTTTCAAAGGCCCCTGGGGATCCTGAATCTATGATTGTGGTGGGTTGTGAATTCCGAGTAAAGTTTGTCACTGGGTTCATCACCATATGGAGTTATCATTCATTTGAGAACACTAATCATTTAATTTCTCCAAGCAGTCAGACTTGAGTGAATTCCTTAGCTTATTTCATTGAATGCTTTTACCCATGATCCCATAATTGTATGGGTTGTATAAATTGCACTGCTAGCTTCGAACGACCATAGTGCATTTTGGATATGATATTTGTACCTGTATAGTCACTTATTAGATAGATTGAATTGCTATCAAAGGTGAATATCATTGTCAACAATAACTGCATAAACTTTTGGATTAACATTGCATCAATACATTTATATTTACAATGAATTCTCAGACACAAAAGGATAAACTATTTGCAAAATTTATGAACATAATTTAAATTATTAAAGTGTGGTTTAGATTTAATCCATGCATAAAACTCTATTATTTCAGGTGTACATATATTTTGGAACACCCCAGGAAATTCCACTCACTACCAATATGTGTCTCTATCCTACCCCCATGAGTCAGTATGCTGGGGCCGTGTCACCAAATAGGATCCCTCTTCAGCCCCCCAGTCCCACCCCTAAGGCAGCACCTAAAGTTGCCAACAAGAAAAATAAAAAGAGACGCCCCAAAAAGGTTGAATCTCAGCAAGATGATGAGGACCAATCAAAATTCCAGAATAGATTCACTCCTGGTCATCAATTTCTTAGCTCATCATTAGGCTCTTCTAGTCATGACACTTTCTCCCTCCGCCCACACTGGAATCGCATCAGCAGCTCAGAATCTGAGTACTCAGATACAGAGGGGGAACAAGCAGTTAAAACAAGATCCATATTCTCTAGAGTAAGACTGGCTGCTCTGAGTTGCTTACTAAGTGTAGTGAAAATCACAGAAAGGAAAATAATGTTTGGTTATTGGTCGGCATTTATTCCGGATTCTCCAGGGGGTCAGACGCAGACTTTATTCACAACGATATTAAAAGATGGCATCCCAAAAGTACGATGTAATGCTCTTACAGTATTGACAGCTTTATTAGAAGGGAGTAAGCAGTATTTGGCAGTAGCTTCTGAGGACAGGTAGCATGTATTATAATTGAAGAAATAAGAGTGAAAGTTTTATATCTAAACATCTCTCCCATCCAAACACCCCTCAATATGAACACTCTGTCTCAGTCCCATTTTTGTCCCATTTTGTCCCATTTTTATACATGTCATGATATAGGGAAAAATCAATAAAATCAAGGCCTGTGTTACACTTGCTACTGTATATTGAATGCTCTTACTATTGCTAGAATATTTTCTGTCCCTATATCTTGACACTGTTATTTTGCTTGTCTCAGTGGCATTCAGATAAGACATTACTGTAAATGGTTATATGCAGAGAGGAAAAACATCTCACTAAACATTGTTTATTTTAATTTTTTATGTCACATGATCAAAAAGTTGTGATATATTGTTATAGCCAACATCTTTCGGGACTGGCATTAATATTCATCTTCTGTAACACATTGTTACAGCTTTGTGCATTATTGCTGATTTTGAAATATACCTTTTTACATTTCAGTAAGAACGATCAGTTTGCTTTCACATCCTACTCATTTACATTGAGCTCAATGGTAAAGCAGCTGCATACTAATCTACTGATGACGTTAGCCTCAGAGAACTCCCCCCTAGCCATCACACAAACTATTAAGGTATGTTTTTGGATTAATAGAAAAAGAAATTTGTAGTAAAGTCAGTTCAAGATAATTTTTGACAAAATATTTTGATTTTAAATGATTTTTTATTCTAAACATGTTAATATCAATATAAGATCTTGAAAAAATTATCCATCTTATTAATAATTGGTAAATCATGTTACACAAAAATTATCATCACTCTGTGTTACTATATTGCACCTGAACATTTGCCACAGTTTACATATACATATCTCTTACAGTGCCTGGCAACATTAGTGATCAATGTACCATACCAGAAGTTTAAACCAGGGTTGCTAAGCAGAGTGGCTAAACAGATCAAGCCCTTTGTAACACATAGAGGTTAGTTGAATGGAATTCACTATTCACCTATATTAATGGAGTTCAATGAATCAGACTTAGATATGTCAGTCCTGAAGAGGCTCAAGTTAACAAATCCAATAATTTTATCATGCAATATTGGTAGTTAAGTAGTGATTTTTTATGACATCACCACAATTTGTGACGTTTTGTTATAGTCTCCAACTTTTTTGTGGCGGCAGTTGGTGTATGGCAGTTGGTTGGTTGTTTGGTTTTGCATCTGTAACAAATGGCAAATGGTGACATTTTGCATGTTAATGCCTTGTATACTTTATGTCAGCCAATCCTATCTTTGTTTTTATTTAAGATCCTAATATAAGAGTAGCTTGCCTGACATGTTATGGTTCAATAGTAACAGTCAATGCTCCTCTGTTAGAAGTCTTCTATATTCTCAATCCAATCAAGTCAACAAACAAACCAAAAGATGGCGCAAGTGAAGTTTCCCAGAATTCATCAGGAACTTCCCAGAATGCAATGGACGTTACCAAGGATACATCTGAAGTATCCCAGAATACCACGTCGAGTGAAACAAATTTTAGTGATGGGGCTCAATCGGGAAGTCAGACCCCAGGGTCAGGATCTTTGACCCCCAGGTTAGAGCAAATGACTAATGTGTTACCAAGTCAGGAGACCCCATGGTTGGTGCGGTTATGTGTGGGGATCATACGTCATACAGACGACAGTCTTACCTTATCAGGTCAGTGCTATCATAATGTGTATTATTTTATATCCATATGTTAGTGTCAGCCATATGATTTGGCTGTTTAAGTGTCTCACGAATTTAATGTCATAACAACACTGTTTTGGCATCTTTCTGACACATGATTTTGTATTAGATGTGATGATCTCATGATTACAGCACAATGACCAAATGTGTACAGTTATACTCCTTTCACGCTGTCTCATGAGAACATTTATGTATTTAATATAAAGATTGTTGAGGGTTTTTAATTGCTAAAAACAAACTTTATTTTGAAAAACACAGCGATTCACAAATTCAATGAGAGATGTGGTGAGTTTTTCAGTTTAAAAAATGTAGTTAAAGAAAAAATATATTAAATTCATTGATTACATGCTCAATCTTTGTATAATTAAATACTTTACATAAATTCCAGGAAGTGGATGTCCTACAAGACCAAGTGGGGCAACAGAACCTCTACCAGTGGTCTTAGAGGCACTATATTAAATTCATTGTTTACATGCTCAATCTTTGTAATACTTTACATGAATTCCAGGTAGTGGATATCCTACAAGACCAAATGGGGCAACAGAACCTCTACCAGTGGTCTTAGAGGCACTATATTAAATTCATTGTTTACATGCTCAATCTTTGTATAATTAAATACTTTACATAAATTCCAGGAAGTGGATATCCTACAAGACCAAGTGGGGCAACAGAACCTCTACCAGTGGTCTTAGAGGCACTATATTAAATTCATTGTTTACATGCTCAATCTTTGTATAATTAAATACTTTACATTAATTCCAGGAAGTGGATGTCCTACAAGACCAAGTGGGGCAACAGAACCTCTACCAGTGGTCTTAGAGGCACTATATTAAATTCATTGTTTACATGCTTAATCTTTGTATAATTAAATATTTTACATAAATTCCAGGAAGTGGATGTCCTACAAGACCAAGTGGGGCAACAGAACCTCTACCAGTGGTCTTAGAGGCACTATATTAAATTCATTGTTTACATGCTTAATCTTTGTATAATTAAATATTTTACATAAATTCCAGGAAGTGCATGTCCTACAAGACCAAGTGGGGCGACAGAACCTCTACCAGTGGTCTTAGAGGCACTATATTAAATTCATTGTTTACATGCTTAATCTTTGTATAATTAAATATTTTACATAAATTCCAGGAAGTGGATGTCCTACAAGACCAAGTGGGGCAACAGAACCTCTACCAGTGGTCTTAGAGGCACTATATTAAATTCATTGTTTACATGCTCAATCTTTGTATAATTAAATAATTTACATAAATTCCAGGAAGTGCATGTCCTACAAGACCAAGTGGGCCGATAGAACCTCTACCAGTGGTCTTAGAGGCACTATATTAAATTCATTGTTTACATGCTTAATCTTTGTATAATTAAATATTTTACATAAATTCCAGGAAGTGGATGTCCTACAAGACCAAGTGGGGCGACAGAACCTCTACCAGTGGTCTTAGAGGCACTATATTAAATTCATTGTTTACATGCTTAATCTTTGTATAATTAAATATTTTACATAAATTCTAGGAAGTGCATGTCCTACAAGACCAAGTGGGGCAACAGAACCTCTACCAGTGGTCTTAGAGGCACTATATTAAATTCATTGTTTACATGCTTAATCTTTGTATAATTAAATATTTTACATAAATTCCAGGAAGTGCATGTCCTACAAGACCAAGTGGGCCGATAGAACCTCTACCAGTGGTCTTAGAGGCACTATATTAAATTCATTGTTTACATGCTTAATCTTTGTATAATTAAATATTTTACATAAATTCCAGGAAGTGGATGTCCTACAAGACCAAGTGGGGCGACAGAACCTCTACCAGTGGTCTTAGAGGCACTATATTAAATTCATTGTTTACATGCTTAATCTTTGTATAATTGAATATTTTACATAAATTCCAGGAAGTGGATGTCCTACAAGACCAAGTGGGGCAACAGAACCTCTACCAGTGGTCTTAGAAGCACTACAAGTCTTGGTCCACCTTGCAAAATCTTACTTTCCATTAATCAGGTAAATAAAGTCATCTGCTGTAAGAGTAAAATAACATTTCATAATAGTGCCAACTTCTCCCTGTAGAATTTCTAAAATATACTCTATATTGCAGACATAAGTGTAGTTCTACTGAGGGACACAATACGATATTAGGTAGACCCCTCTATACAGTTACATGGTGCTATATTATACCCTATTCAAACATGACTGTATTCATGCCTTCTATTAACTGTAAACAAAGTCAACATTTCACCCGGGGTATATTCGCGAACAATGCCCCTTGTAATACATGTAATGTGTGACGTCATAACGGCGGACCGTAGTAATGGCGGACCATAATGAATATTCGAAACATTTTGGTGAGTTTTCATGTTCGAATCGTAATATAGACCTCAGAGCAGGGATAATATCGTCGAATACACCCCTTAGGGCTAGGCACACAAACTTTCGAACCCCTTACAGATCCCTCTGTACAGTTACATGGTGCTATATTATACCCTATTATATTGCAGACATAGTGTAGTCCTACTGAGGGACACAATACAATACTGTTGCGAAGAAGCAGACCCTTCTGTACAGTTACATGGTGCTAAGCTACTGGAAGCTCTTGGTCCTATGATACTCACACAAATACAACCAGCTGTTGATGCCCCATCTAATGCAGACAGACTCACTCTGAAAGAAGTAATTCAGCTTACTTTTTTAAGTAGATGGTTAAAACAACCTTTATTGGGGTTCTTGAGTTGGCCGAGGGGCTTGAGCTAGGGGATTGGGCGCCGTAACCGCAAGGTTGCAAGTTCGAGACGTGTGTGCTCCTTGTGTTTATTCATTAAATGTAATCCAAGTCTAGCTGTATTTGTAACAAATTGCAGGTGGTGGATATTTATCCCATCGAACGAAGTTCGGAGGGATAAAGGGAACACCTCCGTCCATCCGTCCGTACGTACGTCTGTCCGTACGTCCGTCCATCCGTCCGTCTGTCCGGGCAATAACTCAAATACCGTTGGCCCGATTTTGTTCATATTTTGTACACATATACCCTATGGGAATAGAAGTTCTGCTCGAAAGCCGATTTTCAAAATGGCCGCTCATTTAAAAATGGCGGCCATTTTAGTGCTGATTTTACTGTAATTTAGGTGCAATATGTAAAACTGTAATAGCAATATGTTTTAAATGTAAAAAAATTATATAGGACATTGATAAAGCTAGAAATGTAGATATTAAAGAAGCACATGGCAGCCATCTTGAAAAATAGCAGCCTTTACTCGTTATTTTACGATTTTTGCTGTAACTCAAGAAGTAGTGGAGCGATTTTGTTCATATTTGGCATGTGAATATTTTAAGCATGGCTCACTGTCTAATGACACTTTTGGTAGGAGGTGGCCATTTTGAAAAATGGCCGCCATTTTAACGTATTTTACTTTAACTCGAAAAGTAGTGGAGCGAATTTGTTCATATTTGGTATGTGAATAAAATAAGCATGGCACACTGTCTAATGACACTTTTGGTAGAAGGTGGCCATTTTGAAAAATCGCTGCCATTTTAACTTATTTTACTATAACTTGAAAAGTGGTGGAGCGATTTTGTTCATATTTGGTATGTGAATATTATAAGCATGGTACACTGTCTAATGACACTTTTGGTAGAAGGTGACCATTTTGAAAAATGGCCGCCATTTAAACGTATTTTACTCGGCCTTTACTTGTTATTTTACAATTTTTGCTCTTACTTGAAAAGTAGTGGAGCGATTTTGTTCATATTTGGTTGTGAATGCTAGAAAAAAAGCATATTACTTCTGATGACAACTTGGCAAGTGAGCAACCATTTTGAAAATGGTGGCCTTTCTTATGTGTGTAAATATTTTATGATATTTGCTATATATTTCGTTTGTAAAAATGCCAGCCATTTCTGTTCGATGGGATTCGCTACACTTTGGCGTTGCCGTTGTTCTGGTTACATATTAATACCTTGTTATTTTTACTTGTAGGGAGTTGACTTTTGGTTGAGTATACTGGACAAACCTATAAGGTCAGGAATACAAAATCAAAATCATGCCCAACTTAGAGCTACAATATGTGACTGTATATCCAACATAGGAGCTAAAGTGTTTGAACAATTCTCTGTGAGTATATACATTTTTTAGTATCATTGATATTTTCAAACTAACAGATGTGTCTATTATAGAATTATGTACATTATACATTACATGTATCCTAGATTCGTGTATATCATATGATATTTGATTGCATTTACTATAATCGTACATCTGTGATTTTTTTTATAAAATTTTGAAAATTATGTAAAGCACATTTCTTATTACTGTTGTAATTTGGAGAAAAATTTGGTTTTCCGGTTTAAATTTTTACATGTCAGGAAAAACATTTACTTCACTCATACCAAATTTCTTTGCAAATCTTCATATACTGATTTCTTTCTCGAGGCAGAAGTGTGTTTCCAAAGTCAAGCTGTCTGCGCTATCTAACCTCTTTCATCATAAGAAATTCCAAATTTCAAATGTGTCCAAGGATATCATGTGTGACATTGTTGCTTTGTGTTTTCAGATGCGTCACAGGATATCATGTGTGACATTGTTGCTTTGTGTTTTCAGATGCGTCACAGGATATCATGTGTGACATTATTACTTGGTGTGACCAGTGATGAGGACTGTCATGTAAGAGCATCTGCAATACGAGCCCTTGGTGTATTTGTTCTCTATCCATGTCTGAGAGAGGTAAGTCTTTATAGTTTGTCCTCTATCCATGTCAGTCTACTATAGTTATTAGCTGATTTACTTGTATACAGTACGATGTCTGTAAGTTATATTTAAAATTAAACCCCCACACAACACTCAGAATGGTGCAGCCTCGACATTTTTAGCAGAATTTCAGAATTTAGCAGATGTTCATGAGTTAGTTCATGAGATGCCAGAATGATCCTTGATCTTAATAGATGATGCATTTGTAGGATGTCTGCTTTGTTGCTGATACTGCAAACAAAGTGATTGAACTGATGGAGGAGAGCAACCTGAGTGTCCGAATCAAGACGGCTTGGGTGTTAGGCAATATCAGTGATGCTCTTGTGGTGAACAAGTAAGACTTTGATCAATAATGAGGTTAAGTCAGCTTGGGTTTTGGGCAATATCAGTGATGCTCTTGTGGTGAACAAGTAAGTCTTTCATTAATAGGGAGGTTAAGACGGCTTGGGTGTTGGGCAATATCAGTGATGCTCTTGTGGTGAACAAGTAAGACTTTGATCAATAATGAGGTTAAGTCAGCTTGGGTTTTGGGCAATATCAGTGATGCTCTTGTGGTGAACAAGTAAGTCTTTCATTAAGAGGGAGGTTAAGACAGCTTGGGTGTTGGGCAATATTAGTGATGCTTTTGTGGTGAACAAGTAAGACTTTCATTATAGGGAGGTTAAGACAGCTTGGGTGTTGGGCAATATCAGTGATGCTCTTGTGGTGAACAAGTAAGACTTTGATTATAGGAAGGTTAAGTCAGCTTGGGTGAAGGGCAATATCAGTGATGCTCTTGTGGTGAACAAGTAAGACTTTGATTAATAGGAAGGTTAAGTCAGCTTGGGTGTTGGGCAATATCAGTGATGCTCTTGTGGTGAACAAGTAAGACTTTGATTAATAGGGAGGTTAAGTCAGCTTGGGTGTTGGGCAATATCAGTGATGCTCTTGTGGTGAACAAGTAAGACTTTGATTAATAGGGAGGTTAAGTCAGCTTGGGTGTTGGGCAATATCAGTGATGCTCTTGTGGTGAACAAGTAAGACTTTGATTAATAGGAAGGTTAAGTCAGCTTGGGTGTTGGGCAATATCAGTGATGCTCTTGTGGTGAACAAGTTAGACTTTGATTAATAGGGAGGTTAAGTCAGCTTGGGTGTTGGGCAATATCAGTGATGCTCTTGTGGTGAACAAGTAAGACTTTGATTAATAGGGAGGTTAAGTCAGCTTGGGTGTTGGGCAATATCAGTGATGCTCTTGTGGTGAACAAGTAAGACTTTCATTAATAGGGAGGTTATTAGTCAGCTTAGGTGTTGGGCAATATCAGTGATGCTCTTATGGTGAACAAGTAAGACTTTCATTATAGGGAGGTTAAGACAGCTTGGGTTTTGGGCAATATCAGTGATGCTCTTGTGGTGAACAAGTAAGACTTTGATTAATAAGGAGGTTAAGTCAGCTTGGGTGTTGGGCAATATCAGTGATGCTCTTGTGGTGAACAAGTAAGACTTTGATTAATAGGAAGGTTAAGTCAGCTTGGGTGAAGGGCAATATCAGTGATGCTCTTGTGGTGAACAAGTAAGACTTTGATTAATAAGGAGGTTAAGTCAGCTTGGGTGTTGGGCAATATTAGTGATGCTTTTGTGGTGAACAAGTAAGACTTTGATTAATAGGAAGGTTAAGTCAGCTTGGGTGAAGGGCAATATCAGTGATGCTCTTGTGGTGAACAAGTAAGACTTTGATTAATAGGGAGGTTAAGTCAGCTTGGGTGTTGGGCAATATTAGTGATGCTCTTGTGGTGAACAAGTAAGACTTTGATTAATAGGAAGGTTAAGTCAGCTTGGGTGTTGGGCAATATCAGTGATGCTCTTGTGGTGAACAAGTAAGACTTTGATTAATAGGAAGGTTAAGTCAGCTTGGGTGAAGGGCAATATCAGTGATGCTCTTGTGGTGAACAAGTAAGACTTTGATTAATAGGAAGGTTAAGTCAGCTTGGGTGAAGGGCAATATCAGTGATGCTCTTGTGGTGAACAAGTAAGACTTTGATTAATAGGAAGGTTAAGTCAGCTTGGGTGTTGGGCAATATCAGTGATGCTCTTGTGGTGAACAAGTAAGACTTTGATTATAGGAAGGTTAAGTCAGCTTGGGTGTTGGGCAATATCAGTGATGCTCTTGTGGTGAACAAGTAAGTCTTTCATTAATAGGGAGGTTAAGACGGCTTGGGTGTTGGGCAATATCAGTGATGCTCTTGTGGTGAACAAGTAAGACTTTGATTAATAAGGAGGTTAAGTCAGCTTGGGTGTTGGGCAATATTAGTGATGCTTTTGTGGTGAACAAGTAAGACTTTCATTAATAGGGAGGTTAAGACGGCTTGGGTGTTGGGCAATATCAGTGATGCTCTTGTGGTGAACAAGTAAGACTTTGATTAATAAGGAGGTTAAGTCAGCTTGGGTGTTGGGCAATATCAGTGATGCTTTTGTGGTGAACAAGTAAGACTTTCATTAATAGGGAGGTTAAGACGGCTTGGGTGTTGGGCAATATCAGTGATGCTCTTGTGGTGAACAAGTAAGACTTTGATTAATAGGGAGGTTAAGTCAGCTTGGGTGTTGGGCAATATTAGTGATGCTTTTGTGGTGAACAAGTAAGACTTTCATTAATAGGGAGGTTAAGACGGCTTGGGTGTTGGGCAATATCAGTGATGCTCTTGTGGTGAACAAGTAAGACTTTGATTAATAAGGAGGTTAAGACAGCTTGGGTGTTGGGCAATATCAGTGATGCTCTTGTGGTGAACAAGTAAGACTTTGATTAATAAGGAGGTTAAGTCAGCTTGGGTGTTGGGCAATATCAGTGATGCTCTTGTGGTGAACAAGTAAGACTTTGATTATAGATAGGTTAAGCTACAAGTTATTGTCGTTGAATGTGTAGAATTAGGGTCATCTAGGGATTAGTTCCACCAATTGTAGTATTCATCTGCCTGATCTTAGTATTAGGTATTAAAATGAGACTCTAGTGGAAAGAATAATTGTGAGAGGGACACTCATCATATCACATGTTCACAAACTTAGAACTAAATATGTTTCTATCTGTATTTTTGGTCTTTGTTGTTTTTTTAAGGGGTAGTCATTTCTGTTACATATTTAATTTTATTTTAGTTATAGCTATATTATCTCTCAAAAACTAAAACAGTGCATCTGACCGATACAATAGTGATTACTGTGGTGTTTACCTTTATGTATCACGAACAATATCTCTTACCAATTTCTTGATCTCACCTTAGTTGGGGGATAATTCATGGGTGGTTTTGGGGGAGGGATTGGTGGGCAAAAACTTACAAGATTCAAGCAGATTTTAAACTGCACTGTACTTCTAGCTTGAATGAAAATTGATGGAAAGTGACATTCTTCTGCACATGTGCATTGAAATGACATTCTGCACATGTGCATTGAAATGACATTCTGCACATGTGCATTGAAATGACATTCTGCACATGTGCATTGAAATGACATTCTGCACATGTGCATTGAAATGACATTCTGCACATGTGCATTGAAATGACATTCTGCACATGTGCATTGAAATGACATTCTGCACATGTGCATTGAAATGACATTCTGCACATGTGCATTGAAATGACATTCTGCACATGTGCATTGACCTACATTTTATTTTCTAGAAACCAAAGTTTGTTTACATGTAATCATAAAATAAATGTAGTGTTACCCTTTTGATGAATGACTCCCATAAAACACATATAAAACTAATTAATTTAATATCGATTGTTAATTATTTTTGACCTCAGCATTTCAAAAATTATTCTACTTACAGGGAAGAAAATGACGAGGCATTCCTAGAGGATTTCTCCGATGTTCTTCTGTTGCGATTGTTTAACGTTGCATCGAAGGCAGCACAGGATAATGATAAAGTCAAGTCTAATGGTGTCAGGGCTATTGGAAATCTTGTACGCTACATACAGCCTAGAAGCTGGGGTAGGAAGCATTTTTATGTCACCACTTGTAATATGATTATTGTCTCCCACTTTTTTTGTGGACAGCTGTTGGTGTTCTGTGTTTGGCATCTGTAACATGGTGTCTGTAGAATGAGGTCTGTAACAAATGGCTGGCTGTCATTGAACTTGAAGATACATTGTTTCTATTTTAGGAAAGAAGAATGTAGTAGAAGCCATAGACCAGGCTATCATTGCACTTACTTGAAGATACATTGTTTCTTTTCTAGGAAAGAAGAATGTAGTAGAAGCAATAGACCAGGCTATAATTGCACTTACTAAGGCTGTCACATCAGGCTCAATGAAGGCTCGTTGGAACGCATGCTATGCTGTCGGCAATATGTTTAAGAATCCACTTCTTCCAGTGGGCACTGCTAATTGGACAGTAAGTATTAATTCCAATTAATGATTTCATGATGTTTTGATATCTGTGATTGTTTATTATACAATCAAATGTATGAGAACGTCTCTATCCATACATGTGTCCAAATTGCAATAACTCAAAAACTGTTGAACCAATGGCAATATTGTTTATATTTTATATGAATATGCCTCATGGTACATGCAGTACAAGTACTGCTCGAAAGCCAGTTTCAAATGGCTGCCATTTTAGTGTCAATTTTACAGTATTTTGGGTACAACATATAAACTGTGATATTAATATGATTTAAATGCAGAAAATGATATAGGGTTTATATTGATCAAGTTGAAAATCTAAATGTCAAAAAAACATAGTGGCCATCTTAAAAATGGTGGCTGTTACTCGTTTATGATTTTTGCTGTTACTGGAGAAGTAGCAGAATGATTTTTTTCATATTTGATTTGTGAACACTCATTACCTTGTCACACTGTCTGATGTGACACTTTGGCTAGAAGGCGGCCATTTTGAAAAATAGTGCTATTTTTATGTGTGTATTTTTTCTGTAGCTCGAAAGTAGTGATTTTGTTCATTTCGATATGAGAATACTTGTATGCATGGCACAATGTCTAATGATACTTTGGCTTGTAGGCGGCCATTTTTTAAAAAGGCCACCATTTTACATGTGTTATTTTACATTTTTACGTCAACTCAAAAAGTAGTAGACTGATTTATTTAAATTTTGTATTTGACTACTTAGAAGTATATTAAACCTTTACATGGCATGAAAAACTGTGGCCAATTTTTATGTGTGTAATTTTGTGATTTTTGCTATAGCTGAAAAATTAGTCGAGGGATTTTGTAAAAAATGGCAACCATGGCTGTTGGATGGGATTTCCTACACCTTGGCATTGCTGCTATATTTTGAACTATTTTAACACTGCTTTTAATAAATGTCCATGAGATAAGCTGAAAATAACAGATTTTCAGTTACCATGGTTCTTGTAGATAGTTGCCATTAATTTATTATCTTAATTCTTTACTTCTGGTTTATATAATTATAACTCACAAAAATAATAAGTGTTTGAGTGGCATCATAAGAAATCCAGTTTCTAGTAAGTGTTTGAGTGGAAAAGTTTGAATTTAGGAAATTCTGCGTTCTCACTTTTTCATTTTCCATTGAAAACATGTTTGTTGAATTGATCACTGGTTATTTGGACAACTGTTATTTGAAATAAACACAACATATAGATGGTGACCCTCAAAAGTTTGATTTTAATTTTTTTATTTCATTAATTTTTTTAATCAATTTTTTTGATATAGTTAATAATATCTGCCTTTATATTTTTGTCCATATTCCTATACATCTACGAGTACAAAGTGGGTTTTGGCTTAACAGCCAGTCATACATATTTGTATTCACTTTGTGTCACTTTGTTTCCATTTGAATTGTACAAGAAGTTCCAGTATTGTGTAGCTCACCATGCCAACTGACAGCACTCCTATGGTGATGTAAGTCTTGGTTGATACACATAAGTAAGCCTGGATAGCAAATGATGTTGATACGCCTACAGACTGCCACATATTGCGACTCACAAAACCACAATCCAGTGCATCAGGGAACAATGTGTTGATTATTGCTGAAAAGGAGAAAATAATTTTAATATCTTGTTCAGTTTAGAAATATACATTTAAGAACTGATATACTGGTGCACCACTTTGTTTTTACTGTCAAAATGAAATATAGGGATTGGTTGTGTCTCTTTGGGTAGAGGCACCCACAGGTTTTTGACCTCAAGGGCAAGACTATACCTTACATTTCTCTGGCCTGGGCTAAAACAGATCACTTATTTCCCAGGGATTATTTTCATTTTGTTCAGTGTAAGATCAGCGCCTCATCCTTCATACATTCTGGTTTATAATTTAATTATGTACATGTTTTGATCGATTGTCTGTGACCTACTTTTTTACTGGACATTGTTTATATTTTAAACAGACATAACACTGATTAATCATAATTTTGAATTCAACTTACAATTTTCCATCATTTGCCATGTGGAATGTGCCAAGCCATGCATTGCAGGAAGTGGTCAAAAACAACCAGAACTGATCTGCGGAAGGTTCCCATAGCAACATTGTTACCATCGTAAGCATATTTATAGATGCTGCTATAATGACAAAGACTTGTCTTGGTATCCAACGATTTATTACTCCGATAAGGCCGGCACCCAGGGCATTGGTTATTCCCATACACAACATGGCGAGACCAATGTAACCAACTCCTAACTCACAGCTTATAAAGGCCTGGAAACGAAATTAAAAAATGGTATTGTCATAACAAAGGTGTATTGCACACAAAATATATATTTGGAGAAAAATTAAGCAAGTGATGATTGGTAGGGACAGAGGCAATAGGGATTTTCAAAATAGCAACTTAATTTTGAAAATTTTTGGTAATTTAGATACCACTGGAGAGATTTGGCTCAAGCTGATACCTAGGGACAAAGGAGCCCTGTTCAAAATGAACTTACAAGATGGCTGCTATTTATATATATTTATAACATATTTGTTCAGTGGGATTTGCTACTCCTGGAAGTCGCTGTTTTCTAGTTATGTTTGGTTTGTAAGGAAAGGGTTTGGTTTTTAAAAAGGAACACATGTCTCACCTGATTAAAGTCTCCTGATATGAGTGATTGTCTAAATCCATTATATACAAATAAGGCTATCAGTGGCATCATCTTCGGATTCCCCTGTAGTTTGATGGTCTTTAATATTCTTTTTCCCGCTGAAATAGTTTTGGTTGGTTTGTGTGGATCAATTATGAACAGCGTCAGCAGTCCAAGGACGATACATCCGGAATATATGCCAACTAGGAGATACTTTTTCTCATCTGGTGGTTGGATAATCTTTGTTCCAGTTAAGTTTGAATTTGGGCAAAATTCCGAACCACAGACATCTTCGAATGCCGTTGAATTGTTTATATTATCATCGATTGGCAGTGTGTCATCCAATAGAATGCTAGCTGAAATTATTTCCCCCCAAATTCTGGCACTGTTGGCCCCAGCTAGCATTAAACCTTGGAAGGAGTCGATGATTGGGCGAGTTTCTGAGGTTTTCTTGATGTATGCATAGTCGAGTGCGAGAGATGTAACAACTATGGGATTAGCTGCCCAGTTTATCCCAGTTCCAATTCCAATCAATATATTTGTTGGTATTAAGCTATACCAACTTGGAAAGGCATTTGCTATGGTAAAAGTCAGGAATAGCACCCAAGAGACGAAAAATGACTTTCGGGCACCAAATGTGTTGAAAAAAGAAGGCGCAATAAGCAAACTAGTGAGACCAAATGCAGCCCATTGACAACTTATAGCAGCTACCCCAAGGCCACCTTCATTATTTAAGCTACTCTGAAGACTGATCAAACCAAAACTCGGGATATTGACCAACATTGATCCAATGGTTAGAATAAATAAGTTCTTCAGTATTTTCTGTTTGGTGTCCAAATTTGGTTTTCGTTCTCCTGTTGTATCTTTGTCATCATCCATTGTCCCGAGAGCTTCTATTATTTTTTGTTGACTCTGAGACCTTTTCTCACTTAAGTCTTGCTTGAAACTATACATTTTCACCATCTTGAATAGTGTGTGTGGTTTTGAAAGAAAGATTGCTTTCCAATCCCTCTTTGTCTATTTTCTTCGACTTATAAAGTATTTATACCAACGTGACACAATTCTCCCATGTGACATGTGCAAGTGTCCCTAGTACATTCTAGTCAGTTATTGTGAAGTCCTTTGAAGAAAACATCAATGGTCAAAATTTGAGGTTTAAAAAATGGTTGAATTTGAAATGACTCAATTTTTATTCCTGACTTCATAATTGTTTAGAACAGAAAAAGTGATAAACATCGGTTAATATTTTTTAAAGATAAGACTGGGAATAAATATCTAAAATTACATTTCACTATTTGTACATTTTCTGAAGGGGTCTACCCTTAGCCTGAACTCCATCAACTAGCTATATCATCCTCCAATGATGACAGATGATTTTGTAGTTTTCGTGCTGATATGATTTGAACCAATTGTAAAGTAGCTTTTATGGTTTTATGAGTTGTTGTTGTTTCTTTAAGCATATGTTACCAGAAAAGTCGGTGATGTGACTTTTTTAGTACAAACTTCTGTTTGATACCAGCTAGCTCTAAAACATTCTTTCTCAGAGTGTAGACAAGGTTATCTCTTTCAAAATGTGAAATGGTTGTCTCGGGGTCAGTCAGTTTTGTAACTCAGGGAGTTTTAGTGAAAGATGTGGCTTTAACAATTAATATATGAGTTTTAAAGTGGCAGTATGATTATGAATACCATACCTCACAATATTTGTTTAGAATAGTATAATTTATTATAATGTACAATACATAAACATTTTCAGATGTAAAGCAAGGTAGATAAAGACATTGTATGTTTTTTATTTATTTGTAGTATTTTAGTTATCCCAGCTATTGTTTCCATGGTAACAAATAAGCAAATAAACCAGGAATGAAATTCTAATCTAAAATATTTTGCTGTTCCATATTTCCAGATGAATTTCGTTCCATCTATGAAAATGTCATGGGATAACTAAAAGAATTTATTGCAACTTATTTACCAGAATATGTGGATCTTCCCTCATAAAGATGACTTTTAATGGCCTATTGCCTTCATAAAGCCAACAAGCCAGTAAAATGTTTGTTTTTTACATGATTGATTTGAATCAACAAGTTCTTATCGTGATGCCACAAATTAATAGCATTTTTATGTCACCACCAAAAAAGCAGTTGCTGGCAGTTGGCAATCGATGGATGGCGTGTGGTGGTTAGCAATTGATGTCTGTAACAAATTCTTACAAATTCCAATAACTTCAAATACTGTTTAGACTGACTTCAATTTTTTCAAAGTTTTCTGAAGAACAAATCTGATTTGAAACTTAAGATTTGACCTTCAATGATCGTCTCAAGGTCAAAAATAGGTTTAAAAAGGTCAAAAAGGTATTTTTCAACTTGCTTTAAATTGACCAAATGTTTTTTTCAAATCATCCTCAAGTTCTCAGAAGTTCAAATCTGACTTTAGATTTTAGATTTCATCTTCAATGGCCTTCTAAGGTCAAAAAACTTGCTTCAAATTGACCAATTTTAATGTCAGATTTCAAATCAGAGAGTGACAATAGATTTTAGAGGTTGACTCCTATTGACCTTCAAAAGGTAAAAAAAGATTCATAAAGTTGTGAGCAACTAGGTGGTGACATTTTGTCATGTTAATGCCTTGTATAGAATTAGAATTGATGAGTTTTTCTTCAACTTATGAATTTCTTTGATTTTATTGTTAAATTATCACTTAAAAGCCACTTGTTACTAAAGGGACTGTTGTTTACGTAAAGGCACTTGTTTACAACAGTACATCAAGATTTTTATAACTTAATTGACGTGATTGTTAGTATAATCTCAATAATCATGATAATGTTATATAATTTTTTTTATTAAAGAGCTGTTTAAACAATGCTTCAAATAAATCTCCCTGATGTCAGCTGAAAATAACAGGTTTTTAGTGCAAGTAGGTCATCAACGGGTGGCTAAGTGAGGTTAGATAACATATGGCTTACATTTGCTGCACTTATAAATAGTCGTACAAGTACACACCACTGCCTTTTGCACGAGTAGTGAATTACTCAGTCAAACATACTTAGTTTACACAAACAAATCTTCCTTGAAATATGCTCAATAGTAGGAATTTCCAAAATAACTGTTGAATTCCAAATGGCCTGGAATTTACTTTATTATAAAAAAATATTTTTGATGACTCAAATATCAATTGTTGGCAGCCCACATGATGGGTGTATATTTTGCAAAAGTAGACAATGGGTAACTAGATTTATGTACTACTTATTATATTATTTCTATCATGTCAAAAAATAGGGAATTTAATAACATATGTCTGGTTTGTTGGGATTTGAAACTCTTCAGAGTTGCTGTTTTCTAGTTTTGAAATAAAATTAGATAGAAATACAGTAAAACCTGTTTAAGTGGAACACTAAAAGTGTTCCACCTAGGAGGTGTTCCACTTAAAAGGTTGATTAACATTAAGTCAGTTGGTCAATTGGGGTATTGAAGTCTTCCTCTTTTGGAGGTGTTCTACTTACAAAGATTCCTTTAACATTAAGTCTATTAGTCAGTTAGGACTCTAAAAAGTGTTCCACATATGGACATGTTTCACTTCCGGAGGTGCTCCACTTTACTATAATGTAAACACATTTTGAATATTTCAGAGTCAAATCTACTCAAGTCTGTGTTCAGTTGTTAAGGACTGTAAGAACTATAAAGTCCGGATCAATGCAGCCCTGGCACTGTCAAACATACAACAGAGGTCAATGTATGGAGACAGTGGAATGTTCCTCTCTGGTAAGTCAAAAAATAATTGATTGTACTCTCTAGGGTTATTATCGCACTTTGAAAGAGCTATCCTTATCTTGTGCTGATGGGTGTCCGTTTGTATGTCAGGTAGGCTGGGGCCACATTAAGTCATTGAAATTCAAGGAAAATTACTGATGCATTCAGCTTGATTTTAACAGATGCAAAACCAGTCTAGTGCCAAGACTTGAATTGGGTTTTAGGCATACTTGGTTAAAAATTACACAGCAGCCATTTTGCTCCTCAAAGTGCGATATTTATTATCACTTTGTGATCTTGTTTCTTATCTAGCTAAAAAAGAATGTTTTTTCACGATTTTTTCCAAAATTTCACCTGGATGCATATCAAAACATTTTAAGAATGGGAAATAATTTCAGTCGTCAATCTGATGTGACCCAAAGTTTAGTATGATCATTGTTCACCATGTGCCTTGTTTAATTAAATGCATTTTACAGTGTGGAGGAGTCTTATAGAGGCATTGGAGTCCACAGAAGACATCCATGACTTTGCTGACTATAAATACAGGGACACTCTGGTAGATCAGGTATGGTTAGCTATATGTGTATCTCGTTCTCTTACTGGGTCCACTATGCCACACCCAAGGTGTACCACTTAACTTAAAGTCCCCGATAAATCGGGCTACGTATACCGCCGTGTTTACATTAGGGGATTAGAAGAGTTTATTTTTTATTTAGGTATGCAAGCTACGTATATCAATATTAGGCCTTCATTCATGTACTCGTGTGCATGTAATCAGCATGCCCTTCAATATTATGTAAACCAGGCTATTCACGTATAATGTACACTATTTATGTGTGTACTACATACAATACAATTCCCTGGGAAACAAAGCACAAATACGTTTTATATGTTCAAAATGAGCCATTTGATTGATGCAAACACTAAATAGCTTCATAAATAACATCTACAAAGTATATCTAATAGTAATTTTCAATTTCAATGTTGAAACTTCCCTGGTTAAGATTATATGGGAAATCATCACGAGACGAAGATCGTTCGCCTTCCTGGCTTACCTCTGAATCGTGTACCGGGCAATCTCTTTATATAGTTTAGCGAGAGCGGTGCGCCTGCGCAGTTTTAAACTTTGGCGCACACTTTAAAGCAAGCATTAAAGCAAGTGGGCGCAGCACCCAGCTGAGATTTCAGAAACATGCGTGCACCCACCTGAAAATTCATTTGCATTTGTTCATGAGAAAAATCATGAAAAAATAGGATTGTTATTTTAGTCACTATCAACATTCATCTTAATGTAATTTAACAGATTCCTACATTTCTGTAAACTTTCTCAATAATTTGTCTATCACATGTATTATTTGGTGAACACTCTGTACATATTTCCAGATATGTGTAACAGTCGTACAACTGGTGTGCCTTATAGCAGTTGATGACCTTGTAGCCTTAGGAGCACTGTTCTTTGACAAGTCGCAACATGTGGACATGTACCTTTCTAAACATATTGTCAATATATCTTCCCTTGAGGGTGCTGACAGGACAGATAAAGGTATACAATTTAGATAAGTGTATAAGCAATACTAAAGTGTATAAGCAATACTTAACGTATAAGCAATACTTAAGTGTATAAGCAATACTTAAGTGTATAAACAATACTTAGTATGATGGATGTTTTTATGTATTTTAAACAATAAACAATTGACTAATTAAAAGCAAAATGGGCAAATGCAGAAAATTACTGAACCAAAATTTGCTGTTTTGAATATGGCCATAAACGTACTTGCAATGAATTTTCTCCAATAAAAGATTGCGGTCAATTTTAAACATGACTAGAATAGTGAATGTCTTCATTTAGAATCAGTCAATAACTCAGGTGGACAATTAATTGAACATGTTGCATGGAGAATTCCAAAGTGGCATTGCATTCAGTGATCTCCCCAGCATTAAAGCAAGTGGGCGCAGCACCCAGCTGAGATTTCAGAAACAGGTGTGCACCCACCTGAAAATTCATTTGCATCATCATCATGAAAAATAGGATATTTTGACCAAATTTTGTCTAGATTGAGGAAAACACTGGAATTGTGATCCTTTTGCTTTATTTCAGAAAGTAAACTACAAGAAGCTGTGGAACATATGCGGAAACTGTCCGAGTCTCAATTAACTAAAGAGCAGCACTCTGCATGGCAGATCTTGACAGACATCTTAGAGAAGCCTGTTCAAGGTATGTATCCTCCCTTAACAGGGTTTCATCAGCTGCAAGACATTGGAGATTTTCTCAAGTTGTTTTTGCCAAAATAACTTGTCATGTTATTTTTATGTCACCATGAAAGGTCAAACTTAACAAATACTATTTAGATTGACTTCAACTTTTTTCAAAATCACCTACAAGTTCTCAGAAATTCAAATCCGACTTAAAATTTGAGGTTTGACCTTCTCAAAGTCAAAAATGTCTATTTTTCAACCTGCTTCAATTTGACCAAATTTTTCAAAAAGGTCTTTTTTCAAGCTCACACCGTAGTTTATTTTTTGTTCATGCCTTGTTAGGAATTTTGCAAATTTTTCAATATTAAAAGTATAATATTTTCAAAAAATGGCTTTTGTTGCCATTTTTGTTTAACCTGTTTTAAGTTCTAATGACACCTCTGCTGTTGGGACGTGTTTAAGCCTTTAGAAAATAGTCCTGATGGTCTATTTCATGTTATTCTCTATAGAATTTGAATTAACTACCTCAGTCTTTGTAATTTATAAATGTTGACATCATATTTGTTCATCTATTTTTTAATGTCACAACTACAACTGATGTCATATGTATAAATATTGTTATAGTCTCCAACATTTTTGTAGACGGTTTTTGGTGTCCAGCATTCGAAGTTTAGCGTCTATAAAATGGCATCTGTAACAAATGGCAGGTGGTGGTTGGGGTCAATCTCTGATCATGTCAGGACATTTGAATACTTTGTAAACATATTCCATAAATTGCAAAATAGTCATTATTATTTTGAAAAAAAGTACATAAATATTTTTATTTATTTTCAGTCAAAGAAAGTGCCAAGGAAACAAGAGAGAGATCTGGATTCTTGGAGACATATGATTAAACATATGGTTAATGAGAGAAACATCAAGATTTTTCATTTTGCTGTTATTTATGGATTTTAACTGGGTGTTATAAAATGATACAAATTCACAAAAAGTGAAATATCCTTTCTTGTGTTGGAGAGATACTATTTTCTTTTAACATATTTTCATTTGTATGATTATCAGACACATAGGGGTTAATATATATAAAAATTATCCACTTAAACTAATGAATTTCGAGTTTAAGGGAACTCACTTGTGTATCTGCCATATTAATTTACCAACCTGGTAACTACCTACTCGCATATGGGTTATTGATACTAATTTATTAAAAACCCGGGTGTCTGCTTAAAAGCTACAATTATCTTTTTGCACGTTTGATTGAAAAATTGTATAAAATGACATAAATGAAAATTTGGAACTTCAGTATATTGAACGGGGGAGCACTTAAAGGGAGCACAAAGGTATATTCAATATATCAAACAATATTTACATGTTTCAGCCAATTTAAGCCAGTAGAATATTCTTATGTGAAACGCAAAATCCACCAAGTACAGGGTGTCCGGGAAGTAAATATTCGAATGATTGAATTTTAAGATTTTAATGATATTGGATGATTTCATTATCCATAATAATTATAGTTCCCAGTTTCACTACTAACCGGTTTCATATGACATATGACACATATATACCCTATGGTGTCTGTGTGAGATATGTTACTCAAATGAAATAAATGAAAATAAATATATTAGAGCATTTTTATCTTTTCTTCTTGGGTACACTGTATTTACATTTTTTCACAATTCAACAAAGTATTTAAAACAATGTCTTTAAAACAATGTTTTTAAAAATGTAATAAATCTCTTGATTTCATATAGATATAGAACGTTCTGAAACAAAGTATGAAATATCCTACTAATAGCATATTACATGTATGTACATGAAGAAGAATGAGAAATCACGCCACATTTTGCTAAACCAACAAAGCTACAATAGATTTATGATATCATAGTTAGTACTAGCAATGTTTACAACAAAAATATGATTAACTAAGACAACTTTGAAAATTTCTTCTGAGATTATTGTTTGTGACCTAAAAGCAATCATTAGACTATCATTAAAATTAGCAATTTTTTTAAAAGGCTGGAAAAATATCTTAACATGGTATTGACATAAATAATTTTTTACAGAAACTTATGGACAGATGGAGGGGCATATTTTACCATTCAAATACGAAGCTAATACTAACTTCAAAAATTGTATGTTAGTTCCATAATGTTATGCTACTTTTCTAGCCTTTTGAAAAAGTTGCAATTTTTTGGCACACCCTGTATATAGTCTCTTTGGTATAGAAAAAGGTAGCAGAGTTTAATGGAAAGGTCTATTGAATATGTTTGGCATGTTCAACGTCGGTGAAATAAAAGAAATGTTAAGAAAATGTGAACGTTAAAGATTGCCAAATATTTGTTATGCAATGAATCTTTTATCTGATTACTTCTAGTTTTTAGACGATCTTTGATTGTTACATGTGAATAAAACTAATATATTTTACTGATACAGAATTGTTGTCATTATACCTTAAACGGTTTGGCGTGCAGTTTGTTGGTGGTAGACGGCAGTTTCTTCACAATTTGATGCATCGATTTCACTTATTTAATCGATCATATATGGATTTCCTTTGACATTTGGTTCATTAACATGTAGCCATAAGTATTATTAGCTGTGTGCCTCAAAAAATATCTCCCACGATTTAAAACACGCTTATCCAAAAGTATAAGATTTTTGACGGAGTACACAGATTTATAGTAAAAGAAAAAGCATAAAATAGTATTAGGTCTGGACATCAGATTAAACGCTTAAAATGGTTGTGAAAATTCCGATCAGTTCAAAAGCGAATCATTTGTATTTATGTCCATATATGTCCATAAGTGTGATATTCCTATAAATCGTCGTCTATACGTAAGAATATCACACTCATCAGACTTGCCAACCTAAAATGAAAATTTTTCGGGAGATTTGAAAAAAATTGCGGTACTTTACGGGAGTTTTTTTCAAAATCCGGTAGTTTTTGCGGGAGTTTTTTGAAAAAAAGCGGGAGTTTTTACGGGAGATTTTTGAAAAAAACGATAGTTTTTACGGGAGATTTTAAAAAAACGGGAGTTTTTACGGGAGATTTTGAAAAAACGGGAGTTTTTACGGGAGATTTTTTAAAAAAAGTATTTTTCGGGGTAAATTTTAAAAAACGTGACTTTTTACGGAAGATTTCAGAAAAATCGAGAGTTTTTGTGGTAGGTTCTGAAAAAACGGGAGTTTTTACGGTAGGTTTTGAAAAAACTGGAGTTTTTGGGGTACATATAAAAAACGGGAGTTTTTACGGTAGATTTCTGAAAAAACTGTAGTTTTTACGGTAGATTTCTGAAAAAACGGGAGTTTTTACGGTAGATTCTGAAAAAACGGGAGTTTCTACGGTAGATTTCTGAAAAACGGGAGTTTTTACGGTAGATTTCGGAAAAAAACGGGAGTTATTATTTTGAAAAACGGCAGTTTTTACGGTAGATATCTGAAAAAACGTGAGTTTTTACTTTAGATTTTGAAAAAACTTATACTTATAAACCCAATAAACAAGGTGTTTCATAATTTCCTAATTCGTCGGGAAATATCTCCTAGTACGGTAATAAAAAAGGGCCAATGGCATACCATCCGTACCCCCTTGATGTAAAGCATGTTTAGTTGTGTCATATGTGTTTTCTAGAATCAAATAGGCCGATATAGCACACGGGTTTTACAGATTTATCTACTCTCAAATATATTTTTTGTAGATGATCGTTTTGAATCACCTTGTAGAAATAACGAAGGGAGAATTAGTTCAGCTAATGAATGAGTCGAGCTGTTTGATTGGATACTATGCCTATTCAGCCGATTAATTTTAATAAGCCATTCTGGTCAGTAGGTCCACACATATACTATGCGGAGATCCAACTCTGTAAGTTTATAATCTGCGTATAAACACACTACCCTACCTCGATAGCGCATGCGCGAATTTTTGGGCTTTCAATCAGGTCGCTTTTAAGTATATCGACTGCTTAGTGAAAAGGTTAATACGTTTGGTGCTCGGAGTGAGTCAATATTGCTATTCGCTGAACTTCAGTGGTGCAATAGTGAAGTCCATGTTCCAAGTTATATGATAGTTGAAGAAAGAATGTAAATAATATCGTTTTAAATTTTAAAATATTTGACACGTCATAGTACACGGTACACAGCTGCAAAAGTTGATCAATACAGGGTACGAGGAATGTAAATTGTTCAATAGTACAGGGAGCGAGAAAGTAAGCTGATTATACAGACATACTATGTCCCGATCTCATCTATATTTACGTTGCAAACAGTGAAAATAATGCTAAAAAGGCCGCCTGTTGATGCTTTGAGGTGTCATCAATTGTTATTTAATCCAAATAAAGTAAACATTATTTAGAAGATTTAGACACGGGCTTTTAGGTCGTATATGCATTTTAGTCATTAAATTAACAAGAACGCTAGATTATACGTGTTAATAGGGTATCAAATTGAAATAAAATAACGAAATTAAATATGAACACGTAAGTGATAAATGACTATCGGCTATCAGGATTAATGACTATCCGCTATTCAGAATAATTAAAATTGCGTGAACTACATGTAAAGAATTTTTCTATATAACCCCTTGAATGGTCTAATTCACTACCGTCCTCAAAAACCGATCATTTAAAATAGTTTGTTCAAAATACCATCATGTCACCACATTTTGTTCTTCACGATTTGCTGTAGAGGTGATATGACGTCGTATTTCTCTATTATTGTAAAAAAACTAATACCAGATCGATGTAGTCTTATATGACGTGTTGAATGTCAGATGTTTTTGGATGGTATCTGCTCCAGTGATTTTGCATTTAATCATGAAACGCTCATCACAAGACACCTCGAAACAAACATTATCCTCCTTGAGGAAAAATGTTTCACAATATGTTATGCCTTACTGCAAAATAAAGATACATTCCTTGGACGGCTTTTTGCATCTTAAGATTTTAGAAAAACAATTAATTCACAAAAGTACAGTTGAATAACATACTGGAAAACGTATCCACATATAACACGATGACACGCAGTTTAAATAACAGTTTACTGGGGTTTTGTTACATATCAATGTAACATTTTCGAAGGGAAACTTACATGCTCCCTGTACGTTGACAGATTTACTGAAATGTATCGTGTATTGCATTGAGTTTTGCTTCACTGCGCCCACTATTATCTATCTTTGCCTATAGTGTTTTTTTGCCAACAATATTCTACAAACTGCTTGATGAATCAATTCTATGTCTGGTAGAACACTAGAAATAAATGTAAAATGTATTTTACGTTCAGAAATATGGAATTAAACCCACGTCCTCCATTTGCAACTTAGCTGTACCCTGTTTCCCTTTTAAACGTGGTCACGTGGTAGGGTAGTGTGATAAAGGCCCTTTTATACGTAAAAACTTAAAAATTGACCTTATAATTTCATGAGAACTTTGAAATGATCGACTCGTTCGTGTAGTGATTCACTTTAAAGGGTATTGTTTATCGTACACTACAAGGACCCGTCAACTAGCGTTTAGTTTATCGTGTTCATAATTGACACTAGCAAAGGACATTGTATTCGCAGTCCTTAGTTGATGATGGAGCTTGACTATATCGGGAATAGTTATGCCCCACTTGGTACAGATTATGAAAATCAATTTGAATTGATTTTAGTTCGACAAGACCCTTTAAACTATAAGTATACGAATAAGTTTTTGAAAACTTATAACGAAAATTCTCTAACAACTGGAGTACTACTTAAAGCTTACATCTGAAACTGGCGGAAAGTAGAAGAAAAAAATGCACTTAATCAATCACAATTACCCTTATCATTCAAAAGTTACATATAATTCTGCAGGAACGTCTCGAATAAATAAAAATTAAATTCCCGGGCAAATTTTTTCGTCCAGTGTAGCGAATAAACTGGCCGGAAGTCGTCTGAGTTTTGAGGTGTCACTCCTGTAAATCATTGAAAAATATTGATAAAATCACAAAATTCAAGTTCTGGGGTACATATCGCCATTTTCGAACGAACTAGCCCATACAATGACTATATTTCTGCGTTCCCCTATACATAACCTTTATCTTGACACTATATTTAACATAGGGTTTGCGTCTCGATTTTTATATATCACTACGCCAACATAGGGACTCATTTTCAGGTAAAATCCCTGCTTCACCGATGAAAATTAACGAAAAAAGTAGTTCCAGTTTACGGGACTATATTCTTGCGATTTTTTCTTAAAATGGCACATTTAGAAAGTACTTGGCCTCAGTTTTATATACATACCTCAAATGGCCACATTCCATACACTTAAACCTACTATACACACCATTGAAGTTGGCATGGCTTCGTTTTTAAAGTATTAAAAAACACTGTCCTACCCGGAAGTGCCATTTACCGGAGTGACACCTTAATGTCCCAAAACGGGAAAATTTGACTATGATATTTTTTGCTCATTTAGCATTTTTTCAAACAATTGAGTTATTTCATGCTCGAAACAGCTTCATTTCCAAACTTTTAATACGTTTTCTACAAAATCTAGCCACAATTGGGGAAATAGGTGAGGGCTGAGTCTCTAAAAACTGGCCAAAATAACCTAAAATTGGGTCATCATCTTCAGAGATCTCATGCAAAAATTTTAGACGCAAAATCTCCAAGATTATTTCATTTTGTCAACCTTTATAGTAATGCCTTTCAAGTATTACACAGAATGAACTGAAATGTATGTTGCTAAATGCAAATATTTGAGTCAAATGTGGCCCCGATGTGCAAAATTTGCCCTTTTTCTCCTAATTACGCCAGTTAGGCCCCAGTGTATTGTGACATCATACTCATACCATTGCTACAATGTAGCAATTTACAAATTAATCTTGTTTACTCTTCCTGTGATACACCTGGCGTGTTTATTAAGCCTGTAAAAATGATAATTTGCAACATTGTAGCGATTTAAATGAGGTATGGAACCTTAAAATCGTGTAATTTATGGAGAAATAACCAGCAATTTTGATGGAATTCCAGTCGATTTTCTCCCATTTATGACCCCTTTGGATACCCGTTTGGCCATTCTGATAGGCACATGATGTTTAAATGTGAATTAAAAGCATTGCGTGGCCTAGCCTGAATGTAAATATCGACTCATTGAAATTCAACATCCATGGTCTCTGCGCAAATGGCAGCCAATCTAAGGCGGGGGTATTAAGGTGTCACTCCTGTAAATCATTGAAAAATATTGATAAAATCACAAAATTCAAGTTCTGGGGTACATATCGCAATTTTCGAACGAACTAGCCCATACAATGACTATATTTCTGCGTTCCCCTATACATAACCTTCATCTTGATACTATATTTAACATAGGGTTTGCGTCTCGATTTTTATATATCACTACGCCAACATAGGGACTCATTTTCAGGTAAAATCCATGCTTCACCGATGAAAATTAACGAATAAAGTAGTTCCAGTTTACGGGACTATATTCTTGCGATTTTTTTCTTAAAATGGCACATTTAGAAGGTACTTGGCCTCAGCTTTACATACATACGTCAAATGGCCACATTGCATACACTTAAACCTACTATACACACCATTGAAGTTGGCATGGCTTCGTTTTTAAAGTATTAAAAAACACTGTGGTAGGAAGTGCTATTTACCGGAGTGACACCTTGAAAGAAATAATACTAAATAAATGTCAAAATGATGTCAACTAAACGACAGTTTAAGCCTGTACTCCAGTAAGTACTCCACTTAACTTTGATTGGGAGGTGCATAATAAAACAAATACTGGATGATCAGGAGCTGGATATGGCCAGAATACCTATCCTCGAAAAAAATATTGGGCTCGGCTACCGCCTCGCCCATTATTTTTTCTCGAATAGGTTTTCTGCCATATCCAGCTCCTGATCATCCAGTATTTGTTTATTATGAGATAAGATATACACCATTAATGCAGGAGTACCACTTCGCTGATTATTCTTCTGGTATCAGTGCTTGGCGTCATCCTGCTAATCATTGGAATCTCAATTTGGTCGGTCACCATAGCAACATGGATGACACTAGAAAACAACATCACCATGGCAACACATGTTGATACAGATGATGCAAGCTTTTTTAAAGGATTCACGTATCCACGACGGACGAGACCATCGATCGCTGATCCAAAAAGATATAAACACGCTGCTGTGACGTCTGACGTGGTCGAATGTTCTAAAGTTGGTAGGTGAGTACTCTTGACACCTTTTTCATTGAACATCTCAATAGGTCATAAACGGTAATACGAGTTTTTGTTTTCAATAATAATGTATGTTAATGTTCCTAAAAATATCAAATATATTCTTAATTTTGATAGGCATTACTCCATCACATGTTCATCAAAGTTAGTGTTATGTGAACGATTCAGATTGCATGTTTCCGACTGCGTGTTCCAACTTGCTGTATGTTTATTTTTTCATTTTAGGTCAACATGTTTGCTTTTAAGGCATCTATTAGGTTTCACTTAGGCATATACCAAAATCATATGTATGCTCATCGTATCCTTTTTGTGTTGGGTATCAATTTAGCCTAGTACATTGGGAGATCTGGGGGTGCCCAGCCATCCCCCGGGTTCAGAAAAAATTTAGGTCGTCCCAAAAACATTTAGGGCCGGAAATATTCTTCTTCTCACATAAATTGAGCAATTTAGGTACCAAACTGGCATTACTGGGCATTATTTTCTAATTTTGAACACATTTTTATGAAATAGGGTCCAAATTTTCAGATTCGGAGCCCACAATTTAAGAAAAAATGTTAGCCACCCTCCCTCTTGATTTTCAGATCCGCCCCCGAAGTGCCCACCTATTTTATCTTGTGACAAGCTTAGATTATCCGGGGTCATATTGGCCATTGTCCTATCGTAATATTATCCTAATTTTCATTGTGCATACCGTTTCAAAGTTTTTGACTGGCTATGTTAGCAGGTGGATGTACCCAATCACTGTCAGTTTTTTTGGTGATATTGCATCAGAACTGTAAAATGCTTGTTTCAGAAATATATTAAAGAGAGGGGGTAATGCCGTTGATGCTGCTATAGCTACAACCTTTTGTATGGGTGTTGTTAAACCCTCTCTCACAGGGCTTGGTGGTACGTATGATTTCAGCTTCTAGTTTAAAGGTATATTCCTTGCAATTCAATATCTCCCTTCATCAACTTTGAATCTTTGTAACCTTGCCGGTTTAAAAGGGTAGGAGGTCCTAACAAATTATGGTCCTACTTTCCATTGATTTATATGGTGACCTGAAAACAACTCTTTCCCTTAATATCGTATCCACAATAAGGGCCAGTAAGGGCCTTTAAGAAAGGGGACCATAATACCCAGGGGACCATAATTTCTTTTACAATTTCTCAACGCCCAGGTGCAGGTGCTTTGTTTATGGTTTTAGTTAGTACAATTCAATATCTCCCTTCATTGACTCTGAACCTTTGGAACCTTGCCAGTGACAGTGGAGTAGCTTTATAGGTGTTTTATTTTAGTTACTACAATTTACTTTCATACAAATCAGTCATCACTCATGTTTTAGCGTACCCAGGTCTATCGCTCCATCAAATGTACTTTATTTCTCAACGCCCAGGTGGTTTGTTTATGTTACTAAAGGACTCAGAAAGCGGCGTTGTAAAAGTAATAGATGCTAGAGAGACTGCACCGCTTCTATCAAATAAAACGATGTTCGTTGGGAGGATGGAGGATTCAAAAATAGGTAAAAGCCAAAAGGATCCGTACCTATTAGTGTACCTATAAGAACTTAGAAAATGATTGAAAAGGGTAAAATGGAATTCCAGAATTATTTTTATGCAATTTGAATCTTTATTAAGTATATTTTCAACAAATCACAAAAATAGTGTGGAAAATATGGTAAAAAGGTGTTTTTAACAGTGATTCTTAACATGTGTCATGTTGACTCTTAAAATGAGTAATTTTGACATATTTTCACAGAACTTTGATTAAAATCTTGAGTTTTGTAGATAGACTTAATTTTACTTGTCAATATAAGAAGTACAATGTGTCCTAATCTACTAAGCTTCATTTCGTGTGCCGTTCATGCATAAATAGTTAGTAATCCCATTGTAATGCAAGACACCCTATTGTGTTTTTGTTGTAAACAGTGAATGACCTTCTCCATTCATTGACAGATTTAGGTACTTCCACAAACCAGACCCCCTCTGATTTTACCTTTATTGTTTAGTATTGACACTATTTTATAATTCAAACATGAAATAAGAGAGGGTCCGAAGTGTGGAAGATACACAATATGAAAGTACAGCAAAAAATTTAAGTTTCAAAAAGGAGGCCATATTGAAATTGCCATTATAGTCAAGAATCCATTCCGCCTTGAATGTATTGCTAAAGATAGGTGCAACATAGAACCTTCTACAAAAATAGAAAATCTTATTTGGAAAGACATTCTGGACTGAACCTTCCAACAAACGCTGTCGTTTACAATAACGATTGTGTCAACATATCACGCCACAGAGACATCCAACCCGGGTTCACATAGATAATTCTGAGCACCATGTTCAAACCTCTAAACAGACATGTATTCAATTTTCACTGATAACAAGATCAAAGAAAACATGTGTCATTTGCAATAAAGCAATTCAATCACAGGTAACTTAAAATATGTTTTTCAAAAATTTGCTCATGGGGTATACTATTAGAACATGTGATATGTAAGCAATGAGCCTGATAGTCAAAAAAATATGTTTCGGCTAGTCATTTGTTTGAATTGATATTGCTTGTTAAGTGTTCATATGAAATTAACTTAAGACCATTATGTCATCTATCATTGTTTTAATTTCTTTGACAATGCCAAATGAAAATATAATGCAATGGAAAGTCGCAACTAGATTTAGCTTGAATTTAGGTTTTGTATTTTCAACTGTTGCTCTTTGTGTTTTCCCTTATCTTTAATGATGTTTTGACATATATTCTAGGTTGAATACCTAGGTTAAGGCTACAGTATACACAATAAGGGCGATAAGGGTACTATTGTTCAGAACACATTTAACAGGTTCATTTTATCATATGATATATTATTTTTAGGGGTTATTTTATGATTTGTGTTTTCAATATGTTGCCCCTTGTGATATTTTAATATACCCTCTAGGTTGAATGCCTACTGTATACCAACTGAGGTGACCATGGTACTATTGTTGAGAACACATTTATTAAGGTTAATTTTTCCAAAAGATATATTCAGTTTTTAGATTTTTTTATGATATGTGTTTTCAATATGTTGTCCTTTGTGTTCTACCATAATGATGTTCTGATATATCGATTGAGGAATGCCAACATACTTAAATGATCATCAATGAAGACTAACGTATCCCTGAAATGATAGTTATAATGATTTGCATAGTCAAACTTAAATGCACTGAATGACCTTAGTTTTAATCCAAATGACCTAATTTCATTTTTGATGTGTTCATAATTGATAAAAGTAACTATTTCCATATTATTTTCAATGAAACCTTTGGGGGCACCTTCAGGTACATTAGGTAACGGATCCTTTGATTGTTTGGCGACTAACATGTTCTGTAATGACCCCTCGATACGTCCGTCGGGGAGCTGTAGTATACCGAGCCAGATACGCGACTCGAAAGAGAGTGTGCTTATTTCAATGTCCCATTCGGGAAGCGAACGCAGGACCTTACGCTCTGAGTCAGACGCTCTACCCCTACGCCATAAAGTGTAGCCACTACAGCTGAGACTGTAGTAGCTACTCGGTATCGAAGATCGTTACAGTTCTGTAGGGATCTCAGCTTTAGCCTTGATCGTTTGATTGGTGTAAGAAAAAACAAAAGCACTCTACTATACCTAACCCCTAGAAATACATAAGATACTCTGTTTGTCCTGGGAACACTAAACCATGATGCTTTTATTCTAAGGTTTGTCTAATTGTATTGTTTAGTCTATTTTGGAAAGTACCTTATTAACATCTAACAGTCTTCCGATAAACCGGCTATTAATAAGGAACAGACAAATAAAAACAAATTAAATAATCATTACTATAAAGCCAAATGGGTTGCTCATGAACACCTAATGCAAGGTATAGTAGAGTGAAAATGTCAGAAGGGAAATTGTATGGGGAAATGTTAAGATAAGAAATATGGAGGTATGGTTGAAAATGCTAATGAAAGCCCCTCGACATGTTCATGGAGTTCATGGCTCGTTTCAATATATCCATGACAAAATTTATTTTTTTTTGTGTTTTTTTTATTTAATTTTTTTTTCGGAGAAGAAAAAACATGTCAAAGCAATTGCAAAATACAATTACATGGAAATGTGTTTATGAAAATTAGGGTTCGTTACTTATTTCGGTACTTTTTGTTTCAAGAGAGAGATTTAAAATTCAACATGAATACATGCTTCTAATCACTTAATCTTTAGGTCCATTGTCTGTAGCAGTACCAGGCCTTGTACGAGGACTATGGAAAGCATTTACAAAGTTTGGGTCGGGGCAAGTGACATGGATTGACCTCTTGGCACCGTCCATAAAACTGTGCAAAGAAGGCATTGTCGTTACAGACGAATTGGAAAAAGATATACGATTGGCTGTTAATGTGATTCAAAATGCTGGAAAGGAATATCGTATGGGGTGAGTGAATCAAAAAATATATCATTCAAATTACTCATTTTTGTTAATGACAATCATGGCGAATTATGATTTTACTACATTATTAAAGGCACCATCTATAATTTGAAAATATGTTTTTTTTATTTCATTACTATTATTCATGACTTTAAAAGTTATTTTAGAGATTTTTGAAAAAGATGAGAGGAGAATAAGTTGTCTGATTTTAATTTTTCAAATATTCAATCTAACGTCTTTTAACGTCTTTGTTAATTCGTATGCTTTGCTTTTCTCTATTGTTAGAGCACCTTTCCATAATAAAGCTGAAGGAAGACTTTATAAAGCAAGAGACATAATGTTTAGACCAAAACTTGGAGCATCTCTACAACAAATAGCTGCTGACTCATTAAGCTTGGATAGAACAATTGCAAACGAAATCCAAATGATGGGTAATATATTTAGTATGAATAGTATACAAAATGTTGAATGATGTGAAATAGGATATCTGTACCAAATATTCCATTCTATTGAGATGAATTCATGTTCACCTTTAATTAATTCAGCCCGAATGGCAAGGGGAATATTCTGAGAAACATGAACAAATATTTACAGAAATAGCATGGAATTTGATTTTCTCTATCATTGAAAAAAATGTTCTAACTTTACTTAAAAAAGATGCATAAAACTGTATTTCACATTTAACAGGTATCATCTGATATAAATAAAATTATCTTCACTGTTTTTCCTATCTCTGCTGTTTCAAGATTGAAATTATGTTTTCCTTGTTGTCGATCCATAATATCTCGACAGCGTTTAATGATAGTTTCTCATTTTATGTATGTAGTGCAGTCAGAATGAGGGTTTATGCGTGCGTTCAGAGGGATTTTATGGGACATAATTTTTCATGCTGCTAGTATGATTTTTCATATTTGTATGGATTATTAGATCTTAGTTTTTCAGCTTTTATATTTTGTGGCCATTTTACCCCCCATGGGCTATAATTTGGACCCCTACTATAAAATTGGGCTGGAACTACTCAGTGGAATGTATCCAAATTACTTGGATATATTGATATGGGCTAAATGAATATATGATAAAAATTTCATGTCACATGGTTAAGCGGTTGCCATTAAAACAGATAAAATATACCCTTCAGGTGTTGATTTTCAGGCCATTTTTCAGAAATCATAGAGTCATTTCATGCATATTTTGTCACCATTGTGTTAGGAAGGGTTAAAGTATGAATAGAAAACTTCTATAATATATTAGCAACAATCTTATATAAAGATTAGTCCACAGGATTTCAGATTTTGGCCTTATATGGGTCCATGATTTATACAGGGGTCTATTTCACAGACTCGAGCCCCCACATTAGATGAATGCTATAACTTTTGAAATAATGGAGATACAGGTCTCATTTTTTCAGATCTTCATAAATGGTTGGTTTTAAGTATTGTATCATTCTTTGGGAGCTGGTAGGTGATTGGTTGCTATGGTAACCAAGGTTTTATGGAAATTCGGACCCCCACATTGGATGGATGCTATAACTTTTGAAATAAGGGATATACGTGTCTCATTTTTTCAGATCTTAGACAATGATTGATTTTAAAGATTGATTCAGACTTTGGGATCTGGTTTTTGATTGGTTACCATGGTAATCAGGGTTTTGTTGAAATTCAGACTTCCTCAATTGATTAACGCTATAATTATACAGGCATATATCATCTTTCAAATATCATCTTTTCAGATATAAGATAATAATAAAATGTGTATATTGTATTAGACTTTGGAAGTTAAGATCTCCTTGGTTGCCATGGTAACCATGTTTCATTTTCATGGTAACTACCGTTTTCGTTTTTAGATTCACCTTCATTCTTTATATGTCAATACATGATATAAAATACCAAATTGCCATTTTATTTTTAATTTTTGGATTTTTTCTATTTTATATGATTTACATGCTCATGACTCATTAATACTAGAGAGGCAAAAATTGTTTGGCTCATAAAATATCAAATACTATAGGTAAACAATACATGTATATTTATATCTGACAATATTGCCTTATTCCATACTACCAGTTCTCACAAATATTCTGACTCCTAACTTGTTCATTTTTACTCATCATTACTGTTTTCATTTTGCACAATTGCCTCTTGATTTAAATATCAACCGTTTCTGTTGGAATGAAGTCTTGTTTTGACCATTCTGGAGTTGAGGATCCTCAGGGGATTTAGTACATTCATGCAGTATTTGGCTTGGCAGAATGGGTTAAGACTGGTCCCTGGGGGTTCACTGTATATAAAATTTTGCTGGGGTCCTAGGCTGAACCCTCAGATATCAATATGTTCCCATACCAATCTGTTAAATTTGAATGTATTTCCATACCAACCAAAGTAATGCCCAAAAGTCATACCAAATGCCCAAATATAGAATCAATGCGATATCAAATATCCAGATATAAAAACATGGCCATTCAAAATGTCTAATGCCCCGAGAAGAAGGCAGACCTTTGAGGAAAACAACCCAAAACAACTTCACACTATAAAGGATATATACTAGACCAATGCCATACCACAAGTGAGGGGTAACATATTTTCCAAGGCCATTCTCATACCAGTAAGTGGAAAAATCGGCCGGACCATTGCCATACCTCATAATTTGGATGGCATTCTCATATCAGATCTTAAAAGGAGAAGGGTCACTATGGAGAGCTTTTTAGAAGCACACAACTATTTTATTCTGGAAGTGATCATCATGAAACTTTAAAATACTTTTAGAAATGAAGTGAATTCAGAGATATATTATTCTCAAATTATTAAAACGTGGGTTTGTAGAACGTTTTTTTGTGAAGAGTTCATCATTGGCTCCAAAGTAATTCATTGCATTATATTAGCTGCTATGTAGAATATCTTCCACCTTGTAATGATTGCTCACTCCAACATTTAGGATTAGTCATTCATCCTCTTCAAATATTGTTTCCTATTATGAAGAAAACAACTTTAAGAACCTCAACAATGTCAGAAGCTCAACCAAACCTCTGTAGCTGCAAACTTAGAACGAAGTACTGTGTGAAGCTATATTAGCCTTCAATGTGTTACTGGATCTGAATGATGAGGGCAGTACTGTTTTGGAGAATATCTTATGTGGAACAGCTCATATCGTAGTTTATTGATGCAGTTTCAAATGTATTTTTGTAATTCTGCTGTTCTTTTGCAATTGAACAATTCAACTTTGGATTTTATTGTTACTGGATCTAAACCAAAGTAAAATAAATCAACTGAAACTGAAGACAACCCATTCTTAAAGTTGTTTTCTTCAATAGGAATCCATATAGAAATTCCTGATACCATAAAATCCAAAGTTGAATTGTTCACCTGCAAAAGTACAGCTGAATTACAAAAAAATAACTTCCACTAATAGAGTGGATACAAGTATTCTCAAAAACAGAACAGTGCTGCCCTCACTTATATGAAGGGGTTGACATTTCAACTATCACATTTGAAGAGGGTGAATTATCAAACCTGTGTATGGAAACATTCCCCACCAGCCTAAACCCAGCTCTACCAAGCCAAACACTGCATGATTGAATTATGAATTCCCAGAGGAATCCTTAACACCCCAATGGTCAAAAGAATCCTTCCTTGTTGAAACTGTGATGTTTAAATTAAGAGACCATTGTGGAAGATGAAAACTATAATGATGAGTAAAAACTAGTTAGGAGTAGAATATGTGTGAGAATTAGTAGAAAGGAATGAGTCAATACTGTCAGACATACATGTAAAAATGCTGAAATTAAGAGTAAAATGATAGTTTTGAGCGTTTTATGTTGTGTCTTGATGTTGTGTCAAATGAAGGTAAATCTGAAATCAAAAATGAAGTTTCCATGACAATGAAACATGGTTATCACAGCAACCAAGTAAATTGTAACCTCAAAAGTCTGACACAATACACAAGTCTAATTATCTTTTAAGTTCTGAAAAGCTGATATCTGTAACTGCTTGAATTCAAAAGTTATAGCCTTTATACCCTAGTTACCATGGTAACCAATCAAATTTCAGCTATCAAAGTCTGATTTAATACTTAAAATCAATCATTGTCTAAGATCTGAAAAAATGAGACATGCATCACCCTTATTTCAAAAGTTATAGCATCCATCTAATGAGGGGGTCAGAATTTCCCTAAAACCCTGGTTACCATGGCAACCAATCATATACCAGGTCCCAAAGTATGATACAATACTTAAAACCAGCCATTTACGAAGAACGGAAAAAATGAGACCTGTATCTCCCTTATTTCAAAAGTTATAGCATCCATCCAATGTGGGGGTTTGAATCTGTGAAATAGGCCCCTGTATAAATCATGGACCCATATAAGGCCAAAATCTGAGATTCTGTGGACTGATCTTTACATAAGATTGTTGCTAACATATTATAGACATTTTCTATTCACATTTCAACCCTTCCGAACACACTGGTGACAAAATATGCACAAAATGACTCTATCTTTCCTGAAAAATTGGCCTGAAAATTGACACCCGAAGGGTATGTTTTATTCATTTCCATGGCAACCACTCAACCATGTGACTTGAAATTTTTATCATATATTTATTTAGCCCATTCCAATAAACCATAGCAATTTGAAAACATTCCACTGAGTATTTTTTGAGTTCTTGCCTAATTTTATAGTAGGGGTCCAAATTATAGCCCATGGGGGTTAAAATGGCCACAAAATCTAAAAGCTGAAAAACTAGGATCTAATAATTCATACAAATATGTGAAATTATACTAGCAACATGAAAAATTATGTCCCGTAAAATCCCTCTGAACGCACGCATTTAGGCTCATTCTGAAAATCGTTGAAATCGTTGTACAAACATGCATGCATATAACAATGTGTAATTTGTTTAAGAGTTGCCTTTATCTTTCAAGGTGGAATCATAACAGAACAAGATTTAAAAAGCTACAATGCCATTGTAAAGGATCCACTGGTGACACAGCTCCAAAATGGAGATCTCAGTGTGTATGGTGTCCCTCCGCCATCAAGTAGTGCCGTCCTGCAATATATATTGAATATTTTAGATGGATATAACTGCACTGGCTCCATTAAAAATGAGTTCGAAAGTGACTCGAGATCGATTCCTTGCCACCACCGAATCATAGAGAGTTTTAAATGGGCGTATGCAAAACGAGCAAAATTAGGTGATGAAGAATATGTTGACCAAAAACATGTGAGCCAATCTTATATAGGCCTATTGTACTATAAATTCTGTCCAAATAATGATTATCATTCATGAATGTGTAATTCGTAAAGAACTTACATCCTTAAATCTTGTATGAAACATTGAAATTTTGTATAAAATGAAAGAAATGGCTGCAAACTTTATTATGGTTATCTAGTAGTTGCTTATTAAACAATAATCAATATTATTGATGCTGTATTTTATTGGTTTTCTTTTCAATCTAGCTGATATTTTAACAAAATGTGTCCAAATATGTTGTGAATAAGTTGTAAAAGTTTCATATCATGAAACTCAGTAGACTGAATAATATGGTTGCTATAGTAACCTAGGGGTATGGTAGATGGAGCAGATGTAACAATGCGCAAAACATGACATTTTTGTAAAAATAGTAGTTTTTGTATAAAGTGTTCAAAGTATTAATTTGTCATAGTCGCATCAAACTTGTTGGAAATTAAAAAGAATAAAGCTGGATTCCTGGAAATTAAAAATGTTATCACACCCTTTATTAGCCATTATTTCAGCATCTATCCCTTCTGCATTAGTTAGCGCTCTCACTGTTCTCGGAAATCCACATTTTGGATAATCGGTCTCAGTTTCCCTTCCAGATTTGAACCGCTTGTACCACTCACACACTCTAGAGGTTATCATCATTGACTCCCCATGTGCATTCGTCAGGAGTTTAATTGTGTCTGTTGCAGAAAAATGGTATTCACACATATTATGTCTTGTCACAGATTGTTGTGTGTTGCCTAAGTCGAAGATTTTCCTTTGCTTATGACTTTTTCATTTTTCAAGATGTCCATCGTCCAAAATGACCTATGTTTATTCTCCTTTGTGACTCATGACATGACAGGTGTTTAAATTGTGATGTGATCAAGGGTGATGACATTTTTACTTTCTTGGAGTCCACCTTCATTTTTGTTTAATTACTGACAAGTTTTATCCAACTCTGACAACCTAATACTTAGTCACACTTCGTACAAAAAAAACAATTTTTACAAATATTTCATATATTTTGCGCGTTGTTACACCTGCTCCACCTACCCTACCCCTAGGTTACTATAGCAACCATATAATTAACACTACTGCACCTCACGATATGAAACTTTCCTAACTTATTCAAAACATGTTTAGACACATTGTGTCAAAAATTCAGTAAGATTGAAAAGAAAACCAATAAAACACAGCATCATTCCTGAAACATATGGAACACCCTGTATACATGTATATAATTTGGGAATTCAGAATTCCATAGTATGAGTAAAATTTGATACAACCAATGCAAGTATGCATTTCAAAAAAGAAAATACACTTTGTGTCGAAGTTAAATATAAATGGTTCGGCGACCAGACCTTAATGATTCCTATCATGGATACTAGACATCTTACTCGCTAAACTGTCCATACATCTACACTTTATTCTACTTCTACCATTAAATGATTATTCAGATTCTTCTAGAAATGCTATCACGGAGAACAGCCGCACAGACCAGAGCTAAAATATTCGATGACCAGACCTTTAATGTTTCGTACTATGGAGAAACGTTCTATGACAGACTTACTAAAGGAACTGCTCATACTTCTGTAGTTGATAAAAATGGTGGCATAGCAGCCTTCACATCATCTCTAAATTTTATGTACGTATTGACATGGGTTATACACATGCCCGTAGCCAGAGGGGGGAGCGGAGGGAGCGGCCGCCCCCTTACCATAAATTCTTTCAAAATCATGCAATCATTCTGAGCACTTTTCTCATGATTTTTTTGCCAAAACTGTCAAATTAAGCTGAGGTAGGATTGAATAAAGTAACCATAAATTGTGTTAAGGGCAATAATGTAAATCATCCCATGATACTACTACTTTCTAGTGAATAACACCGGGGAATATTTTTGATATCGAAAAAATCATATTGTCCCTTCTATTCCCTCTCAGGAAAATGGTATCCACCTTCGGGAAATATCATACTCTCCCTTGGAATAAAACCCATGTTCTTTACTTACACCGTGGCTCAACCTAAAATATTTTAATAATAATGTTTTAAATGATCGGTTTGTTCTCTATAACTTCTTACGTTTATAGATTCGGTTCTGGTTTAGTGGGAAATACGACTGGCATTGTTTACAATGACGAGATGGACGACTTCTCTACTCCATTGACAAAGAATTTATATGGCTTTGTTGCATCTCCTGCCAATTTTATTAAACCTGGAAAACGCCCATTATCATCGATGGCACCAATACTTATACTTGATTCTACTACTAACAAAGTTAGGCTTGTGCTGGGTGGTACTGGCGGATCCAGAATACCTACAGCTACAGCATATGTAAGTGAGGGCAATTTGAATAACAAATTCAAAACTGACATATTTTTCCAATAACTAGTTTTGCTTTTGTTTTTTAATGTTTATTTAAAATGTTTAAAGGTATGCCACATTAGCCTGTATTGAATCATACCAATGTGCATAGTCGCATATGTACCTGTAAATACTAGTAGTGTAAATATTTAGGTAGCTGTAGAGCATCGGACTTGGAGCGGACAGTCATGGGTTCGATTCCCCTACGGGGCATTGAATTTAGCATAATCCCTTTCATGGCCAGTATCTCTCTTGTTACACTATAGCTCCCCGGGGCGCCCATGGGTCGTTATAATAGTTACTGGTTTCTTGCCCAATACAAAATCAATACATCATAAATGCGTCTTCATAAGCAGCTGACACCAACCTTCATGCTAAATCCATTTTTAGGTAGCTGTTCGGTATTTATGGCTTGGTGAAGATATACAAACTGCCATATATAACCCAAGGCTACACCATCAGCTTCTGCCGAACGAAATCTTCCAGTATGGTGATTTCCCAAAAGTGAGTATATTTCGCTTGCACAATATAAAATGCAGTTCAATTATTTTTTTAAGCATCTCCCAAAAAGTTCTAGACAACTTGAAGCAATACCTTCCCGTTCAAAAACCAACAACTCCAGAATAAGACAACATAGTATACAGTGTGTCTCAAATAAATGTTACACTTACAAAAAGTTCAATATCTTTCATAGTTTTGACTTTTCCCCTAAAATGTACCTTGGATACCAAAAGTCAAATCTTTCTCCAATAATTTGACACCATCAGATTCAAAATCTGTCCTTGATTGGCTCCATAGGACAGCCTTTAGTGTCCCATGGTAAAATCTGACTTGCGCCGACTTCTAAGTGATTGGATGAACCAAATGACAAAAGAGGAACAGTTTCTTTAACATTTAACTTTCTTCTGAGTAGAAGCTTGACCTTTAACTGAGTCATTCTGTTATTTTCCTATTTGTCTTACATATGATAATTGGGTCTATCCGCATAAACATGTGGTCCTCTCAACATGTTCTCCAAAGCAAATCTGAGGTACCCTTGCCCATGCGCACATGCATTGTAATATCACCACACTGATTCCAGCAATTATTTTTGCTCAAGTTCATTTAGGTCAGTTTGTGATGCTGTAAAGCACTTTCAGAGGCCATTCAAAGAATCAAGGGTGTAAAGTTGGATGATCCTGTGGGCCAATCCATTTTGTAATACAATGCTATCTTCTGATTTCCAAAGAGTTCTACCAAACAATCTGCCAGAGGCCTTTGAACCATCCTGTTGCCATCATATGTAATAAAATTGAACACCCTGACAATGAAACCTTGTATTTCTATCCAGTAAAGAAACAACTGGATCATTGATCATATCAAGATATCACTGTCCACATCATTCACACCAAACAAGAATTGATCACCACATATCCAACCACTGAAAAGTTGGCGCAAATCATATTTCACATGCGTCTATAAAATCTGTCCTGTGCAGCCAATCATGGACGGATTTTGAATCTGATGGTGTGGATTTATTCGAGAAAGACTGGTCTTTAGGTATCTAAGTATATTTTAGGGGAAAAGTCAAAATCATGAAAGATATTGAACTTTTTGTAAGTGTAACATTTTTTGAGACACACTGTAGAATCTGTGAGTTTCGTTATGTTATTTTCTAGTATTATGCATTAATGTATGATTATATTTCAGAATATTCTACGAGGTTTGTCCAGTATTGGCCATAGCATTAAATATGCGTATGATTTCATTGATATGGTACAAGGTATATCTGAGATAAATGGGACTTTAGAAGCAGCGTCTGATTACAGAAGGATTTGTGGAACGGATGGATATTAAGTTAATGTCGCAAAACGCGATGCACGGTTGTAGAGACTGCCGTCTCGAACGATCGCAACCTCGTGGTTACGTACATCGCCCAATCGCCCAATTATATATATATAATCTGCTTCTGTGTCCTCGACACTGTCCGAGCTCTGGCTAAAAATGTCTATTGAATTTTTTTTATATAATTTTAAGAAAAATGTTATGTTTAATTAAATATACTACCGATGCAGACTGGTACAGTATACAAAACATCGGAGCGGATTTATATAGGGATTGGAGTTACCTGTGTGCTTAGTGTGATGATATATGATTAGCACTCCATACGATCTGTAGTCAACATAAGTATTATTACTGAAGAATTGTATTGAATTATTCTTACAGATCACGATAACAAACAATAGCTTATTAAGGTACACGTAGCTTACGTAAATATCAATATTAGGGAGGTCAGGCTACACGTTTTAAGAAAACTTGTACGTGAGGATGTAATACAATGACCCATATACTAGCCCAGTCAATAATGGGTCGATAGTTCATGATCATATATATTCTTAGGTTTTCGGCCTATAGACTAATGGGGACATTCTAAAAATTTTGATCCGCACTGCCAAGCACGAATCACACTCCTTCATGGTGAAAATTCAAGATGGGCGCCAAAATTGTCGACAATTATATAATATTCATTTGATAATTTTTTCATTCCCTTGAAATCTCAATAAAATGTGGTTAGTTAGTGTTTTCCAATATCAATTGATAATATTTCTACCCTGAAAAATATTTAAATTATCTAAAAAGAAGATTTTGGTTGTTCCGTACCCTCCATTTTTAAGATTTCGTCAAAATTTTTGATAAATCATTAAAATATGTACATTTCATATATACTGTAGTACTGTACCTATCATAGCTCTATCCTTTTTTAATCAGGATATATTAGGTTTGTTTGTTTTAGTAGAAACCGATTCCTTTCCAAACAATATTTAAATTAGATAAAAACATAATGAAGAATGTCTCCCATAGTGCCACCTAATGGTGAAATTGTTCAAAATCAAAACTGTGTTTTATAATATATTGAACTGTTGAAGGAAGTGTGTAATAGTTTGGAGAGCCAAGATTTGATCTGTATCATGTACCATGCATAATAAAAAACTATTCTATAGTATTATTTTACAGTAGAATGCCAACTCTAAGATCTCAACCATAAACATTTGGGGGGGGGGGGGGTAAATGGGGGGTATCTTGCAGTTTATATAGTATTATCATATTTGAACCCTAACTTTAGTTATTCTAATGAATACTCTCCATTACAGGCACACAATGATGTGCATACTAGAGCAGCCTTCAAGCTGGTACATCTTGATGGGAAACACTGCTTCTGACAACCACACTTTACCAATGGTTAACTAGCATCAGCCATCTGCTTTAAGATAGTCCTATGTGGCTTCTAAGTGTTCTCTCTTGGCTCTGTTCTCCAGCCCCAGTTCTTTGGAGATAGAATGATACCTGGGGAATGATAGGACTTAATTTGTTAAACTGACCCCAGAGTATGTACACCTTGGTACAATGCTCACTTGCAGTGTTGCATCAAGGCGTCAGCTGTTGGAAGAATGTGTTCAATAATAAAGTAGTCTTCTTTAAAAATGTATTCCTCGTAGCAGTGTTGATTGAGGTGTCATTGCTGAATTTATCATACAGCAACATAACATTAATAAAGGATCATCTATTAGACTGAGGAGTGCATTCATCAGTTGTGAAAATGAGTTCCATGCTATAAACCTGCTCCTGCTTCCATGGAATCAAGGTGTAACTTGTCAATGAGTGGAATAATGGCAGACATAGGCTTTTTGAGGCCCAATGAAATTCGTCATTTCATGTGCTGCCAATGACCTGAACTGTCTCCCCTTGTCAAATCTAACTCATATTTGTTCACTCAGAAAAAGTGTGTTGATTGTGTGCAAGCGTACTTGTCTTTGGTGGATTGTTTTTGTGGATTAACACATGACATCCTGATAAAAGGTTGCGAGAAGTCTTTTTCGTTCAGGAATTATTACTTAGGTGGTTCAAAAAGTTTTACAGTTGATGCCATAGCTTCAAGGAAAATAAGACTTCTGCAATGAAACTTGGTACACATATGTGTTATATATTTATACATTATATGTCAAAATTTGGATTGGTTCTTGAGATTGGTTCTTGAGATATGGTTGCTATGGTAACCAGAGTGGTGGATACCATGTTCAACACGAAATTACGTTTTTACAAATAGTTTTCTTGCTTGAATAAACTCTTTGTTAAGTGGCAATTAGCAGGTGTGTCTTTGGGTGGCTATTTTTCTTCAATTTCTTCAATTTTTCTAATTGTCTATATGACATCACAATAGACAAGTGACACGATAAGTTCCTTTGTGATGTATACTGTCCAAAACCCAGTTGAAAAATTGAGATGGAAAAGTGAGGAAATTTTGAATCAAAATGGCAGATGTTTCCACACCAACCAAATTGATGAACTGGAAGCATAGAAATCTGATACAGTGCATGGTTCAAAATGGCAAGACTTTGCAAGAGACTATGAACTGGTTCATGTCACAACTACAACTGGTGTCATATAAATATTGTTATAGTCTCCAACATTTTTGTGGACGGTGTCCAGCATTCGAAGTTTAGCGTCTATAAAAATGGCATCTGTAACAAATGGTAGGTGGTGGCAGGGGTCAATCTCTGACCATGTCAGGACATTTGAATACTTTGTAAACATATTCCATAAATTGCAAAATAAATCATAATATTATTTTTTGGAAAAAAAGTGCCAAGGAAACAATAGAGAGATCTGGATTCTTGGAGACATATGATTAAACATATGGTTAATGAGAGAAATACCAAGATTTCTCATTTTGCTGTTATTTATGGATATTCACCGGGTGTTATAAAATGTTACAAAATCACAAAAAGTGAAATATCCTTTCTTGTGCTGGAGCGATGCTATTTTCTTTTAACATATTTTCATTTGTATGATTATCAGACACATAATTGTTAATATATATAAAAAAATATCCACTTAAACTGATGAATTTCGAGTTTAAGGGAACTCTCTTGTATATCTGCCATGTTAATTTACCCATCTGGTAACTACCTACTCGCACATGGGTTATTGATACTAATTTATTAAAAACCCGGGTGTCTGCTTAAAAGCTACAATTATCTTTTTGCACGTTTGATTGAAAAATTGTATAAAATGACATAAATGAAAATTTGGAACTTCAGTATATTGAACGGGGGAGCACTTAAAGGGAGCACAAAGGTATATTCAATATATCCAACAATATTTACATGTTTCAGCCAATTTAAGCCAGTAGAATATTCGTATGTGAAACGCAAAATCCACCAAGTACAGGGCGTCCGGGAAGTAAATATACGAATGATTGAATTTTAAGATTTTAATGATATTGGATGATTTCATTATCCATAATAATTATAGTTCCCAGTTTCACTACTAACCGGTTTCATATGACATATGACACATATATACCCTATGGTGTCTGTGTGAGATATGTTACTCAAATGAAATAAATGAAAATAAATATATTAGAGCATTTTTATATTTTCTTCTTGGGTACACTGTATTTACATTTTTTCACAATTCAACAAAGTATTTAAAACAATGTCTTTAAAACAATGTTTTTAAAAATGTAATAAATCTCTTGATTTCATATAGATATAGAACGTTCTGAAACAAAGTATGAAATATCCTACTAATAGCATATTACATGTATGTACATGAAGAAGAAGGAGAAATCACGCCACATTTTGCTAAACCAACAAAGCTACAATAGATTTATGATATCATAGTTAGTACTAGCAATGTTTACAACAAAAATATGATTAACTAAGACAACTTTGAAAATTTCTTCTGAGATTAAATTGTTTGTGACCTAAAAGCAATCATTAGACTATCATTAAAATTAGCAATTTTTTTAAAAGGCTAGAAAAATATCTTAACATGGTATTGACATAAATTATTTTTTACAGAAACTTATGGACAGATGGAGGGGCATATTTTACCATTCAAATACTAAGCTAATACTAACTTCAAAAATTGTATGTTAGTTCCATAATGTCATGCTACTTTTCTAGCCTTTTGAAAAAGTTGCAATTTTTTAGCACACCCTGTATATAGTCTCTTTGATATAGAAAAAGGTAGCAGAGTTTAATGGAAAGGTCTAATGAATATGTTTGGCATGTTCAACGTCGGTGATATAAAAGAAATGTTAAGAAAATGTGAACGTTAAAGATTGCCAAATATTTGTTATGCAATGAATCTTTTATCTGATTACTTCTAGTGTTTAGACGAACTCCATGTATGTTTGATTGTTACATGTGAATAAAACAATATATTTTACTGATACAGAAATGTTGTCATTATACCTAAAACGGTTTGGCGTGCAGTTTGTTGGTGGTAGACGGCAGTTTCTTAACAATTTGATGCATCAATTTCACTTATTTAATCGATTATATATGGATCGGTAGTATTTTCATTTGACATTTGGTTCATTAACATGTAGCCATAAGTATTATTAGCTTTGTGCCTCAAAAAGTATCTGCCACCATTTAAAACACCCTTATACAAAAGTATAAGATTTTTGACGGAGTACACAGATTTGTAGTAAAAGAAAAAGCATAAAATAGTATTAGATCTGGACATCAGATTAAACGCTTAAAATGGTTGTGAAAATTCCGATCAGTTCAAAAGCGAATCATTTGTATTAATGTCCATATACGTATGTCCTGAATGTCCATAAGTGTGATATTCCTATAAATCTTCGTCTATACGAATGAGTGTTGATATTTGATATCTACGAGGCGATAAAATGATATCACGAGAAATTATGTGATATTGGGTTTATCCCATGATTACGATCACCTTGTGATATAGTTCGCCATAAATACAATTTTTAATCGTTATTTAGCAGCCTTCTAATCAAATTATATACACAATCGTAATTTAATACACCAATGAAACTTAAAGAGAATAAATTAACGGACCTATTTTCTCAAAAGAGAATAAATTATCTGACCTAATTTCCAACAATATTGTGGCGCGAAATGCAAATGTGATATCACACGGACTTGCGTGAGATAAACGATATCACACGCATATGAGTTTGATAAACGATTTTCTGGAAAATATCACACGGATTTCAATGATATCAGAAATATCAATAGCTGTTATTGTACAGATAACACATTAATCGTGGGATAAGTAAGAATATCACACTCATCAGACTTGCCAACCTAAAATGAAAAATTTTCGGGAGATTTGAAAAAAATTGCGGTACTTTACGGGAGTTTTTTTCAAATCCGGTAGTTTTTGCGGGAGTTTTTTGAAAAAAGCGGGAGATTTTTGAAAAAAAACGGTAGTTTTTACGGGAGATTTAAAAAAACGGGAGTTTTTGTGGTAAATTTTGAAAAAACTGGAGTTTTTACGGGAGATTTTGAAAAACTGGAGTTTTTACGGGAGATTTTTTAAAAAGGTATTTTTCGGGGTTAATTTTAAAAAACGTGACTTTTTACGGAAGATTTCAGAAAAATCGAGAGTTTTTGCGGTAGGTTCTGAAAAAACGGGAGTTTTTACGGTAGGTTTTGAAAAAACGGGAGTTTTTGCGGTACATTTAAAAAAACGGGAGTTTTTACGGTAGATTTCTGAAAAAACGGGAGTTTTTACGGTAGATTTCTGAAAAAAACGGGAGTTTTTACGGTAGATTCTGAAAAAACAGGAGTTTCTACAGTAGATTTCTGAAAAACGGGAATTTTTACGGTAGATTTCGAAAAAATGGAGTTTTTACGGTAGATTTCGGAAAACTGGAGTTTTTACGTTAGATTTTGAAAAATCGAGAGTTTTTACGGTAGATTTCTGAAAAAACTTGAGTTTTTACTTTAGATTTTGAAAAAAACGGGAGTTTTTACGGTAGATTTTGAAAGAACGGGAGTTTTTACGGTAGATTTCGGAAAAAACGGGAGTTATTACGGTAGGTTTCTGAAAAAAACGGGTGTTTTCACGGTAGATTTTGAAAAAAACGTGAGTTTTTACGGTCGATTTCTGAAAAAACGTGAGTTTTTACGGTATATTTTGAAAAAACGGGAGTTTTTACGGTAGATTTATGAAAAAACACAAAAATTGTTTATTTCATATAATTATTTTAACTAATGAAGTTCAAATTGTCAAACTCTGGGATGATTTATATTTCAAATTGTCTATATCATATCATGATATTATTAATATGATCTGTTTAGATTATAGATACAACATTTTATTACTTTGGAAACGAATTGATCAAAGCTAAGTAAAATGTATATGTGGCGTTCACTATAGTGCTAAGGGCAATCTGCGTGAGGTTCCATTTTTAGGGTATGAGGCAGGTATGAGGTTCCATATCCATCCGCCAAAAGGTATGATCCATTTAAAAACTTGTGGTTTTGTTCTAAATAACGCCATAGTTGGCTTCTAGGGTACCTAGTATGCCACTATTTGGTATCAAAATGAAGAGGAGGAGTTCAACTTTCATTTGAATTACGAAAATAGCGATGTAGGTCAAAATAGTTCCGACGTGATCATGTTTACTACGCGTTTGGCCGGTCATCTCAGAATTGAGGCGATGGTAGCAAACGCGAGTTACAATAAATGGACGCTGATATCTCAAAAAGTAACCTGACTCCCTATAATTTGATGTAGATCAATCGAACCCCTGTATGAACAGGTACATTTTGATATATAACACTATGGGGGGTAAGCGTTTTATAGTTGATCACGAACGCCATATGTGCCGGGTATTGTTCTTAATTTTCGAATTTGGTGTTGGATTACGGTACTCATACCTTAGGTTCGGTTTTTCGTGCATGAGCATTTAATCCAGCGATTTAATTGGTTGAAATTATTATGACGCATGCGCAGTTAATAAATTAATTAGAACTTATAATCTAAGATAGATGTCACTTACGTTCATTATTTCACAGCAGTCCCTACCCATAATGCGCCTTATATTGCGGGAATATTTTGTTTAGCGCCATATAAAAACAAAATGTATTCTCCCGACAGAAGTATGACAGAATATGAACTGGCCCCCGTTTGTGGACATTATGTGTGCAAACTTATACCGAACTGATCGCAGAAAAGCAATTTGAAACATGGGAATGAAGTACTTTTAAGTTATTATGAATGAATAAACGCACGGAGCACAACGCGTCTCGAACTCGCAACCTCGTGGTTACGGCACCATCGCCTAGCCTGAACGTGCTGGCGCCTAAGCCCTCTCGGCCAACTCGACAACCCAATAAAGCTGTTTTGTTAGTCGATCTGACTAGGGGCAGCTGATATTAACGCTAGTATCGATAGTGAACCATGGGAGCCAATCCTTCTTGGAGTAAAAGAAAGAAGCGTACCTGCAATAATCAAGGTCACAGATTTGTCAAATTCCTTTTAAATACGGTAGATTTCGACAGCAAAAAACTGAGATTTTATGGGAGTTATACCAAGAATACGGGAGATTTTGCGGGAGTTATACCAGAAAACGGGAGATTTTACGGGAGTTATACTAAGAATACGGGAGATTTTACGGGGGTTATACCAGAATACGGGAGGTTTTACGGGAGATTTCAGCAAAAATACGGGAGATTTTACGGCCATATTTTTAAAAAAAATTACGGGAGATTTTAGTAGAAATACGGTACGGGAGTTTTCACGGGAGAAAACGGTACGGGAGATTCCCGTAAAAAACGGGAGGTTGGCAAGTCTGCTCATGGACGTATAGAGCTGCGCAATAAATGCTGTCCAAATTAAACGCTTCATATGTTCATACGCGAGGTATACGGGAAAAATAAACATGCTATATGTGAGTTGCGAAATCTCTCTATTATGAAAATATGAGATCAAGATGTATTTTATGCGACCTTTGTATCCAGCTGAAGGTAATAATGTTTACAGCCGTTATCTGGGTTGATATATTACAATATACACTTGGCTTACAATACTTTCTATGGAAACCGTTTACTATTCAACAACATACATATGCGAGTTAACGTCTATAAACAAAATGTTGCAGAATGTCTACAAACACAAAGTAGGTTGTAAAGTTAATTTCTTAAATGTATTGTACTTTTAAGTATTAATCAGTATTAATCGTTAATTCAACATTACATAGATTGAAGAAAATACAGGTCTACATGTGATTCAGATGGTAATTGATAGCTTTGTCCAGTACTCAGGGGCGGATCTGGAACCAACAAGGGGGGGGGGGGCCCAAATTTGAAGTCAGAGAAGAAAAAATTTGGGCCCCTAAAACCCAAAAGTGGGCCCAAATTTTGAGGCCCATTTTCTTCAAAATTTGGCCTGAAATTAAAAAATAAGGCCTTAAAAGGCCCAGTAATGACCAAAAAGGCCCACTTTTTCGGGCCTGAAGGCCTTTTTTGGCCAAATTTATTTTTGGGCCCCTAGGCCCCCCCCCCCAATCCGCCAGTGGTACTTCCATTTATTATGCACCTCATTAAAATACTCAAATCTGATTGGTTCCTCGAAAAAATATTGGGCTCCGCTGCCGCCTCGCCCATTATTTTTTCTCGAATAGGTATTCTGCCATATCCAGCTCCTGATCATCCAGTATTTGTTTATTATGAGATAAGATATACATCATTAATGCAGGAGTACCACTTCGCTGATTATTCTTCTGGTATCAGTGCTTGGCGTCATCCTGCTAATCATTGGAATCTCAATTTGGTCGGTCACCATAGCAACATGGATGACACTAGAAAACAACATCACCATGGCAACACATGTTGATACAGATGATGCAAGCTTTTTTGAAGGATTCACGTATCCACGACGGACGAGACCATCGATCGCTGATCCAAAAAGATATAAACACGCTGCTGTGACGTCTGACGTGGCCGAATGTTCTAAAGTTGGTAGGTGAGTACTCTTGACACCATTTTCATTGAACATCTCAATAGGTCATAAACGGTAATACGAGTTTTTGTTTCCAATAATAATGTATGTTAATGTTCCTAAATATATCTAATATATTCTTAATTTTGATAGGCATTACTCCATCACATGTTCATCAAAGTTAGTGTTATGTGAACGATTCGGATTGTATGTTTATTTTTTCATTTTCATTTTAGGTCTACATGTTTGCATTTAAGGCATCTATTTAGACATATACCAAAAATATATGTATGCTCATCGTATCCTTTTTGTGTTGGGTATCAATTTAGCCTAGTACATTGGGAGATCTGGGGATGCCCAGCCATCCCCCCGGGTTCAGAAAAAATTGAGGTCCCCAAAAACATTTAGGGCCGGAAATATTCTTCTCACATAAATTGAGCAATTTAGGTACCAAACTGGCATTAATGGGCATTATTTTCTACTTTTGAACACATTTTTATGAAATAGGGTCCACATTTTCAGATTCGGAGCCCACATATTAAGATTTTCAGATCCGCCCCCGAAGTGCCCACCTATTTTATCTTGTGACAAGCTTAGATTATCCGGGGTCATATTGGCCATTGTCCTATCGTAATATTATCCTAATTTTCATTGTGCATACCGTTTCAAAGTTTTGGACTTGCTATGTTAGAAGGTGGATGTACCCAATCACTGTCAGTTTTGTTGGTGATATTGCATCAGAACTGTAAAATGCTTGTTTCAGAAATATATTAAAGAGAGGGGGTAATGCCGTTGATGCTGCTATAGCTACAACCTTTTGTATGGGTGTTGTTAAACCCCATTTCACAGGGCTTGGTGGTACGTATGATTTCAGCTTCTAGTTTAAAGGTATATTCCTTGCAATTCAATATCTCCCTTCATTGATTCTGAACCTTTGTAACCTTGCCAGTGACAGTGGAGTAGCTTTATAGATGTTTTATTTTAGTTACTACAATTTACTTTCATACAAATCAGTCATCACTCATGTTTTAGCGTACCCAGGTCCCGGGGGGTTCACTATATATAAACCTTGACGGGGATCCTCGGCGCATGTGGGGTACCTTTTTCAACGTTTGGTATGGCAATGGACCCATATTTTAGGATTTTGTATGGGAATGCCCGGAAATTCTGAGACTTCTGAGGTATGGCAATGGTCGGACTTTTGCTCTTCTGGTATGAGAATGGTCGTTGTAGATACGTTACCTAACATTCGTGGTATGGCATTGATCCAGTTGTTGCAAATTTGAAGTTGTTTTGGATCGTTTCCCGAAGTATCGTCTTTTCCAGGGCCTTCTCAACTTTTGAATTTTAGCCCTTTTCCCGGGAAATGAGGACCAATCATAGGCTTTGTAATTGATGAAGTCTCGCGAGATTTTTCCTGATTTCAATACATATTTGGACATTTGGTATGGCATTGGTCCTACATTTTGACATTTGGTATGGCATTGGTCCCATAATTGTTGGACATTTGGTATGGCATTGGTCCTATATTTGGACATTTGGTATGGCATTGGTCCTATATTTGGACATTTGGTATGGCCTTTGGGCGTTATTTTGGTTGGTATGGGAACATATTGAAATTTGACAGATTGGTATTGGAACATATTGATATTTGAGGCTTCAGCCTAGGACCCCCGTCGAGTTTTATATACAGTGAACCCCCCGGGACCCAGGTCTATCGCTCCATCAAATGTACTTTAAACAGAATCTTAAGAGGTTCTGGACAAATCATTTGATTCTGGACTTGTCATATTTTTTTTTCAACGAAATCACATCCAAGGGTTGAATTTTTATTAGCTATTTAGAGAGTGAGTCCTGCCTAGTATTAATTTCAATAAAAAAGTTAAAATACAACCCTATTTGAGAGTCAATCTAATACTTACATTACATTGATAAATTAAGGCAAATCCTGAAATATTTTTAAAGTGCGTTTTTTAATGAAATATTATCCAGCAAGTATTTAAATGAAACGGTCTTATTTAAATACAAATCATAACATGATATTTTTCATGAAACATTTTTCAATGAAATTCAATTGAAGGGTCAAGATAAAACGAGCTAATTTAGGTGAAAACCCTTACATGATGATGTGTTTTCATAACTTCTTTCATAAAATTCCATCAAGGGGTGAAGATAAAATGATCGAATTTAAGTGATTTAAGGATCACGAAAATATGTTTTCTTTGATATTTTCTATGAAATCCCATCCAATGGTCAAGGTAAAATTTTGATTTTGATTTTGATTTGGTCACGTGTTCGAAAGATCCATATAAGGCCCATAGAACCATATAGGAACGTCATTTTGAATGACACGTGATAGATCCATATAAGGCTTTTAGAACCATTTATGGAAAGATGAGGGAAGCCCCTGACACCTGTTTCACGATTTTTATGCACTTCATTATTGTACCGAAGTTTGCCGATTCGATTCGTCGTATTTCGGAATCCTGGTGACAATTTTATACTCCATTGGAGTATTTTTGACCTACTTCTTATGACGGAAATTCCCGAACCTTGTTCGGATTAATCCGGATTTTCTGACCTACTTTATCTACCGAGATTTCACGAGTTAACATTCGTCTCATTCCTGAATCCTGGTGACAATTTTATACTTTTTGATCTACTTTTTCTGGATTTTGCCCTACTTATTATATCTTGACAACAAGCAAATCAAAAAGTTCGACATGAACGGGTCTCGATCAACTAACCTAGACTATGGAAGCCAGGCACGCTAACCATGAGGCCAACGAGCCACCGATATGAAAGAACAAAAGTATTATATATTTATACCGAGCGTCAATTCAAAATGATCCTCACTTTTGTCTCCACTTAAATACGACTCGTCAGTTGTATCCAGAATAGTAGAACGCCTATGGCGCTAGTGAATAACCAAGTCCCAGGTGAGTGGTTCGTATCCCTCCGTGATATACTATTTTTGTTTTATTAAATACGACAGAAAGGAGCAAGGTGTAGGTTGAAAACAAGACGTTAGTTTGTTTCAAAACAGTTTGGAAACATTAATCTCTGGAACATTATTTTTTCAACACTGATACAAATTTCCCTGACATTTCCCTGACATGTCTACCGTTTCAAAATTCCCGGTCATCTTTGGCCCTTTTGACCTAATTTTAAAATTACCTGACATTTCCAGCACTTGGAAAATCAAGTCAATTTCCCTGACATTTCCAGGTGTGTATGAACCCTGGAAATATCCCACTGGCTCGCCCTATGAATCGCTAGCACAGATTGGATTGATTAGTGTTTCAAATGGTGGACGAAGTGTTTGATTAGATAATTTACATATTAAGCTTCTTAAAGGGGCAACAAGGCCTGTACATAGAAAATTCGAAATTTTTTACATTTTCTGAATTTTTAGGGCAACATTTGGCTTTAACATCTTTTTTTATACATTTTTTCTTAAAATGTATGGATAAACAATAAAAGTTCAGCATTAAGCAGTGCGAATTCAGTTCAAAGCTTCTATAAAGGGAGTCCAACTTATAGATTTTGAAAATCCGACTCGTTTAAAGAAGAATATCAGCAGCTTAAATCACGCCTTGTGATCATACAAAATGGATGGAGGGGGGGGGGTAGGCGATTTCTGCAAGAAAACTCAAAAAATTTGGAAGATTTGAATTGCCAAATGAATAGGCGCAGTGCATGGCAAAATATGTAAGGTCTTCTAGTATTTTTTGAACTGATACGCTTCTAAGATATGAGATCTATTATAAAAGGCGCATCATCATCATCATCATCATCATCAACGTGCAAAAGTCAATGTTTTTGCTATAAATCAGGCAACAATGGTCTACACGACCTGTAATAAATAGGTATGAGGGGCGTTATTAGAGAATTTTCGTTATAAGTTTTTTAAAAACTTATACGTATACTTATACTTATAAACCCAATAAACAAGGTGTTTCATAATTTCCTAATTCGTCGGGAAATATCTCCTAGGAAGGTAATAAAAAGGGCCAATGGCATACCATCCGTACCCCCTTGATGTAAAGCATGTTTAGTTGTGTCATATGTGTTTTCTAGAATCAAATAGGCTGATATAGCACACGGGTTTTACAGATTTATCTACTCTCAAATATATTTTTTGTAGATGATCGTTTTGAATCACCTTGTAGAAATAACGAAGGGAGAATTAGTTCAGCTAATGAATGAGTCGAGCTATTTGATTGGATACTATGCCTATTCAGCCGATTAATTTTAATAAGCCATTCTGGTCAGTAGGTCCACACATATACTATGCGGAGATCCAACTCTAAGTTTATAATCTGCGTATAAAGGCCCTTTTATACGTAAAAACTTAAAAATTGACCTTATAATTTCATGAGAACTTTGAAATGATCGACTCGTTCGTGTAGTGATTCACTTTAAAGGGTCTTGTTTATCGTACACTACAAGGACCCGTCAACTAGAATTTAGTTTATCGTGTTCATAATTGACACTAGCAAAGGACATTGTATTCGCAGTCCCTAGTTGATGATGAAGCTTGACTATATCGGGAATAGTTATGCCCCACTTGGTACAGATTATGAAAATCAATTTGAATTGATTTTAGTTCGACAAGACCCTTTAAACTATAAGTATACGTATAAGTTTTTGAAACAACTTATAACGAAAATTCTCTATTATCACAACACTGACATTGCTCACTTTTTAAAGTTGTTTCAAAGCGTTATATGTAAATGGGCGTGTGGAAGGCCCGTGGGTGGCAATAAAATAACTCGAACTTCAAATTAAAATATATATAAAATAGTATATTTCAAACTTCAATGTTTAAAATACAATGCTCTGTAATGTACAACATGAACTCTTACAGCAACTACTGACAAGCCAACACCCAATGCAAACTCAGCTACATGTGAGTGAGAAAGACCATATAGTGGAACAATAGATATATAAAACTGACACAGTTTGCATAGTTGAATAACTCAAGGTGAAAAGTGAACATGGTATTAAAAGAGTAAAACTGCAAACAACCTACTTAGGGACCTGTTATATTGAGATGAATAGGGATTGATTAATATGAACACTAATAATATAAAATGTGAAAATGACCATGTTACATATACAAAAAATAACCCCATTGTTACAAAATCACAAAAAGTGAAATATCTATTCTTGTATTGCATTTTCGTTCACTGGACATATTTTAATTGCATTGCTATTAGATACATTTTAAGGGTGATATGAAAATTGAACCACGAAAACAGATGTACTTTAAGTTAAAGGGAACTTTCTACCATACCCGCCATGCTATCTGACCCGAACGAGCCACCTTGTGGTGAGATTGGTAACTACCTGCTCGCATCTGCGTTATTACGCAGAGACATAAACGTATACACAAGGAAACGATAGGAGATAACCTATTTTATCTCTGTATACATTTTAACTTTAATACATCGTTGAATCGAATTTGTCCAAAGGTCTTGAAACGTAAAATACCTAAATATTTATCTTAGACCTTGGGATGACCTTGTACAAGAAACATTAATGTTGACCTCGGTTCATCTAATCATAATTCGCCAAGGGCCATAGTATCATCAAACGCCAAATACCTAGACATTGATCGTTTACTTGGATTTAAATAAGGAGTTTGATTTAAAAATTGGCTAGGTCGTGGTTAAGCAACAATAGTATGTTCGAAATACCGCTGTGTAATGCCTGGATCACATTTGCTGCGAGTGTTTTGTTCAAAATTGAATACATTTCTGAACACAATACTCAATCGGCCGGGCGCCGTAGTGAAAATCGGAGCAAATGTGACCAAGACATAAAACAATTGAATAATACTGTATCAGTTTCACATTTACAGCGGTCAAAAGCATTTACAAAAAATACGCCAGAGTTGGCAATCATATAAAATGAAACCAATCCCGCTGTGATTCATAGAAATAACTAATTTACTGCATTGAGTTCAATGTTATAACCATGTCGATTTACATGAGTGTCCGATTCATTGTACCAAATTTAAACCTTGACTGTTCTCCAGAAAGCAATAAGCTGACATATATCATATTTTACATTTTAATACAACTGAAAAGATAATAAATGTTTTAATATAAAGTTGACGTAGTTATAAATGTTTTCAGCGTAAAATCAAAGCACAACCATATAATTAAAAACATTACGCTGGGATTCCAACTGGATACAACTGACGAGTTGTATTTAGGTGGCCTAAAGTGCTGCTTATTTTTTCGTGAAGCCACTCAGTAAAATTACGATTTCTCTCAACCCTGATGTTCAATCAACATCATTCGAGTATCTATATGTTCCTGACACGTTCGGGCATCCGGTCATGACAACGTCTACCCAATGTTTGCACGAGAAATTGACGTAATTCATGACTGAAATCGGGAAGACAAAAATATGTGATATTCTTTCAAAATTGTTTATAATAACTATTTACAAAAACGTTCCCGAGACACAATCCATTTAGGTAGGGTTTGTTTTAAAGTCGAAAAGCCCCAATAAGACAATACAAACCCAGATTAAACCCAGAAGAATGCAGATTTCATGTAATGATTTACGTTCATGTAAACAAGGAAAGTACATATAATCCCCATATAAAACACTGGCCTACGTGACATGTAAACACAGGTTCAAATTGAAATATAGAAAATTTTCAACATAGCATTTGCTTCTGTGTTCTGTATGCCCCTCTACCTGCTAATAAGGCAATGTATCTTCAAATAAAACCTTAGCCAAGTAGATAAGGGTCTCTGGAACACTTTTGTAAATAGTTTTCACAAGCAATTTTATTCCCGGACGCCCAAACGTGTCAGGAACACATATATATTTGAATGATCTTGATTGGACATCAGGTTGCAGAGAAATCGTATTTTTACTGAGTGGATTATTGAATTTCATAGATCTAGAGGCCCTTCAGGAGTGGAAAACCTTAAATTATCAGAGATTAATGTTTCCAAACTGTTTTGAAACAAACTAACGTCTTGTTTTCAACCTACACCTTGCTCCTTTCTGTCGTATTTAATAAAACAAAAATAGTATATCACGGAGGGATACGAACCACTCACCTGGGACTTGGTTATTCACTAGCGCCATAGGCGTTCTACTATTCTGGATACAACTGACGAGTCGTATTTAAGTGGAGACAAAAGTGAGGATCATTTTGAATTGACGCTCGGTATAAATATATAATACTTTTGTTCTTTCATATCGGTAGCTCGTTGGCCTAATGGTTAGCGTGCCTGGCTTCCATAGTCTAGGTTAGTTGATCGAGACCCGTTCATGTCGAACTTTTTGATTTGCTTGTTGTCAAGATATAATAAGTAGGGCAAAATCCAGAAAAAGTAGATCAAAAATACTCCAATGGAGTATAAAATTGTCACCAGGATTCCAGAATGAGACGAATGTTAACTCGTGAAATCTCGGTAGATAAGGTTGGTCAGAAAATCCGGATTAATCCGAACAAGGTTCGGGAATTTCCGTCATAAGAAGTAGGTCAAAAATACTCCAATGGAGTATAAAATTGTCACCAAGATTCCGAAATACGATGAATCGAATCGGCAAACTTCGGTACAATAATGAAGTGCATAAAAATCGTGAAACAGGTGTCAGGGGCGTCCCCTCAACTTTCCATAAATGGTTCTAAAAGCCTTATATGGATCTATCACGTGACATTCAAAATGACGTTCCTATATGGTTTTATGGGCCTTATATGGATCTTTCGAACACGTGACCAAATCAAAATCAAAATTTTACCTTGACCATTGGATGGGATTTCATAGAAAATATCAAAGAAAACATATTCTCGTGATCCTTAAATCACTTAAATTCGATCATTTTATCTTCACCCCTTGATGGAATTTTATGAAAGAAGTTATGAAAACAGATCATCATGTAAGGGTTTTCACCTAAATTAGCTCGTTTTATCTTGACCCTTCAATTGAATTTCATTGAAAAATGTTTCATGAAAAATATCATGTTATGATTTGTATTTAAATAAGACCGTTTCATTTAAATACTTGCTGGATAATATTTCATAAAAAATGCACTTTAAAAATATTTCAGGATTTGCCTTAATTTATCAATGTAATGTAAGTATTAGATTGACTCTCAAATAGGGTTCTATTTTAACTTTTTTATTGAAATTAATACTAGGCAGGACTCACTCTCTAAATAGCTAATAAAAATTCAACCCTTGGATGTGATTTCGTTGAAAAAAAAATATGACAAGTCCAGAATCAAATGATTTGTCCAGAACCTCTTAAGATCCTGTTTTTATTTCTCAACGCCCAGGTGGTTTGTTTATGTTACTAAAGGACTCAGAAAGCGGCGTTGTAAAAGTGATAGATGCTAGAGAGACTGCACCGCTTCTATCAAATAAAACGATGTTCGTTGGGAGGATGGAGGATTCAAAAATAGGTAAAAGCCAAAATTTGATTGTTTGGCGACTAACATGTTCTGTAATGACCCCTCGATACGTCCGTCGGGGAGCTGTAGTATACCGAGCCGAGCGAGTGTGCTTATTTCAATGTCCCATTCGGGAAGTGAACGCAGGACCTTACACTCTGAGTCAGACACTCTCGAGCCCCTACGCCATAAAGGGTAGCCACTACAGCTGAGACTGTAGTAGCTACTCGGTATCGAAGGTCGTTACAGTTCTGTAGGGATCTCAGCTGTAGCCTTGATCGTTTGATTGGTGTAAGAAAAAACAAAAGCACTCTACTAGACCTAACCCCTAGAAATGCATAAGATACTCTGTTTGTCCTGGGAACACTAAACCATGATGCTTTTATTCTAAGGTTTGTCTAATTGTATTGTTTAGTCTATTTTGGAAAGTACCTTATTAACATCTAACAGTCTTCCGATAAACCGGCCATTAATAAGGAACAGACAAATAAAAACAAATTACATAATCATTACTATTAAGCCAAATGGGTTGCTCATGAACACCTAATGCAAGGTATAGTAGAGTGAAAATGTCAGAAGGGAAATTGTATGGGGAAATGTTAAGATAAGAAATATGGAGGTACATATGGTTGAAAATGCTAATGAAAGCCCCTCGACATGTTCATGGAGTTCATGGCTCGTTTCAATATATCCATGACTAAATATGTTGTTTTTTTTGTGTTTTTTTTAATTTAATTTTTTTATTTCGGAGAAGAAAAAACATGTCAAAGCAATTGCAAAATACAATTACATGGAAATGTGTTTATAAAAATTAGGGTTCGTTACTTATTTCGGTACTTTTTGTTTCAAGAGAGAGATTTAAAATTCAACATGAATATATGCTTCTAATCACTTAATCTTTAGGTCCATTGTCTGTAGCAGTGCCAGGCCTTGTACGAGGACTATGGAAAGCATTTACAAAGTTTGGGTCGGGGCAAGTGACATGGATTGACCTCTTGACACCGTCCATAAAACTGTGCAAAGAAGGCATTGTCGTTACAGACGAATTGGAAAAAGATATACGATTGGCTGTTGATGTGATTCAAAATGCTGGAAAGGAATATCGTACGGGGTGAGTGAATCAAAAAATATATCATTCAGAGTACTCATTTTTGGTAATGACAGTCATGGCGAATTATGATTAAGTACTACATTAAAGGCACCACCTTAAGTCTGAAAATATGTTTTTTTTTATTATTTCATTACTATTATTCATGACTTCAAAAGTTATTTTAGTGATTTTTGAAGAAAATGAGAGGAGAATAAGTTGTCTGATTTTAATTTTTCAAATATTCAATCTAACGTCTTTTAACGTCTTTGTTAATTCGTATGCTTTGCTTTTCTCTATTGTTAGAGCACCTTTCCATAATAAAGCTGAAGGAAGACTTTATAAAGCAAGAGACATAATGTTTAGACCAAAATATGGAGCAGCTCTACAGCAAGTAGCTGCTGACCCATTCAGCTTGGATAAAACAATTTCAAACGAAATCCAGATGATGGGTAATATATTTAGTATGAATATTATATACAAAATGTTGAATGATGTGAAATTGGATATCTGTACCAAATATTCCATTCTATTGAGATGAATACATGTTCACCTTTAATTCAATCAGCCCGACGGGCAAAGGGGAATATTCTGAGAGAAACATGAACAAATATTTACAGAAAATAGCATGACATTTGGTTTACTCTATCATTGAAATGTTCTAACTTTACTTAAAAAAAGATGCATAAAACTGTTTTTCACATTTAATAGGTATCATCTGATATGAATAAAAAAAATTCACTGTTTTACCTTTCTCTTCTGTTTCAAGATTCAAATCATGTTTTCCTTGTTGTCGATCCATAATATCTCGACAGCGTTTAATGATACTAGTAATTTCTCATCTTAGGTATGTGAAATCGTTATACAAACATGCATGTATATAACAATGTGTAATTTGTTTAAGAGTTGGCTTTATATTTCAAGGTGGAATCATAACAGAACAAGATTTAAAAAGCTACACTGCCATTGTAAAGGATCCACTGGTGACACAGCTCCAAAATGGAGATCTCAGTGTGTATGGTGTCCCTCCGCCATCAAGTAGTGCCGTCCTGCAATATATATTGAATATTTTAGATGGATATAACTTTGACAGCACTGGCTGCTCTAAAAATGAGTTCGAACGTGACTCTAGATCGGTTCCTTGCCACCACCGAATCATAGAGAGTTTTAAATGGGCATATGCAAAACGAGCAAAATTAGGTGATGAAGATTATGTTGACCAAAAACATGTGAGCCGTGAATCTTATATATTGTATTTTAAATTCTGTCCAAATATCGATTATCATTCATGAATCTATAATCCGTAAAGAACTTACATCCATCTAAAATCTTGTATGCAACATTGAAATTTTGTATAAAATGAAAGAAAGGCTGCAAACTTTATTATGGTTATCTAGTAGTTGCTTATTAAACTATTATCAATATTATTCACATATACATGTATATATTTTGGGAAGTTCAGAATTCTATAATATGATTAAAATTTGATACAACTCTCTCGAATTTTGATCATTTTGTGTTGGCAAGTAAGTATGCATTTCAAAAAAGAAAATAAACTTTGTGTCGAAGTTTATAAATGGTTCGGCGACCAGACCTTAATGATTACTATCATGGATAGACATCTAAATAGCTAAACTGTTCGTACATATACATTTTAATACACGTTCTTCCATCAAATGATTATTCAGATTCTTCGAGAAATGCTATCACAGAGAACAGCCGCACAGACCAGAGCTAAAATATTCGATGACCAGACCTTTAATGTTTCTTACTATGGAGAAACGTTTTATGACAGACTCACTAAAGGAACTGCTCATACTTCTGTAGTTGATAAAAATGGTGGCATAGCAGCCTTCACATCATCTCTCAATTTTATGTACGTATTGACATGCCCGTAGCCAGAGGGGGAGCGGAGTGAGCGGCCGCTCCCCCCCCCCTTGCAATCATTCTGAGCACTTTTCGCATGATTTTTTGCCAAAACTGTCAAAAAGCTCCCCCCCCCGCCCCCTTGGCAAAAGCTCCCCTAGGTAAACCGCTCCCCCCAGGTAAATTCTGACTACGGGCCTGATACATGTAGCTATATGGTAGCATTGCTATTGATATTGTCATCTGTGCAGAGGAAGGATTGAATAAAGTAATCATAAATTGTGTTAAAGGCAATAATGTAAATCATCCCATCCTTTCTAGTGAATAACACCGGGGAATATTATTGATATCGAAAAAATCGTCCCTTCTATTCCCTCTCAAGAAAATGGTATTCACCTGACCATCGGAAAATATCATATTGTCCCTCAGAATAAAACCCATATTCAACCCTTCCAATAAAAATCTTTACTTACTGTTACGCGGTATATGGCATACATTCATTGTTGCGCGGTATTTGTGATACGGGTGAATATGCCATACTCACCTGCGGTATATGGCATATTCCGCAGGTGAGTATGCGATATTCCGCAGTGAATATGCGAAACATTGATTTCAGTGAATACCCGATACTCACCTGCGGAATATGTCATACTCATTTGCGGAATATGCCATATACCGCAGGTGAATATGACATATACCGCAGGTGAAAACGTGATACAGAAAGCCTTAATTTGATTGGTTGCGAGAATCGACTCTAAATGTAAAACTACGCTGGATTACCAATATAGTTAGTGCGTCGAGTACTAATATATGAATCCTGGATTGATTAAGTAAGTTTATTACATGAGATTGGTGACTGATACTTCTGCTAAGTTAATATATTCGATACACAGTACTTTTGATTCAGTAATCATTATAATAATTTATTAAGTTTTACTTGTTCGTTCAATCGATGCAATCGACAATTGCGTACTTCCGTATCACGTTCTCATTGGTTAGTGGGTATGCCATATACCACAGGTGAATCTGTCATACACCGCAAGTGAATATGCCATATTCGTTGCGGAATATGACATATTTTTGTATCGTGTTTACCGCGTAACACTTACACCGTAGCTCAACCTACAATATTTTAATAGTACGTTTTAAATGATCGGTTTGTTCTCTATAACTTCTTACATTTATAGATTTGGTTCTGGTTTAGTGGGAAATACGACTGGCATTGTTTACAATGACGAGATGGACGACTTCTCTACTCCATTGACAAAGAATTTATATGGCTTTGTTGCATCTCCTGCCAATTTTATTAAACCTGGAAAACGCCCATTATCATCGATGGCACCAATACTTATAATGGATTCTTCAACTAACAAAGTTAGGCTTGTGCTGGGTGGTACTGGCGGATCCAGAATACCTACAGCTACAGCATATGTAAGTGAGGGCAATTTGAACAATCAATTCAAAACTGATTTATTTTTCTAATAACTAGTTTTGCTTTGTTTTTTAATGTTTATTAAAAATGTTTTAAGGTATGCATAGTCGTATACCTCTGTAAATACTAGTAGTCTAAATATTTAGGTAGCGGTAGAGCATCGGACTTAGAGCGGACAGTCCTGGGTTCAATTCCCCTACGGGGCATTGAATTTAGCATACTCCCTTTCATGGCCAGTATCTCTCTTGTTACACTATAGCTCCCCGGAGGCGCCCATGGGTCGTTATAATAGTTACTGGTTTCTTGCCCAATACAAAATCAATACATCATAAATGTGTCTACATAAGCAGCTGACACCAGCCTTCATGTTAAATCCATTTTTAGGTGGCTGTCCGGTATTTATGGCTTGGTGAAGATATACAAACTGCCATATATAACCCAAGGCTACACCACCAGCTTCTCCCGAACGAAATCGTCCAGTATGGTGATTTCCCAAAAGTGAGTATATTTTGCTTGCACAATATATAATGCAGTTCAATTATTTTTTTAAGCATCTCCCAAAAACTTCTAGACAACTTGAAGCAATACCTTCCCTTTCAAAAACCAACAACTCCAGAATAAGACAACATAGTATACAGTGTGTCTCAAAAAAATGTTACACTTACAAAAGTTCAATATCTTTCATAATTTTGACTTTTCCCCTCAAATGAACCTTGGATACCAAAAGTCAAATCTTTCTCAAATAATTTGACACCATCAGATTCAAAATCTGTCCTTGATTGGCTCCACAGGACAGCCTTTAGTGTCCCATGGTAAAATCTGACTTGCGCCGACTTCTAAGTGATTGGATGAACCAAATGACAAAAGAGGAACAGTTTCTTTAACATTTAACTTTCTTCTGAGTAGAAGCTTGACCTTTAACTGAGTCATTCTGTAATTTTCCTATTTGTCTTACATATGATAATTGGGTCTATCCACATGTTCTCCAAAGCAAATCTGAGGTACCCTTGCCCATGCGCACATGTATTGTAATATCACCACACTGATTCCAGCAATTATTTTTGCTCAAGTTCATTTAGGTCAGTTTGTGATGCTGTAAAGCACTTTCAGAGGCCATTCAAGGAATCAAGGGTGTAAAGTTGGATGACCCTGTGGGCCAATCCATTTTTGTAATACAATGCTATCTTCTGATTTCCAAAGAGTTCTACCAAACAATCTGCCTGAGGCCTTTGAACCATCCTGTTGCCATCATATGTAATAAAATTGAACACCCTGACAATGAAACCTTGTATTTCTATCCAGTAAAGAAACAACTGGATCATTGATCATATCAAGATATCACTGTCCACATCATTCACACCAAACAAGAATTGATCACCACATATCCAACCACTGAAAAGTTGGCGCAAATCAGATTTCACATGCGTCTATAAAATCTGTCCTGTGCAGCCAATCATGGACGGATTTTGAATCTGATGGTGTGAATTTATTCGAGAAAGACTGGTCTTTAGGTATCTAAGTATATTTTAGGGGAAAAGTCAAAATCATGAAAGATATTGAACTTTTTGTAAGTGTAACATTTTTTGAGACACACTGTAGAATCTGTGAGTTTCGTTATGTTATTTTCTAGTATTATGCATTAATGTATGATTATATTTCAGAATATTCTACGAGGTTTGTCCAGTATTGGCCATAGCATTAAATATGCGTATGATTTCATTGATATGGTACAAGGTATATCTGAGATAAATGGGACTTTAGAAGCAGCGTGTGATTACAGAAGGATTTGTGGAACGGATGGATATTAAGTTAATGTCGCAAAACGCGATGCACGGTTGTGGAGACTGCCGTCTCGAACTCGCAACCTCGTGGTTACGTACAGCGCCCAATCGCCCAATTATATATATATAATCTGCTTCTGTGTCTTCAACACTGTCCGAGCTCTGGCTAAAAATGTCTATTGAATTTTTTTTTATATAATTTTAAGAAAAATGTTATGTTTAATTAAATATACTCCCGATGCAGACTGGTACAGTATACAAAACACCGGAGCGAATTTATATAGGGATTGGAGTTACCTGTGTGCTTAGTGTGATGATATATGATTAGCACTCCATACGATCTGTAGTCAACATAAGTATAATTACTGAAGAATTGTATTGAATTATTCTTACAGATCACGATAACAAACAATAGCTTATTAAGGTACACGTAGCTTACGTAAATATCAATATTAGGGAGGTCAAGCTACACGTTTTAAGAAAACTTGTACGTGAGCATGTAACGAATTAAGTCCTATCATTCCCCAGGTATCATTCTATCTCCAAAGAACTGGGGCTGGAGAACAGAGCCAAGAGACAACACTTAGAAGCCACACAGGACTATCTTAAAGCAGATGGCTGATGCTAGTTAACCATTGGTAAAGTGTGGTTGTCAGAAGCAGTGTTTCCCATCAAGATGTACCAGCTTGAAGGCTGCTCTAGTATGCACATCATTGTGTGCCTGTAATGGAGAGTATTCATTAGAATAACTTAAGTTAGGGTTCAAATATGATAATACTATATAAACTGCAAGATACCCCCCATTTACCCCCCCCCCCCCCAAATGTTTATGGTTGAGATCTTAGAGTTGGCATTCTACTGTAAAATAATACTATAGAATAGTTTTTTATTATGCATGGTACATGATACAGATCAAAGCTTGGCTCTCCAAACTATTACACACTTCCTTCAACAGTTCAATATATTATAAAACACAGTTTTGATTTTGAACAATTTCACCATTAGGTGGCACTATGGGAGACATTCTTCATTATGTTTTTATCTAATTTAAATATTGTTTGGAAAGGAATCGGTTTCTACTAAAACAAACAAACCTAATATATTCTGATTAAAAAAGGATAGAGATATCATGGGTACAGTACTTCAATATATATGAAATGTACATATTTTAATGATTTATCAAAAATTTTGACGAAATCTTAAAAATGGAGGGTACGGAACAACCAAAATCTTTTTTTAGATAATTTAAATATTTTTCAGGGTAGAAATATTATCAATTGATATTGGAAAACACTAACCAACCACATTTTATTGAGATTTCAAGGGAATGAAAAAATTATCAAATGAATATTATATAATTGTCGACAATTTTGGCGCCCATCTTGAATTTTCACCATGAAGGAGAGTGATTCGTGCTTGGCAGTGCGGATCAAAATTTTTAGAATGTCCACATTAGTCTATGTGCCGAAAACCTAAGAATATATATGATCGTGAACTATCGACCCATTATTAGTTCTCATAGAAACCAATGGTACAGTGATATCTAAAACATAATTTATTCTTCCTTTTAACCTGGTTAGACAATCAACATTGGTTTTTATGAAAGTCTAACATATTTAGAAAAGATTGACATCGAAAAAAAAATTTCAATTTTTTTCAAAAAGTTTTTGGTACCTTAGTGACATCACTAATGTTTCAAAATATTTTTGATATGTTAAAACATTGAAGTGGCCCATTAAATATGGCATTTTATTATTGCAATAGTGTGTCCTTTGTTCAACCTTTGCATTGGTGTTAAAAAGATAATCTTTTTTGAAATGCATTAAGAAATATTTGATGATTAAGAAATTTCAAACTTTTGAAATTTGAAACTTTTTAAGTCCTGACAAATAGTAAATGAATGATAAAAAATATTTTCAAACTTTAGACGGGGACTTTAATATATATAAAAAATTATCCACTTAAACTGATGAATTTCGAGTTTAAGGGAACTCTCTTGTATATCTGCCATGTTAATTTACCCATCTGGTAACTACCTACTCGCATATGGGTTATTGATACTAATTTATTAAAAACCCAAGTGTCTGCTTAAAAGCTACAATTATCTTTTTGCACGTTTGATTGAAAAATTGTATAAAATGACATAAATGAAAATTTGGAACTTCAGTATATTGAACAAGGGGAGCACTTGAAGGGAGCACAAAGGTATAGTCAATATATCAAACAATATTAACATGTTTCAGCCAATTAAAGCCAGTTGAATATTCGTATGTGAAACGCAAAATCCACCTAGTACAGGGTGTCCGGGAAGTAAATATACGAATGATTGAATTTTAAGATTTTATATTGGGATTGATATTGGATGATTTCATTATCCATAATAATTATAGTTCCCAGTTTCATTACTAACCGGTTTCATATGACATATGACACATATATACCCTATGGTGTCTGTGTGAGATATGTTACTCAAATGAAATAAATGAAAATAAATATATTAGATCATTTTCTTGGGTACACTGTATTTACATTTTTTCACAATTCAACAAAGTATTTAAAACAATGTCTTTAAAATAATGTTTTTAAAAATGTAATAAATCTCTTGATTTCATATAGATATAGAACGTTCTGAAACAAAGTATGAAATATCCTACTAATAGCGTATTACACGTATGTACATGAAGAAGAATGAGATATCACGCCACATTTTGCTAAACCAACAAAGCTACAATATATTGGCCAGATTGACGATATCATAGTTAGTACTAGCAATGTTTACAACAAAAATATGATAACACAAGGAAGCAAGCCATGCCTTAAGCCTGTAAGCAATTTTGATCCTGGATACAGCAAAATGCAATCTAATATGCATCATAAATCTGTGTCATATACAGTCTGCAAGTAGCTCATCTATTGCATCTACCAGACGACCAGACGAAGAGGCGGAGCGGCGGATTCCGGAGGAGTATTCATGGTATATTTATGCCCAGTCGTGTTAATGTACGAAAAAATTCATGAGAACATTTTTTTTCCTGAGCCAGGCCACTGTATCTTCCCTTTGTGAAAATTTTATCCAGATTCATTCAGTAGTTATTGAGATATTAATTATTTAGTCCAGGTATATCATTTTCTGCACTCTTTGAAAAATAAGCCAGTTGCGTGGGATATATTTGCTGAAATAAGGCAGCATGGTAAAGGTTAACTTAACTGTTCCAATTCCGCTGGACACAATTACATATATGTGTACAAATGCTGAACATATCTTTTGTCTGAGCTGGGATTGGGATTGTGGGATCTCTGGGGCTAGGGATGGTATTGGATAATGGGCACTTGTGCACAACAATGGCGGGCAGCAATAGGAATGTTCTACAATAAGAGTACTATCAAGGAAACTTCTTCATGTTTCTATACTAGATCTAGACAAAATATCGATCAAGAATGCTTATTCTCTTCTACTCTTATATTTTCTGCCTACATTGGTTTGTTGTTTTTCTTTCTTCTTCTTTGCCATCCTTATGTTATCGAATACTCAAGCTTCCTGACCATTTTGCTTTTGAGTGCCTTAAACATAGTGGTACTGACTTTTCTAGCTTATGTAATCCTCCATGCAGTGGCCCTCGATGCCAAACATGTTTACAACACACGGTTTCTCATAATCTCAACTCAGATATTCTTATTTGGTGCTCTCATACCAGGTTTTGCTGTCTCTTTCTTTTATCCTAATATCACTAACATGATATTGCTTTTAGCAGGCGACATTCACCAAAACCCCGGCCCCACCAACAATACCCTTCGAGATGATATGTCCCTTTTGTTCTCTAATATTAACAGTATCACAGCTGATAGTGGGACCCGTTTTACTAGCCTTCAACAAAGAATAAAAGAACATAAGCCTTCGTTTATAGCAATATGTGAGGCAGGTCTAAATTTGGAAAGCAAAATTAATGATGGTACTTTTGACATTGACGGCTACAATCAACCCTTATACTCACCACTTGGTAGAGGTCTTATCCTTTATTCCCATGAATCACTTGCAGTAAAAAGTCTCGAACCAGTTTTTTACATAAATAACCTCGACTGCCTTTTCTTGGAAGTATCTGTGAATTTTGAAAAGATGTTAATTGGTGTATCATATAGGTCACCAAGCCAAAATGCAAACGATACTAGAAACTATTTCAGTAGCTTCCAAGATCAGCTATTCCAAATATCTAACTCTAGAAATTTTGACCACATTTTCATTATGGGAGACTGGAACGCTAAACACCCCACTTGGTTTCAAAATGGTAATAATAATGATAACAATTTAGCCGGTGAACAATTATTTGCTTTATTAGAACACTTCAATTTCACTCAAATGGTTAACCAGCCTACCAGGATTTCTGAAACTTCAATATCATGCATTGACCATATAATTACAAACTCCCCAGATGTTATCAACTCATGTCAAGTCTTGGACCCAATCGGCGGATCTGACCACAGCACCATATTTGCAAAAATTAAAATCTATACCCCAAAAGATCTACCAATAAAACGTACTGTCTGGTCATATAACCAAGTAAATATTGAAAGTCTCAATTCAGCTATGAGAAATACAGACTGGGAAAATATATTCCAAAATGAGCCAGATACCAACATCATTACCTTGAACTTTACCTCCAAACTTAAAGAACTTTATTCAACTTTTATTCCAAACAAAGTAATTACAATTAAATCTAACGATAAATTCTGGTTTAATGATGACATTAGAACTCAAGTTGACAAAAAGAAGCGTCTCTATAGAAAAATGAAAAATAACCCCACTCTTGAAAATATAAATAAATATAAAAACCATGCCAAAAAAGTTGCTAACTTAATAGAAAATGCAAAAACAAAATCTGAAAAACAAGCTATTGATTCCATTTCTAAATTTAAAAAAATGATAAAAAATACTGGTCAGTTATTCGTAGACTCTGTGGCAAGAAAAGAACTTGCTCATCAATTCCTTCTATTTTTGATAATAATGGTAATTTACATATGAAGAATGTCGA